TGATACCTGGTAGCAGCTGGGTAACACTGGGGTCTATCATCGTCCCTCTCTTGGTTTGCGTAGAGTTCTTTATTTTTTCTTTGATACACTTTTCTCAAGGGTGGAGCCCAAGCCTACGTCCTTGGAGGAAGGCCCGAGTAAGTTAATATAGTGGCACAAATGTGGCGAAGTAGGGATGTTTGGAAAGAACTCTGTGTAAAGATGATTGTATATTTTGCGTGTAACTAGTTTAATAAGTTTTTCAAAATGTGTACTAGATCCACACTATATGTATAGCTGATAGCGCGAATACCCCTTCGCTGGAGAAGCTTATGATGTACGAATGAAAACCAGCTTCGGCAGTTATTGGGAGTATGTCTGAACAGAGCAGGTCGCGTATACAACAAACTTATGATATACAAACAAAGAATTTATAAAGTACGACAATAAGCAGCGGTGGCTATAATCTAGTGCATTGATCGATCGTTACTATATTCCATCATTCGGACTGCTCATTAGAGCATCTGCAACAGTGATTTTAAAAAAATGTTGGGAAGACTTTCAATGAAACTCTGTGCGGCGTTCTATCCCTAGATCGCTTTCATAGGAGCCGCCGAAAATTCGCGTTGAGGAATTTCGGGTTTCACATTGTCCCGCACCAGAAACGCGAACACCCATTATCAACCTGAGATAAATACTCAACTGGACACATCCAGATGTATACACCAACAAACATCACTTTTTCCATATTTATATATGATCCTATAGGAATTAAAATTTAGCTGACCTAAAGTATGAGATAGCAGAAAGATGATGTGTATAGTAAAAGAAAAGTAGTTGCTCTAGAACCATCATTAGATGATTAACAAACGCGAAAGAGTGTATGGAGTCTGAATTTTTTTGACCCTGGAAAGAAGTGGCTTGGGTGTTTTCTTCCTCTTCCCTGCTCTTTCTCCAACTCTTTTTTTTATTAATTGCAGAATGAACTCTGGACATCGTAACCAACCGAACTCTACTTTACCAACTGTCACTGAAGCACTTAGTGCTGGCAATTTTGACTACAACAACAACTATCTTTGCAAGAGATGCTGCAGTGAGAAGCCTGGAATGGATTTCAGTGGTAATACTAGACCGTATAGAACCTGTGTGGCCTGCCGTACTAGAGACACTCCACCCGAAATTGTTCCGTTGGATGACATGGTAATGTTGGACTCTTTATATGATTATTATCCTGCTGCAGATGATACAGTAAGTACATATATGTATTTTAAATTTTTTCCACTAAATTCTTGATCATTTACTACATGGTATGTAGAACGATCATTTCTATTGTTATGTAATGGTTGAACTGTATATGGAATCGATATCGATTGATCAATTGATCGAGCGAATCTTGGATGAGGTGATCAGTTGCAATGGGCATCGATATATGCTGAAGAACGAGGGGGCCCCTGAGCAAGCATTCAATCTAACCCTGATTGGAATGCGCTGGCCTCTGCATTTGCTTCTGCAAGTTCCGAAGACAGAAAAATCACGTCCAACACCGTCTCAATGGATTCGCCAGAGAGCAAAGCGCATAAGCTTTCATCAGAAGACAAAAAATTGATAACAGCAATGTACAAAAGATTGGATGAAGAAAGAATGTGGCGTCTGAGTATGGGGACAATTGTCGAAAAGCAAATGGAGAAAGTTGCAGCGATGTGCAATCATGAACAGTAAGTAATGATAGCGTTTTCTTCCACTACGCTATAACCTTGTGCTCGGTATATCTTAACTTTGCTTTGCATTTGTTTAGCTTATCTCACTCGCTCATTTTGGATCCGCAAGACAATGTTTGGGCCCTTGTCTTCACTGAGAAGGAGATCCAAGAAATAAAAAGTCATCAAGCACCGAAGCTGAAGACCATGCCTGATGAAATGAACGAATACATTGCCAAATATAAAGGTTTAGTAAGTTGGCCACGATCAACTTCATTCTCAACGCTAGAAACCAGCTGTTATAAAGCGAGCTTGATTGCTGACTCATTTCGCTCTATACATTTTTGATAGGTCGAACTAGAGGCAATTGAAGAAGTTAATGCCCAACACAGGTTCAGTCGATTGAAAGAACCATACTTGCATTGGATGAGCACGTCCATTGCCAAAGTACTCGACTTGCTTTATTATAATTATCTTGGTAAAGAGCGTAGTGAATCCGATCTACTGAAACATGTGTGGACCATCATCGACTGCTGCTTCTACCATGATACCATCGATGTCTTCTCGTAAGTTCAGCTTATATGCATGAAGGGCATTGAGGGCGGTGATATAGAACAGTCAGCTCATAAATATCTATTATAGCGGGGAGCAGAAAAGCAAGAGCACGAACAACCGAGTCAACAATGACCGTTCAGTAGCAGCACAAGAGCCATGCCAACGCAGAAAAGTTGGTTCAAAAACTGACTTATTGTTTGCCACTGACGTCGTTGAGCTTGGAACTGCGGAAGCCGGAAAAGACACTGATATCAATAGCACAAAGATGATATCAGAATCCGGGTTTAAAACACCCAAAGTCCTAAAGGACATGTTGTATCATATGGTGAAGGAAACACCAGCAAAACTCTGAGCGGTGCGAACATGTAGGTTCACTCTTGCCGGTAAGTTTTTTAGCTAGCTAGTATTCAACTGATCAAAGTATTGTAAGATTACACTCTTGCTCAACGGTTTTTGTATGCTAGGTACAGCATTGATGGCACACATCCTTGATTGTCCAGCTGGCTATGTGTGTCGCGTCAACTCTCTTGATCGATGGTTATATTTTCCAAGCAGTGAAAGTGACTTTGTCACACGTATCGCCGCGCTATTTAAGATCATCTGGAATGTGAAAGAGATGTTGAAAGACGTCGTTAAAAATATCAACAGCACCGATATCGATTTTTCTTTTGGCATCTCGCCTTCCAGTATCATGATACCACCCTGTTTCACGCCCACCAACAGTAAGCGCAAGGCAACAGGAAGCTCGTCCACAAACATGTCACTAAAGAAACCCAAATCTACCGTTTAATCCTCATACCTCCTGTATATACCTTCATCCCATATGTCTTTAAAACTTCTCCTCTATTATATAACTGCCTGTATATATATTCATCCAGTATGTCTTCAAACTTCTTCTCTATATATGACCTCCTTATTATGTTTATGCCACTATTTTCATTAAAAGTTTGCTTGATTATCTTTGTTTGTACAGTGAACCCCCGCTTTTTGCAACAGCGGGAATACTGTCAAAAAAGTTGCAAAATCTGGGATCTGCAAAATGTGAATATGTTGCATAAGTGGGATCGATAAGCTGGCAATCACATCTTTCCTTATTTAGTTTAAAGCTCTTAAATAATAGAATACAATAAGAAGTTAGGTAAGTGTCGTCTATCATCTGAACAAATTGTTGTGAGCTTCCTTAATTTAGAATAGAAATCAGGGCCTTTTTTTGTTTAGCGTTGCACCAACAGGGATAGTGCTACTCTTCGGCATCATACGTGCTGCAGCACTGAACAAAAACAACAATAAACACTGCATCTTTTGTTATAAGCAGTACGTGCCAAGCTTTTCCTTACTTCACTAAAAGAGCAGTTAGATGATGTGCTGCCTGCTACTACATGGTTTAATGTTGTACTGTAGTCACATAACAAGAATGTATGTACATACTCTGAAGAATTCTGGTATGTTCTAATGATGTGATGATCTACTCATAGGTCCGGAGGAACCAGTTAGTAACTATGTAGCATGGTACAGATTACTTAGCAACGCCTTGACTGTAATGACTTCTCTCCATGGTGATAAGCATGACGAGAGGCATCTTCTTGCAAGTTGTGTTTGTAGTAAAGGCTGATAAATAATAAAAAAGATTGTCATAAGTCATGTAAAGGCTCATATAAAAGATGAAATCCAGTTAGTGATAGACAGGGTCATAGATGTCAGTTCTGTACTTTTACCTATACGTAAAAATGTGTATAATCAGGAATGCTACGCCTGTTCTTAACAAACGTTTGTCGGATGAGCTCCAATTATGAGCGGTAGAACAGTCGAGTTTATAGTTACATAAGCGTGATATATATTGTAACAACGTAGAAAAAGTGGGAAGTATATTCCATGTCTTTCTTTCTAAGGAAAATAGATTGATATGACTTTAAGTAATCTTTAAATGATCACATTCTTATTCTGGTTGAGTACTGTATAAATAAGATACATTAGCGTGGTAAAAGAACTCACATCCAATGTTTGAGAGAGTATTGCGCTTGGTCGGGGAGCTGATAACAACGCTGTTGCCGAAATACTCAAAACGTATGCATCTGGAAGAATGGCGCAAGCGTGTAGAAACGAAAAACTTCGTTCTTTAACTGCCAACAACGAATGTAAAGATTTGTCTGTGAGTAAATGACTTGCCTTTTCTCTGACATATGTAGCCTTTGTTTTTAAGAATAATATATCGGTGGCATGGTGGCACCCAATGTCCACCGTTCACATAAGGTTATTAAGCCGCAAACTGGCCCCATGCACATTCAGAAAACTGGTGAATCCTAGCAGCTACTACTAAGACTGACAGTCCAGTGTTCTTTCGTTTGGGCGAGCATTATGTCAACTTCTTGACGCGGCTCATCATAGCCCTTTAATAAAACACTTTCAACTAATACTGAATGTGACGTGATAGGTGACAACACAGGTCAAGGGCACACTTTAAGCTCAGCAAGACGACCAAACGAATTTCGTCCCGAGTTGTAGACACCGGATCCTCATTCTGCTATCCCGCCATGCCCCATCACCTCGTCCGGACTCCAGTGTGGCGATCATCAGCACCTTATTTACTCGAGCATTATTAATACCTATATGATCGTAACACATATGATATAATTATCGGCAGATTCTTTCTCTCCTCCGCTGCCACTTTTTATCCTCCCCTCGGTCTCTTTTATGTATCATAGTCATGTTGTTCTTTGTAACAAGCATAAACATCAACATTCAAGTACATTCCTGCGTGTCTCTCTCGACCTTTCGAATCCTTTAATTTTCTCTTTCAAAAACAATAACTGCCACTTTCTTTCGTGTATATTTGTATAGGAAAGAAAATACTAATATGTCTCCTATATAAATATAAGGAGTCAAGATTTTCCTGATAGCTGGCTGAGAAGCTCTGTACAGTCGACTTGTAAACCGCATAGGATAATTCCGAAATGTTGTCATGTATTATTCCACTACTTGGACTAGCTATCAGCAGTAGGCGGGAGAACACGGTTCTTACATGATTCATCTACTTTGCTAAGGCTTCACACAGTTTAGCAGTGGAGGAGTTAAGTACTTTAATTTCATTTCCTTTGTTAGTAGAAGTAAAGAGTAATAGTAAAAAATGGTATTTATGGAAAAAAAACTTTAAAAATGATGGACATGTGTGAAGAAAGAGTGAGAAGAGAAAGAGATAGAAGAAAACGTGCAAGATTTATGCTTTTGTTCGGACGCGATAATTGACACACTTGTCCACATCCGGTAATCCTTCCACCATCTCGATAACCAAAGGATTAGAGAATCCATAATACTCTGGCCCTGAAATGGCATTTGCAGATTCTCTATGTCGGACCTCGTTGGCTCGTTTAATCACTAATGCCCAAGCACCTGTTGGTGTGCGTGCAGACATCTCTTCATCTGGAGCATCCGCAGCTCGAATTGTAAACTACATAAATGTTTTTTTTACCAATTTGAGCTACCCTAGTATTCTTTTTTGTAGCGAAAATTAAGGTAATCGTGATTTCAGTATATAGTTTACCAATGGAGTTTCTCCACCATCCTGAACTTTGCAAGTGTATGTTGTTTGATTTCTAGGATCCACCATGCTCATGTAAGTTCTGTTTAAAACATCAGCAGTGGATCAGTAAGTACATATTTCGTTCGAGATATACGATAAACAGATCATCTGCATCATCGTTTTCTCTACCTTTCAACACAGTAGCCGACGGGCCAAATATATCGCTCGCTATGGAATGATGTACGATCATACACGACCTTGCCAAGTTCTAAAACGTTCAATGAAGCGATCTGGAAAGGAAGTATCACACTTCCGTTCTCGTCTCGTGGTACCTCGATTGGTTTTCGTCGTGATGATGCTGCTCGTTTCAGTTTGGGCGCAGGCTCCACTTTGACTGCACAACCACACAAGCGTATCATGCGTTAGTTCCTGATTCACTTTCATTTTTCTTTACACATATGTAACGCAATATAATTCACTTTTTCTTTTACCCATTTCTTCATCTTCATCCAAAAGTTGATCTTCTTCATCTTCGTCTTCCACTCCTGCTCCTTCAATATCTGCTTCTTCAATCTCTTCGTCTTCGTCATCCTGACTCGTTTCCATAGCATCACCATTGGTTGCTTGGCTATCGTTGGATTTGGCTTGCATAAGGCGTCTATATAAAGAAGAACAGTTTCGTTGATACTTTCTGTATTCTCCATGAAGTATGGCTATTTGCTTTTACTTTTTCTCCTTTTTTAGTGCTTGCACTTTACGGTTGGCACGGTCTACCGATAACTGGGCCGACTTGTGTTTCTATATATTGCAGATAAAACGATAAGCATGTGTATAATATATGTGAGTGTCAAAAACTATCTACTGTCCCATTCATTTGATGCCAAAAACAAACATACTGCAATGAATTCGAGAATTTTTCGTTTCATTCGTCTGTATTTCCGTAAACGATCGTCTTGCCAATTGCCATCAGTCTGAATGGCGACATCGACACCATGTTGAACTGTCATTTTGTAATTCAGTAACGGTACTTTTTTTTGACGCGCTTCCCGACGCGAGAAAAAAGATTTCGAATGGAGCGTACCCCGACCCAACAATCACCTAAGAGCAAGTCCAGCGGACTCGCTAAATCACCAATTTCGCTAAATTTAACAGAAAATAATAGCTAGTTGACACTCCAGCGGACTCGCTAAAAGAACTTGTAAAATTAAAGGATAGCTATTGTCGGACACAAAGTCTGTCAAAGTTGACAGACTTTGATAGACTCGCTAAAGATTTTTCTTGTGAGTCCGCTATTGCTAGTCAGCAATAGCTAGTCCGCTGTAAAAATTGACTCGCCAAAAGAATAATTGGGATAGCGAGTGGTGAAAATAGAGGAAAATTTAGCGAGTCCGCTGGACTTGCTCTAATTGTTTCAGATTGGCTAATTTCACGCCTCACATGCAATTTGATATGCTTATACACACATACTCTGCTTCGGTGAAATCACTTTCTAATATGCGTATCACTAGCACCCGCAGGTTCAGCTGGTATGAGCATATAGTCAGTGACAGCTCGTGATTAAGGAAGATGACCTATATAACGTGAGCATAGTAGTAAATGGATGTAATATGGCACCTGCCTTCTTTTCTTCAGTGTTTATTGCTCACTAGAGTGAAACTTTTATTGTTGGAAGTGCCAGAACAACTATTTACTAGTAAAGCATCGAGAGAGACCATCTAGTTGATAAGCACATTATCAATTTATATCCCTTTCCAAAAAAAGCAAATTGAAATCGACAAGCTTCGTCTTCGACCAAAGCTTCGGCATCAAGTCTTGATATTGTCCAGCTTGAAACAAGGTATTTCTTGAAGTGGCAGTTGAATAAAGGGTGATTTTATTTATAGTGATGCTGTCATAATTAAGAACAGTAGTTGCGTTTGATGGTGAATACTTGCTTGCTTATGTTGATCCAGAAAAAAAGATTTCGGATACGGCCATGTATTGGTACATCATTCATTGTCTTACGAGTTTCTGAGTAAACAGCTTGTGTTGAGTAAACAGTTGGATCACAATTTACTCGGATCGATCATTCGTGCCTTTGTTACGGTACTCTAGTGGTCTGCTATTCAGGTGATACATGATCGTTAATCATTCTTGGATATCTGCAGGATCACGGGCCAATAAGGAAGAAATAAGTAGTAGCAAAGTTTAACTAGTGATGCGCTAGTTTCACTTATCAATTATTGTCAATGATTTTGAGCTGTTCGAGTTGGTACAATACAACCTGTTGTAGTGGAAAATTCGTAGCTGCAATAATAAAAGCATTACTTCAGATCAAAACACCTAATTTTTGCCTCTCCAAGTTCAATCTCCCTCGCACCCTCATTGGGTTAGTCACCAATGCCTCACGGCAAGTGCTTTCGCCGCCTTAGCAACTGCTTCCACCGTATTAGCAAATGCTTTTGCCGCATTAGCATTTAACAACCCAATAATACCATTGCCAGAGACAAAAGGGCACCAATTAGTATAAAGAACCTTTCTCTTTTCATTCAATAGCACTTCAGCTCATATCTTATCCTTTTCTTTTACAACGTTTCATCATAATAAAGCAATCTCTTAACTGCTGGTTTTTCGTACGTAAACATTCCCGAATCTTGAACTCCCACTTCCCATCAGAATAGCTTTGATAGCTTATTTAAGGCCCATAAATTGCCTTTTCCCTTTTATTCACACTTCATTTGCGTCGTATCCAGAATCTAGCCGCCACTCTACAATACCATACTTTTATTCAATAGGTAAAAGGAATCTTTAAATTGACTGTCTTTGATCCATGGTGTCCAAATTCATATACATAGCATAAATTTACCCAACAAACCCAAGCTCAAACTATGTGGGTTCTATGTCGCTTCGTAGTCGAAATGGACATGACACAAAAGTGCAGCTGAAACGTACTGTTTGACAACAAACAATGGTGGGGTGGTACGCTGATTTTGACGGATGCTAAAGGGCGCGTAGGCACGTCTTCTCGACCCGGAGCGTCCGTTGATTGGGTGAGCTCCCCATTTGCCCGTTCTCTAAGTTTAGGCTTTCTCTCACTTTGCACTATCTCGCCTTTTTTCCCTTTCCCTTTTTCTTTCCAGAAACGATTCCGTTCTTTTTCGATTGAACAATGGAAAGTTTTTTTTCGCCGTCGAATGCTGCTGTCTATGGTAAGCTTTTATTTTCTCTTTCTTTTTTTATTATATAACATAGAAACAACAGTTTTTAATATTTGTTGGGGGAGAGCCTTCGGTGTAATTGTGGTCGTTAAGAAGAATTCCTGAAGCGATTCACCTTTTGCTAGTGTTATAACTATTGTGTTCTGTTTCATTGTCATAAAAAAATAACTAAAATTAGATGACGACTCGCAGACGACGACGACCAGCAGCTCATTGCAGAGCTGGATCAGCTGGTTCTGTTCATTGACAGGACACGAATATTATGCCGAAGTACCAGACGATTTCATTGAAGACGATTTCAACTTGACGGGGTTATCAGCACTTGTGCCATATTACAATGAAGCGTTGGAAATGATCTTGGATGTGGAACCAGAGGAAATCTCGGACGAGGACGAACGGGCAGACGAGCCGACGGAAGAAGAACAGGAAGAGGAGGAAGATGATGGGTTTTGGAAAGAAAATACGGCAGTTGTGTCGCGCGGCGGCGGCAGCGAACGGAGGGATCGTGTTCATCCAAGCGTCGTCGAGCCTTATGCCGCCATGTTGTATGGACTAATCCATCAACGCTATCTACTGACACGTAATGGTCTGCGCTTGATGGCTGAACGTTATGCTGCAGAACAGTTTGGTTTTTGTCCTCGTGTTTATTGTGGTCGCTGCCCAGTCATCCCGTGCGGTCGCTATGATGAAGCCGGACGCGAAAGCGTACGCCTCTATTGCCCGCGTTGCATGGATCTGTATAATCCGCCTAGCTCTATATTCCAAAATGTCGATGGTAACAACTACTTGGAGAACTTATTTCTTATCTCCCTCTCGATCTATCCCTCTTATTCTCTCCCACGCTTTCCCTATACTCTCCACAGCCCCTTGGATGCAAGGACCCTTTCTCTCGTTATTTAATCTATCACTTCTTGATACAGCATATACTCATACGATATATTTTGACATTTATAGGCGCTCATTTTGGTACGACGTATGCCCATCTACTCTTCCAATCATTCTATGAGCTGGTGCCGGCTCCACGAGCAAGCATCTATCAACCACGAATCTTTGGATTCCGGGTAAACGAGCGATCACGGGTAGGGCCACGCATGCAATGGCTACGGATGCGTCCCCCAGAGTATCTGACGGATGCTGACGACGGGGAAGATGACGACGATGACCATGTGGATATAGAAGATGTGGGCGAGGAAGAAGACGAGCCAGTATTTACACATGATGTGGTGGGTAAGGTAGAAATGCAATTGGATGTTGCCATCGTCTGCTGATACACTCTGTTGTTGTTTTTCATCCCCTATTATTATTACTTGTTTTTATGTTAGCCATCGCAGGCGGTGGAGCAGCAGCAGCAGCACCAACAACAACGGCAACAGCGAGATGATGACCGACTTACTCGGTTGACCCATCAAATTGAAGGCTGGCGAATGAGGGATTCGGGTCTGAATAGTTTCTTTCGACGGTGGATCTGATGGGTTGCTTTATGCTCTCTTCCACTCTTTTGTCTTCTTTTTTCTCTCTCTTTCTCAAGTACGCCACATATCCCCGTTCTCCCCACACATACGCAACACTTTTTACATATTCACACACATATAACCTTTTTTCTTCCTTTTTAAAACTTCCAACCTCCTTTATAACGTACCTATACTTTTGTTTTTTCTTTCTTTCTTGCCCTCTCCCTTTATCTCCCCCCGACAAGAGGATGTATAATATAGCGCTATTTCCCAACTACCACAGCCAATAACGCACCTACCAAGTGCTGCGAAATGTACAGGATCCTTGCTAAATGGTATTATCAAATAAATAGTTCCATCATCACTGATTTGTCATATCAGAACGTCCTTTGCGGAAAAGGGCGAGGTGTTGAATGAACAGAAGAAATGTCGGCTATGTAACATTGTTGTATCTAAACATGGTTATTTATATACTTGTATAGGCATACATGTAGCTGGTACAACCAATTTATATTATACATGCGCAAAAAACGAAAGAAGGAATCATCAGTATCATAATGATTATCCATGCACTTTCTTATGTTCCTTTGACTAAACAATAATAAGCAAGAAAGCGGTATTATGTAATAATAACATTGTTGACTACTACGCTTAGCATGTAGACGATCAGATTAGGCCACAGTAACTGTCACGAAAGTTATCAAGTATAACCTCCAAGCTATCAAAATTTTTAAAAATATCAGCCATGGAATTGGATCTAGGTGTCGGTTTGATAAAGAAGGCATATCTAGACTTATTAGTAAACATTCCCACCTAGGAAAGCGAGCTATGTATGAGATTGAAACAATGAAAGAAGTAAAATGAGTAGCTCATTTTAATTTCACCTAGAAGGTGGTGATACATCTGTCGTCAACATTTGCAGAAACACTCGTCAGCCGTGTGTTGAAAGAAGTGTGTAAATATGTAAGTACATGTCTAACCTAGTTGATTGGCAAGGTTATGAATGTGTTTGCGAAAGCATGCTGTCTTTGTACTTATTAGTAAACGCTAATGAAAGTTGGGATCCTTCACCTCTTCTAATATTATAAGCGTTTTTAGAATACGATAATAGAACAAATATGATTGTACTACAGAAGTTTCCGAGAAGCATCATGTAGTAATGATTAGACTCATAGTAGTTATTGAAGTAAGGTTATACTGTACATTATTGAATAACAGCTCTATTATGATCATTTAACTGACTTAATGCCTTGTTTCTTTCTCGGGGTTCTTGCCGAGTCAAGGATAGAAGACTGCGTTATCAGAACGTATTTTACTAGCAGTAACTGATCATTTCTTTGTTTTGTAAAGTTCAGTATCAATGCTTAACGCCAATGATTGCAGAGAGAGATGCTATAGTACCGGTAAGAATCCAAACCAGGCCTATTTACTTGATTTAATCGGTCACACCCTTCATCTTTTTCATTGTATTCTAATCGGCTCACACATAGAACTTATATACCAATCAAAATCTACATCACTATACCTTTTCTGTATGCATTATATAGTATATGGCTGGCCCTCTGTTTTTACCTCGCGTAATTCATATGGATGTGTTTATGATTCAAATCGATCATCGCTTCTTTTGCTACTAGAGCGATACAAAAAGGTCCACATGAGCGATCTGCAATAATCATTCCTCATTTGGTCTCTTTTCAAAGCATGCACAGTATGCAGTTGATAGTTACAACTTACAATACATCCGACGTCGTTCATGTGTGCACATGTAAGTACGCGTAAGTGACGCTAATTAGTACTACACAACAATAGTTCGTGGCCGAGTAGAGAAAACGTCACTTTATGAATGTATTTCTCGTTTGCACCCCTTCCCTTCGTCTCCTTAATGAGATGATGGCATGCTAATTATCTGAAAAGTAGAAGCCCGAGCAAGTAAAGTTTTTTTTTAGTTCGCTGAAATGATTATCCCTTTTAGCGCTAAATGGTAGAACGAACCCTTCTTTAATACTGATTTCTGGATGACTCAACACTTGGTAAAACATCAGTACATAGCAGTACCGAGCGAGTCACCTGTCGTTGTCGTTGTTGTCGGTGAGTCGGAGGCTGGTTGTATCATATCCGCATCCATCCTTCCCCCTTTCCTCTCTCGTATGTCAGGTCTCCCTTTAATTCGCTGCCACAATCGGCAATAGCAAATTAATTTGTGGGCTTTTTTTGTGTTCTCGTCCCTTTCCTCTCCTGACCTATTAATTATTTATCTCTGACTGTCTTTTTTCCTATATCTTCTACTCTCCTTTTCTTTTTTCCCTTTCTATTCAATGAGCTTGGCGACATGAGCACAATGACACCGAGCAAAGACGAACCAATTTTACCACCTACCGAGGAACAACAACAACAGCAAGTAACAGAAGTAGCAGCAGCAGAAGACGATCAGGCATTGTCTACCGTTGCCATTGCCGTCATTTGCGTTTGTGTCGTTGTTGGCGTAGCTCTATTAGTGGGCTTTATTTTGATACTACGCCGCATGCGACGAAGACGTAACGCGCACAATGCTGGATTCGTTACGTTTGACGACGCACAATCATGGCAAAAAGCATCCATGTCCTTTAGTGGCGAGCATCAGCACCACTATCACCCGCCACCACCACCAGAAACACACGACCTTGTATTCAACTCAATATTGGAGCACCCCCCACGAGCGCCTGCTTCTTCGCATCAGACCAGTAGCAAAAACAGCAACTCCTTGTCCACGACAAGCATGATGTTTGAAGACGGGTACGAGAAGTCAGAAGAAGACGATAAGATTCTCATGTCGCTGGCTCGACAGAAGGATTGGACTCAACTGTATCGCCCATTAACGCCTTCTCAACTCGAACAACAACAACGTCCGCATCGCATTTCAAACAGCTCATCGTATCATGTCTGGTGAAGAACTATAGTTCTTCTCCGCTGTCAATCTACCTTCGCCCCCCACCCCTTTGTCCTCTTCTTCATGTACCATAGCCCATCATCACATGTTCCATTTTAACAATCATTCCCAGTCCTCTCGCCCTTTCCGTGTATCCTTTCGATTACTTCCGCTCTCATTGTATATAACTCTTTCTTTTTGTTCTCTCCCTCGTGCCCCTTGTGTTCCTCGTGTGATTGAATAATCTGTCAAAAACAAACAAACGAACAATAAGAGTTTCCTTTTTAGCTCCATTTTCTTTGTTCAAGTGCCGCATCATCTTTTTTTTTTTTTTTTGCTTGCGTTCATTTTCTCCTTTTATACTACGCTGTATAGTATTACACACTGTACACGTTGTACATTCTAAAATGGCCGACCAAGATGATTCACTATGGCAGCCTGTAACCCATGGCAACCGTGGTAGTGACCAAAGAGCAGTGTCATCACAACAACAACAACAATGGTCACAACGAGAAGTTCCGCGATGGCAACATATCCGAACACCAGCCGAGCAACAGGATACTGAAAACTCGCTTCGTGCCTTAGGTACTATGAATACTACTTGGTAATAGCAAATAATAATAATAGTAATAGTAGTCATAAACTGCCCGTGCTCATAAAACCGGGAGCGTCCCTCTTCATTTATCCCGCTTCTCTTTGCAAGAATCAATGTTGGCACGGCTGAAGTCAAGACCAGTGAGAACGAGACCCACACAAGAATCATCAACGTTTATCCAGGAGCAACAAGAAGCATGGCACGACGATGATGATTCTTCTATCGATGCATCCTCAGTAAGAGAAGGAGAAGATGCAATGACAGCAGCAGAAGAGGATCATGAAGGACTTTATTTACTATGGAGGGAACGTGCCCAAAGTGGAAGTCAAGAAGAGGCATCCTTACTGGATAAAGCGCTTCAACGTCAAAAACTAGAGCAGGAGTATACATGGCCATGGACCCTGGCCTGGATCCCTCGGTGTTGTTCATGCTGTCTCGGCTCCTCTTCATCATCGTCTTAAAATGGGTCTTGTTATTGGCTATTCCCTTCATGGTGCTGCTGTTGCTGTTGCTGTTGCTGTTGGTGAGATTCCCACAATTGCGATTCCAAAAATATTCTTGTCGATTCTTTCTCGCTACTACTGCTACTGTTACTATTACATACACATTACATCCAATATAATAGAACAATGGATATTGACATTAGCCCTGTCCGGTGACTACGTGTGCATGTAATAAGGGGGCTGGACTGGATTGGGTGAATGGGAATAGTAAATACCTTGCAGATCGAAACAGGGGCTTACCCGTTCGTGCCGTCATCGCCGCCGTTGCCGTCGTTGTCGACGGTGTTGTTGTCGTGGTCGGTAAAGAGAAGATTGCAAATGAGAGCAGGATGATCTGATATTTTGGCACAGGTTAATGTTAAATGCTGGGTCCGCTGTACTTGTTAATTCTCTGTGCACATCCCCACCTCTCCTCTCTTCTTCGATGTGGTCCCGTTCACTCTTTTTTTTTTTTACTCCACCCAAACTTCCGATCCGGAACTAACACAGCTCATGCGATATCCTTTCCGTTATCACCTTCCCCCTTGAATCTGTTCCAACTTACCATAAGGACCATACTCGTAGTCGCAGAAGACTTTTGTTGATCAAATGCAAGCGTTAGTGATTTTACGCGAGATTCTAGTTCGGACACTTGAGCCTTGAGGGCCTCGTTTTGTTCTTCCAGTGCAGTGACATGCTCTCGTTTTCGTTTGCGGGACAAAAGTGCTGCAGCTCGGTTTTTGATCAGCCGTTCCTGTCGCTTGGCCAGTGCGGCTGCTGCCTTTTCGTCCTCGCTAAGACGGCTACTGCCACTGTTGTTGCTAAAATTATTAATGTTACAGTTGTTTTTGCTTTTGATGTTCTTGTTGTTGCTGCTGCTGCTGCTGCTGCCGTCGTTGCTGCCTTTGTCGGAGGTGCTAGTATTCATATTGTTGTCAGCTGGTTCAGGGGTCGCTATCGACCTTGTCGGCAGTGGATTAGGGAGAGAGTCTGTTGTTGGCGTGTTGCTTCTGGCTGTTGCGATCAAAGATACCGTTGCTGTATTAGGCGCAGCCACCATCGGTGCAGGTGCAATAGCTTGTGTGGTAGCAGACGATGGACTGATTTCGCGTTTCTTGCGACCTCGTTTCCTTTTTGGTCGTGGAGATATGGAAGTTCTTTCCTGTTGTTGAAGAGAAGCCGATGAGATCAACTGTTGCTCCTGTTCCTGCTGTTGTTGTTGTACGACAGATGTGTTAAATGGCTGGAAGTAGGGCACAAGTGGCGACTGTTGCTGATGGTGGGTTGGGTGGTGATGGGCGTGTTGCATGGATGGTGGTGGCAAAGATGCAAACAACTCTGGTGGTGGTGGAGGTAACGGTAAACATGAAGAAGATGACATCCCCCTTGTAGCATAATAGGATGGATCAATTCCAGTTGCTGCTGCTAGTGATGCTGTAGGGACAGATGAAAACACTGTTCCCCCATGCTGATGTCTTGCTGCTGCTGCTGCTGCTGCTACAGCGGCAAAATAATTACAGGACCAGATGCTATTGTCATCTTCATCCACGCCCGTAGGTGTAAGAACGATGCTATCATTGCTGCCTTTTCGAGGGCTAGAGGTGCTGCTGTTGTCCGAACATGATGATGAAGAGGTATTGGACATACAGTCCGTGTTCAAATACGACATGAACAGATCCTCTTGATCTTGCTGTTGCTGCGTTGCCGGTTCAGACTTGATACGTGGTGAATAATCCATGGGAGTATAGATTAGTAGGTTGGTATATACAAAAGAGAGAAAAAGAGAGAGAAATAAGGGGTGAAAAGAGACTTTTTCTTATTCTTTTGAGAGCTGTCAGAAAAAAGTTTTATTTAAAAGGGGGTAGGACCAAACAGTTATGCAGGACATCGTCCGAATTGGTGCATATATTGAGAGTATTTTGTTCAGTTTCCTCTGGAATTCATCAAAATCACCCAAAAGCGAAGAGAGTCAGCATCTGGCAACATCATATCACGACGATCACATACACACAGGTACGTACCTACCCCACGCATTACAGATGTATCATTGTGTTGTCGTTATCACATATGCTCGTTAGTTTGCAACAGCATGTGGCGGTATGTCTGGCATGTTTCACGAATGGATCGAAGCGATGTCTTGAGTTCTGTAAGCATAGGCGACTGTGTTTGTGTTCGTGATTGATCTACAATCCAAGCAGTCTTGTCCTTGTACGCACTACATGGGTTAAGTAAATTACATGATTATGATGAAGTATGGTATGGTTTGGAGTCATCCATTATATATGTTTGTGTTAAGAATTGCATATATAATAAGTCGCTATATGGGTGCATATTAATCAGGGGGGCGTATGTGTCGTGTTCCATGTACTTTTTTCTAATCTTATATTCGCTAATATACTCAGCACCGTCTCTTTTCTTTGATGAAAACAGGTATTCACCAGGGATTCATGAAAAAAAAGGATACACGCATGACGCTTGTGGATCATTGTGATGTGTTGCAAATTTGAGACCAAACGTGTTACAAACCACATAGATATCCTGGACGCAGAATTCAATCACCAGATCTTCTTTGAGCGGTGGCGTAAAATGCTGTAATTAATAAAGGTTAGACCAGACGATTAGCTTTTGTTCACACACAACACTTACACAGCATCTTTATAGAAACAGAAGCAGAAAAGCTCGAATGGCTATTTATACTTTACTTTAGGGTGGCAAACCTTATACGGGAACAATTCGGTTTCGCTGGGATATTCAAATGTAAGCCTCGCTCGATCTGTATACTGACGTACTGTCTCAAGCAGCTGGAGCAAAGAGGTTAGCAAGCAGTTATAGAATACTAGTACTTCCATGCGGTTGTATTAGTAGTGTGCAGTGTGTAGCAGCATTGTTTATGAGAATGTCATGCTATCATCACAGCCCGCACTACTGCTGTTATTCTTTTTAAGCTCACAATGACAATACATACTTCGACCATGGTTTGTTTTGTCAACAAGGACGGTGTTGTGGACATGATACATTCGGCAGCCAATATCATGTAATTATTGCCTTGCTGAATTTGTTCAAGGAAATATGGATAGGCTGGAGTGATCATCGCCTTGGACTGGGTGTCTTGATGATTAGCCAACCGCACCGTGAGTTCCTGCACAAACAGTTATTTCTTTTAATCGATGCTCCCACACGTAGAGGCAATCACACCCCCTTTTTTTATTGCAAGACGGCGCACACTTTAGCATTTTCCTCGTCTAAATGTCTATTTACGTGCATACGCATATACAACACACGCTTAAACGAAGAAAAACATACTGCTTTTGTGATATACGGGCCGCTCAACGAGATGTATCCCTTCAGCGACTCGTTTCTAACAAAATGCGTAGTGTACCATGCCATATGCAAGATTAGTAAATTTGAGTGTTCTGTACGGGGCGCTAACAGCCACCGGAATGCAATTGATCCGAGAAAATCAAAATCAAGGGACAGCTACTACATGACAGGTTGCTTACTTGGTAGATGACAGTGGCAAAGAATCGGTTTTACCTGGAAAAATAGTAAATGCCGATGATCGCACACAGATCAAACAAAAGGAAACGCCTTCTGTCTATCTCACCCTGTCTCTCTACATGTGTATCTCTCTTTCGCTCTCTCTCTCTCTCTCTCTCTCTCAAGACTCTTACTTTGTTTTGACAGAATGTTTAAGCTCGTCTGATATTTTCGGGGAGAGAGACGATGTTGATATACGAAGATAACAAGCAAGGCGGATCGTTAAAAACGCTTCTTTCCTTTACTTCTCAGCTAAACTTGGCAAAAACTTACCTCCAACTGGGATTTTAAACGTTCAAGTACAGACGGCATAATGTCATTCAAAAGCCATTGTTCTTGCAACATCTGTGGGGATTCACACGAGGATTGGGATTAGGTAGTAATGGGAAACAATTGAGCACCAGAGTAGACCAATAACTGGTCAGTAGTGTATGTTATGCTTTCGTCACGTAGTACGCGTGTGGCTATCTTATTTATTTATTTTTACCGTTGTAGTAGTAGCAGTATCGCACTTTGTCTTTCGGGGCATGATGATGATTAGAACTATAATAGCGGGCGAATAAAGAAACAATTAAATGCAGTGAGGTGATTGGTAGTAGTAGCACAAGTGCGAGCGTGGGTGTGATGCGCTTTCATTATTCGCAGTCTAATGGAAATAATCCCCAAGTATGGTTTTATGATTTAGTGTGCACCTCCTTTTTTTACATTCGTACACAGGTTCAGCAAACATTACAGCAGCAGCAACATGATGAATCATGCAGCATAATTACTCGTTAACCTTAGTCACGGTGTCCTATATATATGTAGTAAATGATAATAATGATAATTGCCTTTATATTCTTCGTTGTTTAAGCAGCAAACAATTTTCGAATCATATCTCTTTCTTTTGCAACTTGAACCCTTACTCTCGTTTTCTCTCTCCTATCTAGTGTACTTCACGGATATCAAGACCAATATGTCCTATCAACTGCTAAACCGACCCAATGCAGCAGTAGCAGATACCAGCAATAACAGCGAACAGGAGAAGCGGTTACTATCCAGCAATGGAAGTAATGCAGACTTATTATCTGCCGAAGAAGAATCCCGCATTCCACATCGGCACCATAACCATCATCACAGTCTCAAAGGTCATGTTGAAGAACATTTCTCGAGACCCGAGCTTGTACGTGATTGTATTCTCGGGTTATCCGACGGACTAACTGTCCCTTTCGCTCTCGCAGCCGGTCTGTCGAGCTTGGGTGACAGTCGTATTGTGATTTTCGGTGGATTAGCTGGTAAGTGAATAACACAGATGAGATTGAGATGGTATTAGAATCTCTTCTTACTCGACCAACCATCACAGGAATATGCTAATCGAGACTCGTGCCAACTCTTTTTTAGAGCTGGTCTCAGGTGCCATTTCTATGGGTCTTGGTGGTTATTTGGCAGCAAAATCAGATGCAGACCATTATATTACCGAGCGACAACGAGAAGGTAATGCATCCAAGCAAAAAAGTTCTCGGGAAACACATGTTTTTTTTATAAATAGTCGGTTTTGACGGGAGTCTTATGATATACATGTAATACTTACTGAGATCTTTCTAGAGCGAGAAGTGGAACTATATCCTGATGAAGAGGAAGAAGAAATCGTCGAGCTGTTCGAGCCCTATGGCTTAGACCGTGAATCAATGGAGCCGATGCTGGCACGGTTCAGAGAAAACACACAGAAGTTTGTTGATTTCATGATGAAGTTTGAGTTGAACTTGGAAATGCCAGACCCTCACCGGAGCTGGGTAAATGTTTTCTCCTTCTTGTTTAGATTAAACACATGAAACATATTTTAGTTTTGTAACCAATATTGGAATGAAACCACCCCTCTAATAGATTTCGGCAGCGACAATTGGGTTATCCTATCTGTTTGGCGGCTTGATTCCGCTTCTTCCGTATATCATCATCGTGGACACTACAGACGCCTTATTCTCATCTATTGTGGTGACATCCATGACATTGTTTGCATTCGGCTATATCAAGAGCATCTATCTAAGACCTGCCCAAGCAGTCATGGGCGCTTTCCAGACGCTGGCAATCGGCGCTGTTGCAGCGGGGTGTAGTTATGGTATTGTTGCACTTGTCAACTCAACCAATGCACCCGCTTCTTCTGGAGTACCTTCTTACGGTGCATCTGTCTCTTTTCACTAAATTTTTTAAAATTGTAAAGTAGTAATCAAATAAAAAATACAAAACAAAACAGACAAAAATCAATACCACTCTTTCCAGCTCTTGCTATACCGCGCGCCCTGCCCTGCAGCCGATAGACAGCAAACTTTTTGCCACATGTAGTACAAATGGTTTTGCGTCGATCCTAAAGTCTTGGCAGCAGTGCCCCAAAACGGTAAAAGTCATCTCCGCATTGCGCTTCTACAGCAACAGCCTTTTTGTTTCGTTCCTCTTTTCTTTCATACAGCACTTACCACCTTCATTATACTTTCTTTCTTTTCTTTCATATCCATTCCTCTCCTTTCTTGAACATACATATACACTCCTCGTACACTTAATATAATATACATAATAAAAGAAGGCTCTTATGTCTCTGAGCTGGCGACGACGACGAAAACCATGGCCGACTTTTTTACTACTTCTCGCAATCGCCATTAGCGCACGGTCATTAATAACAATAGCAGCAGCAACGGCATCACGACCATCACCAATAGCAATGGCAACGCCCTCTACGTTCTGTGTGCATCATCAACATTCTACCAGCAGAATCCGGCACGCGATCCGACCCTGTCCCGAGCGATCTCATAAACGACGGGATTCGCAACCACAGCAAGAATCAGAAGCCAAAATGGTAATCAACTATACATGTCATGCAAGTAACGACGATGAGTGTGCCAAAGTACAAAGTTTGCTCGCCAAAGCAAGCGAAATCATCACATCCGTTCTCAAGTTTGAGACTCCGGTACATGTCAATGCTTCGTACTTGCCGTTTTGCCAGAAACTCGGGCAATGTCAAGATTCCAGCGGCACGGTTAGCACAGGTATGTAGAGACAGTGCATTGTTGCTGTGGAGCGAGGAAGGTTTTACAACACGGCTGCTACCATCACTACTTAAAATTGAACTATAATTTATATGCTAGAATACTTACCTGAGTCGTAAATTAAATTAGGACAAGCATATCCATCAGTATCCTATCTTATGCAAGAAGAAAACAGCATCAGAATGTATCCACAGGCATTGCTTAAGCAATACACCAACTTATCCGCCCAGGTCGACTGGTACGAATATGACATGAATGCACAATTCAATAGCGAGATTGATTGGTACTTTGAGGTATGTACAAATTCAAATTTTTATTGTTTATATTGTTCTTCTTCCTCGCTTGCCGAAATAACATTATCATCACCATCAACAGGATGACGCAAATTCGATCGATAAAGATAAAACCGATCTATTATTGACCATAATTCACGAACTTATACATGGCTTGGGCTTTGTCAGTGCATGGAGCGACGACACGCATGAGCGCTTTTCCATCTACGATCCAGAAATGAAAAAGTTCTTGACGCCAATGCCGCTGGATCCACCGAACGAACTACCCGATGTCAGTGCAGCTGTGAATTCTGAATCTGGCGTACAACCATTCTGGGGTTTCGTCGATTTCCCACTGGACAAGTTCTTTTACGCCCATAACAAAGTGCACTTGGCAGGTGTCACAAAGCTACTAAATCAATGGGGCGACGGCAACGTCATGTTTGCTACAATCCTTGACATGGTCAATGCATGGGTAGGCGATACTAATTTTCGCGAGCAAGCCGAAAAATTGTATCGAAGTGCTACCACGCGGGGTGACATAACCATTGTGATCGACGACGAGCAAGTCATGGTCATGGAAACATCCCTAGCTCCTTTTCAAGATGGATCATCCTTGACACATGCAGATGAATCGGCCTATGCTAGCACAGCCGATTATTTAATGTGTTATAGCGCCATGCGTGGCGTCAGCTTAGCAGACTTGTCGAAAATCCACAAATTGGGACCGATAGGCCCATCGCTCGTCCGTATCATGGCTGCCATGGGTTACCATATCCAATCTTCGTATAATAATGGCTCCATTCCACAAACCGTTCAGTCAAATATCACATTCTGGGTACCGCCGATTGATCTAGTCGGCACATCCACCAATCCTTCACCTGCTGTCAGCGTTAATGCCAACGGCCCTGCTCATATACCCTCTGCATCTGCCACCCCTTCTTCATCTTCTTCATTGTTATCTGCTTGTTGTACCGAGCTACCGCTGCTGCTCTGCCTATTCTCAACCTTTGTATTTTTTTCTGTTTCTAATAGTCACTCCTCTCTCGCTCCCTTAATTCCATAATCATCCATCGTTTGTACTTTAATTGTTTTTGTGCTTTGTAATATATTGCGGGAATTTTTCTTGGCTATGATGACTTAGCACTGCTCTTTTCCGCAATTCCTTATTTACATGGTTTGTTTTTCTGACGTCGTCAGTTTCAAATATACAGCTCCAAAACCACATCACTATTTTGGTACCAATAGCTTGTACACGTAGCAAAAATGGTGGGCTTGGCTCCCCAAACCAGTAAAATAAGGAAGGACTACAGAAATTCCACTGTTTGCATAATAAATGTCTAAAACGAGGAAATATCTTTATATGATCTTCATTCATTTGTTATTAAGGAAACGTAGATGCTTCCATCGCACGTGGTACTAAGTAGTATATTCTATAAGCCAGATCAATTGACATACATATTTGATCTATACTCGTGATAATCGAGTAGGACCTTTACAACAATCATGTGAAATGATATGCTACCCAGAGAAAGGATTATAGACACACTCTCAACAGCTTTACTGCAGAGGTGCTGGGATTCTTCTTTCGCTATTGTATTCCCACTGTCTCGCTAACTAGGACACCATACCAAACTTTTTTTAATAGTAGTATATCAACGTTGATATATAAGCGAAGTATCTCAAAGAAAGCGAGAGGAGCTCTTTTTCATCAGAAAAAGCAGTACAGCATGTACAAGCAGCTTTTTTGATATGACCAATTACAACTACTTGTAGTGTGATTGATATTCTATTAGAATCATTTGCCATTAAAGAAGTTGCCTCAAGCGTTGACGTTGCCAACGACCGTAGTTGGAGGGCTCTTAGCTTAAGACGACTGGTAGAAATCAGAGAAAATTGAATGCCTGTTGAGAACAGCCCACAGCTCATTGAAAGCCCCCTGATCAAGATGAAGTTCCCAAAGCATAATATAAGAAGATAATCGCTTTATATATACAGCCTTTAAAACGCTGTGTCTAGCTTTAGCTTACTTATTGGTGTATTGTAGGCTATGATACCATCAAAATTGATAGCGAAAAAGATGTATTAAGAATCAGAGGAGAGTTAAAAGCGCCAGAGTATGAGATTATAATATACCATAATCTGAAGCGTAATATTGAGTGAGCTTGTGTTTAGCTAATATCTCAAAGCTTTGGAGGATCTACGTGGCGCCTTGTAGAATATATAAAATACAACTTATCCTACATTGAGTAAGCACCGCTATAAATCATCTGTATGTGCAAAAACCTCAGAGCTATCCAAGAACACTGCTAACCCAGCGAGCTTCTGTGATAGGATAGTTCTCCTGACCATTGAGAGTCGCTCTATCGACGTTGTGTCTTAGAAGGTCTTCCTGGACGACGCCATTACATTTGAAATAAACTGGTAAGTTGCAGGGATGTCTTTTTTTTTTGGATCATGCCAGTTTTTATGCGCGACGAAAAGCACGCTACGATCTTGATCCAGGTTTCAAGGCATATAAATGGGACACGATATATCGACACGTGGAAGCCAAACAAGGTTTATACACATTCGAAGACATAATCCACTCCTCTGCCTGAGTACCGTCATGACGAACTTCTCACATTAATGCGCCTCGCGCTGTTTTTTTTTTGGCACAGTGTGACGAATTATGAAAATAAATATGGGAGCAATATCGGTATATAATACTAGGCTAAAGTACCGTTTTCTTAATGTTGTTTAAGTGGCACTCTTGCTGCTCTACAGTAGCAGCAACGCGTTGAGGCCGAAAAGTCTTTGATGGAAAAGGTGTTGCCAGTGTGCGTACTACAAATCGTGCAAGCGATAAGGTCGACATCGGAGAGAGTGAAGAGAAGGCAAGTTTAGATTGTAGATTTGCGAGCTACACGGACTGTATGTGGGCATAGGTTAGCTGGACGTGGTTGAGCCACAGCTAATTAAGCAGGACCTTTGCTAGGGCAAGATCACAAGAAGTGCTCATCCAAATAAAGAAAAGATGGTTTCTGTGCTCTTTAATATGTTCCAAAATACTCGGATACAGAAAACGGAAACATCTGCTTTCCATCTTTATCGAAATGAAATGGCCCGTAGCATTTTCGACAGAAGAAGCACGGTGATGAACCACTCATCATGTCGTCAGTCGTCATGAACCTTGTTTTAAGATCACAGTTAATCATTTCTTGTAGTAAGGTCCGTGCAACTTTTAAAAACACAGATACTTACTCTGCTGGGTATACTGAGCACATGGAACACTTGAAACGCATGTACTGTGAATTAAATGTCGTATAAGGATACTCGGAGCGCTTTTTGGGATCTTGACTACATTGCATTCTACGTTTTATACATCAACGTTATCATCGATTTTAGCTTATCCCTTGGATGATGTTGCAGAAAAAGTAGTAGAAACAGACGAGTTCATCTTATGTAAGTACTTACCGGACATCACGAACCATGATCACGTGTTGACATCCGTCTTGATGCAAAAATTGGTATGGATGATTGATTCTGATCTGCAACTCTTCAAACGTAACATCTTCCATCGATTGCCGGGTATATTCTGCAAGTCCCTCCTGCTTGTATCGCTCGTTTTCCATGACCCATTTCCGTATGGGCTCGCTATAATCAGGTTCAGCGTCCAATCCAGCCTTTTCAGCACGCGTATCGACGTAAAACACATCTTCAATAAAAAGATAACTGGCAGACAGTTTCGTGTTGATTGTGTTGAGTATTGCCCCTTCTGTTTCCTTGTCTTTCCGGTTGCGATTCGCTGCAAAGTCCTTCATGCAATAAATGGCGTCACGAAGCTCGGTTAGTTTCTGGGAGCCCAATACATTGAATTCGCGAACGCGGCGGTCAGCTTTTCGCGGATGATAAATAGCAATCGTAAGAATGACTTCGTTAGTCAAGTCTATTTCCTGTTCTTGTTCTTCGCTTTCCGGTCCATTGATTCCTCCAATTTCATCAACATCGTCGTCGTCGTCGTCGTCGTCATCATCCGAAAAATCGTCTGTCTGGGCTCGTTTGCCCTTTGCCTTTTTCTGTTTCTTTGTCTTTTTATTTTCTTTGCTATCGTTGATCTTGTGCTAGATCCATAGGAGTAGTGATTGTGTGTAAGAGTCGAGAAATAGTATCGAAAGAAAAGACATGTATATGCTGGAAAAAGCAAGAGCATACCTTCACTCTGTTAAAGCTTGCATAATTAAGTGGAACTCGTTGTCTTGGAAGCAAGTCCACAATATGTGCAGGACTAGCAAAAAGAACCCTTATCTTTAGTTTCTTCCTCACTCAGGATATTCGCATGTTCGCCAAAGAAAACATAGTGATTGACCCTACTTACTTCAAGGATTGTAGCGGACTCGTCTTGATCTGCTCTGCCATATCCATATATAAACGTGTCAACTGAGTTTTCGGAATATCAGGATTATCCAAGTCTTGCGGTTGCTCAAATGTTACATCCCGATCAACAGCCGTATGAAAATCGTCCTCCTCCTCTTCTAATTCTTCGGCTGCATTCGCTTCTCCAAAACTTGTCGAGTTACTTTCTTGTGGCTTTAATCCAGGAAGCACTAGTTCAGGATGTAAAATGCGGGTAAGCCGACTCATGCCTTCTGTATCTAAAAGCGTGGATGACGACGACGGCGAAGACGAATTTGACGACAATTGTTGCAGCTGTCGTGATACAGTTGGTGATGTTGACAGTGATCCGGTTGGCGTTGTAGTGCTGGGCGTAAAATAAGGCGTCTGTGTGTTAAGTGTTGTATAGTTGGAATATAGCTCGTGCAATGCACCCGGTGCATTGTTCTGTGCCACGAACTTGCGTCGTTTAGGAACAATTGGATTAATATATTTGTGGTTGCCGACATCATCGTTTTTTTCCATTTCTTGCAATAACCGTTCGTCTTCTTCCAGTAGCGTTCGATTCGGCATAACATCTTTGGCTTGTGGTTTTTTGGTAACGATCTGATCTTCCTCGGTTCGAATGCGTCGTCGCAGCCAGGAATTAACTTCAGTTTCTTTGTACCGTTTCAGTAGTTCGAATAAGGTCGTATCGTCAAAGAATTTAGACGCGCTTTTCAAACATTCTACATCGAACCTATCAATCATATCACAAGTGAAACTTGCATGAGTTCAATCGCAAGACGAATCTTTTGCCTGAAGTCACTGTTAGAAAAAAGAAATACTGACAATGCTTCATCGACCACGGCATTGAGCATTTCAACATCAATGTACGCTTTTTCGTGCTGTTCTTGTTGTTTAATGAGTTCAATATGGCTACGTTTAAATTCGCCTACATCGATCTTTGACATTTTTTTGAGTTGCAAAAGAAACACCTGTAGAATTTCTCGCTCTCTGCGTACAAAAAGAAACTTCTGGCGAATCGGATTCTAATCCGGCCTTTTCACATATGCATTCGTGTGTATAAACTCACTCCAAATTGGTTTGAAAATTCTAGACAGCCATGACGTTTGTTTCCATGGTAGTCATTGAAAGCTATGTTGTTTATCATCTAATCATGCGCTTGCTTCCAAGAGAAAAGAAACCACTTGGTATATGTACTACTACTCTGTTGCCTCCTTGCACGGGGATCATTGAAGTTTTCAATCTATGCATATTACGGAACGAAAATCGTCTATTTGCTCATGATGATTAGCTCAAAGTTTATTCACCATTTGAACTATTGGAGTATTACTCAAGCAATCTGTTATACTTAATTTGACATTATCATGACTATGCATAAAGTCATGTACTCTTTGTATTGTGATGGTGCTTATAAACTCCTGGTCCCGCTTGTGATCAATAGGTTCATTGAACACAAGAAACTCTAGCTTTTTAACGTGCCGAAGCACAGTTCGTAGTGTTGTCGAAGGGCAGCCATGCACGGCTAAAAATATTATATCAGGGGGAAAACACAGTACTGTTTCCACTACAGGTGCGCCAAGCCAAGCGGAATTAAATGGTCGTTCGCATGGACCGTGTCACTTGTACCTGTTTTAAAAATTCGACTGCTATTAGCTCCTGTTACTATCAGGAGAATGCACCTGTCAAACATAAGGGCGTCTGTCACTGTACCAAAAAAGTTGTGAGATTAAGCATGGTCATTATCAATAATATTGTTTGTCCCTCGCTTGCCCTTTTCAACGGCGAAAGAATCAGCTTCCCTCTTTCCCATCGGAAAGTTGTTTCTAAATATAAGGAGAAGCTGTTGAAGGAGAGCAACAGAGAAGAAAGGAAGAAATCTACGCGTTGTACAAGCTGCTCCGAGCTTTTTTTCGACATAAAGTATATGCACAGGAACAAGTACACTTAGAAAATCTGCTGCTCTTCTTACCGAGCACTAAGAATATGAGGATAAAAGTTGGTCTGTAAAGTTTCAATTGCAGAACGTTTCGAGAGATTACAGTATATCTTGATATGCTATGTAGCATGATTTAGTACACTCAAAAGTTTTCCTTGTTACCAAAGAATATGTGAAGAATAGTTAAATATACTCATCATTAAACTCAACCTCAAGAGGTTACGTTAAGTGCATGACCATAGAGAAGCAAGAGTATATTTTATATGAACTAGAGCTGTAGGACGCTAAGTAAGGTTTCAAAGAAGAAGATTGATGCTATTGAGGTCTCTGTTTAGGGTGTCAACGTTAAGGATAGGCTGGCTGTAGTGTCAACTCGTCTCGGAATAATGGCTCTTGCCAAGTTATTTAGACCTTCAGAAAGCAGAGAATTAATACTTTTTGCTAGCTTTTTAATTCATTACATGAGGAATATAAGACAAATCTCTTCAGCGACTGCTCAACCCAAGCCGATAGATGTTTTATAGCTGAATTGCTTAGATTTAGTTGAATAAAACAAAGAATAATGAGAGATAAGCACTAAACTAGAGATGCAAAAATGAAGTGTCAATGGAATGGCTTTTAATGATGAGAATGAGTAACATTATATAAGGAGAGGAGGGGAGAGAAAGGACAGATATGGACAAATATGCAAAAAAAAGTTAGTTATAAGGGGAGGAGGCTAGGGGAGAGGAGAGAGAAGAACAAATAATAATAATAATAGAATATATCAATAAATTATATATATATAATAATTAATATAATTCGAAATTTGATATAGAAATTCTATAAATCTTTTTTTCATTATATGTTTATAGTTTTATAATATTGAATTTAGAGAAAAAAACTATTTTATTTTTAAAATTTTTTTTACCATTTAAATAAAAAGATATCAAAAATATATTGTTCATAGTGAATGAAAAATTAGAAAGTAAATAATAAATCTTTTATTAATTGAAACCAGCACAACGGTAGTGAGCACACCTTCCTAACATGACGAGCTTGCTGACGAGATGTTCTTGATTTTGAAATAAAAAGGTGTAAGTTGCAGGTAGATGGCAAGCTTATACGAGTATAAACTAAATTAAAACTTTTCTTTTTAAATTATAATTAAATATATAATTGTTAATTATTAATAATTTATCAGAGAGGACAGACATAGACAGATATACAAAGGAAAGTTAGTTGTGAAGTTCTTCAGAGGGTCGCTTTTTCTTTGTTGTCTGCAACACGCCATCTGATCGTCAAGTAGGCCAGCAGGGTCTCTCCTTTTTCCTTTTGTCCTTTTTTTAAGTTGAGTAGCTTTGATTTTGTCGGCAACGATGACAGCAAGAGTTTTGGCTTGTAAGAGACAATGAAAGAGGACAGGGAACGAACCAAGATCAGATTGTTGGGACATGACATGATATTGTAGCTTCCAATTTGAATCATGCGGTATAATACTTGAGCCTTCATAGTGCCAACTAGTCTTGGACCAATGGTTGTTGCCAAGCTATTTGGACCCTCGAAAGCAGTTTACAAGACAATTTTCTTCAGCGACCGCCCAACCCAAGCCGATAGACGTTTTATACTGTAGCTGAGTTGTTTAGGTTAAGTTGATGGTACAGGAGTAACTTGAACCTTGGAGAGTTGGAAGCCTTCTTCCGTCACACTGAACAACTTTTTTCAGTCTCTTCCTCTTTTCTCTCTGTTCCTTACCAACCTCGTCTCCTTTATTTACACTTATACCAATACTTTAAATAAACACCTAACATGCGCCTGCGCATGTTGTTGGTCCTTTTCTTCCTGCTCGTGCTTCTGGGCATTCTTGGGTTTGCTCCCATTGATTTGCAAGGCAAGATCAACGACAAGGTTCTCCATTACTTTGCTTTCACGATCCTCGCCATCTGCCTATACTTCTTGTGGGATCTGTCGTATAAACGAAACCTAATATTGGCAGGCATCGTCCTGTACTCCTTTGCCATTATAAGCGAATGTGTTCAAGGGCTTTTACCGGTAAGAGACGAGTAAACGGGTTTTTTTCCTTGTTACGATTATCCTTATAGTTGTCATTACAGCTTTGGAATAAAACTATGACATCTACTTTTTACAAAAAATCGTTACTTACATATGCATGGTATTTTCTATTTGCCTAATGATAATTATCATCCAACTTTTACTGTTATACAGTACCGTACGTTCGATGGATACGATATCTTGGCTAATGTGTTGGGCGGCTCAACAGGTCTGTTGAGTGCGTTTTTAATTGATTATTTCTTTACTTCTCGGCAAGAGCACAAGCGGCGATGGGGTGGCAAACGAGAAGCCGAATACCAACGAGCATTAATGGACGAAATGGATTTGGGCGAAGAGGAAATAGAGAGCGATGATGATCGATATAATAACCATGTCGACGAGGAACGACGACGCATGCTGCCGTGAAAAATGATCTTGAAATAAGTACATACTAGTAATCAATAATTATAATCGTATCAATACCCCCTTCCACACACACACACACACACACACACACAAATAGTACCACCTTAGTTTATCAATCGTAATATTTAATAAAATCGTGTAATAAAACCGTAACTACAGAAGATCAAACACAAATGCACAAAGGGGATGAATATAAAAGAAAAAGCGGTGGTATAGATAGGTCGAAAGACGAGGTCAGCGGCGAAAATGGGCTGGAGCTGTCCCTGTTGAATTGCAACAATGCTTAACATCAGTAAGCAATGGTGATGACAATATAGTACCTACTGGTATATCCAGAATTATCTTTGGGTGCGAAGTTACGATAATCGAACCGTATAAACATCTATATACATAAGTAAGAACAATGCATAGTCACATTGCTTGCATAGCAACGAGGAAAAACACATACCATGATCAGCTTTCGACAACTCATGCAGTGTAAGATGAAACCATGCTTTACTGTCTGGGAACAGCGCACACAGTAATGCTGTCCCTTCTAATCACAAAAACTCTCCCCCATACATATACCGCAAAGAGTGGTAAGTGCATCTTCTCACGGAGAATGTACAAACGAGTACACGTCTATCCCATCATTGGCAGACCTTCTAACATAAATTTTTTACAAAGAGTATGCCTTTATTCGTAGGAATCATGGAGCTGTAGGCCCCGCCGGTAACTGAGGCTTGTGGAAAACAAGGGAGGGCGACCTCCCTTGGTTTTGATGAATGCAGGACCCCAAACAAGCCGGTCGTTTACAAGCAGCGTTAGACAAACTTGCATTCTATTATTTTTTTACAATAAGCTCTATTGATTTTGCTTTGTTTACACTTTCACTCTTGTAAAAGATGTGCCTCGACATGTGTTTGTAGTTTTTCTGAACAAGGGCTGATCGATTGACTACCATACAGTAATAAGCGTGACTTTCCTAATAATTAATACGGTCTTTGCACTTGATCGTTGCTGGCATTACTGTTACTGATGATGCTTTCTCTCTAAATCATTCACGAAACGAGTGCTTTGTGCCTTCCTAGCATGCTTTCATGAACCGTTCGATTCTTTTGCTTCCTGGCTATTCAACTAAAAAAGCTGGTAACAGTAAACTGTTTCGCACAGATCACCTTGCATGTACGGGGATCAGCACACATATTCCACGATTTATCGCAGCTTATTGGTGTGTAAACAGTATGTATACACACGCCAGGTTATTGACACAGTAAATGGGGCCATAGCTACTTCGCGGCAACGATCAGTGCATGCACAAAAGAGTGCTTACGCGTTTCCTATCTTTGGTATATCATACCAGAAGCCGAGTATAAGGAGGTAATATGTAGCATAGCAGATTATTCTTCATGAGACAGCTGTTATTGTAAGCGTTAGGTACCGTTATCGACCACATCATACATAGCGGCTAGATTATACGCTTACTACATGTTCCTCACTTACATGTCTTATTATTATAGCTATGGGTACTACCACCAGTGATAGTAAACGTTGTGAGTGTCCTAAGAGTGCTGCAGGGCTATAGACATAGACTTGTAGGTTAGCTCCATTGCAACGTATGTACCAATGCGAGTGTAACAATCACAACCCGGAACTGTCGGAAATGGCTCAATCCTGCACGTCGGATCTTGCGGGCCGGTCAATTGACTGGTTGGCTAACTTGGTTGAGCGCCGAGACTTTTTAAGAGAAAGAAGAGTGAGGAGTATGTGTAACAAGTACAAGGGCCAAAAGAAAAAAGAAAGTTCTCTCTTTTTTTGTTTTTTATCTCTTTTCCTCCTCCTCTCTTCCAATTCGTTCGAATTGTTACATGGACTTTTCAAACCTGATAGATCTGTCAAGTCTACAAAATCGCACGGACACTCCTGTTGGGACTTCCAAGTTTCCGTTCGACCTTTGTCCTGGAATCTTTGCTTGCAATGACCATCCACTTCCGGGCACACCTTTGTACAATTCGAAATCGGTGACCGGACTTCCTGCACAGCTTGTTCTTTGCGGTTCCGTAGGACTTTTATGTTTTCTGACCTTTTGCTTTGCACGAACTCGGTACGAAACAACTGAATCAAATTGAAAAGGACGTGTGTGTTCTTTACTTAGTATTCTCTTCCTTGTTTCTTTTATAACTATATTAGATGGATGTCAATGTACTCGCCCCGACTACGCATGAAAAAGTAAATGGATGAAGATGATGTCGATGCTCGAAATGTACACAGGGCAATCGAGGGAACACAAACTGGTTAATCACTCGTAACGATAAAATGCATTATCTAGACATGCACCAGCAAAGCTGCCAACGTCGTTTCTGGGATGGATATGGCCAGTAATCAAAACTCCGCACTCTGTCGTGTTGGAGAAAGTGGGTCTTGATGCCGTCGTCGTAAGTCTCTTCAAGGTGGTCACAGATGTACACGCTTATCGAGTCGGTCATCTAACAAAGAGAATCTCTGCGGATTGCGTGGAGGGTAGATGCTTCAATTTCTTTTGATGGGTGTTAAATTATTTGGTTTATGCGGCTTTTTTGGCACCGTCGTGCTGCTGCCTGTCAGCCGCATGGGCGGCGATCTACTGGGCAATTCGACCGATCCGGAAACCCCAGAAGAAGACGAACAAGAGATTTCGTACTACTCGCCCTCTTATCTATGGGTGTACCTCTTTTTCACATACTTTTTCTGCTTTGCGACGTTTTATTTTACGTTTCTCAATTATCGCGACTACGTTCGACTACGACGCCAATTCCTGCTGCGAGTAGCAAAGAAACTGCCATCACGCACCGTGCTGGTTACTGGCATTCCACAACATCTCCGCTCAGATCGCCAGCTTGCCACCTATTTCGAGCAACTGGGCATTGGTGTGGTAGAGTCTGTGCACGTTGTTCGTCACGTCGATCGTTTGATGGACTATATCAAGGAACGTGCGATGTACCTGCGGTTACTGGAGAGTGCGTATACAAAATACTGGGGCAACCCGTGCAAGGATACATCGTATGATCCAGAGCAACTGCTAAGCGAAGCTGAACGGGACAATTCTTTACTGAAGCCAGTCGATTGGGCACCGGATACTTTGGCGAACACCAAAGCAACTACGACTATAACAGCGTCAGGTAGTAGTCATAGCAACGGCGGATCTAGCACAGCACTGCCGTCGTATAGCAACCACACGAACAACAGCAAAAAACAGAAACGTCCCATGATACGGCCTGGTTTTATGGGACTCTTGGGCAAGCCTGTCGATGCCATTGAATATTACACAAAGAAATACAACGAAATAGACGAGATTGTACAAAAGGCACGCAAACACGGCAAGTTCGTTCCTACCAGTGTTGGTTTTGTCACTTTTGAGCATAGTGTTAGCGCAGTAAGTCTCTACCAAAAGCTATATCATTAATTTTTGAGGACCCATCATGACTAATCACCGTTTTTTTTTGACATTCTAAATTTATGCAATATTAGTGTGTTGCTGCTCAGGTGCTCATAGACTCGACGCCGTTCCGATTACATGCAGAATTGGCTGCAGAGCCACGTAATGTGCTGTGGGAGAATATCGCAATGCACGGACGCGAGCGGACGATCCGCAAAGTAGTGATCTTCTGTATCTTGATGTTCCTCGTCTTTTTCTGGGTTTTTCCAATATCCTACTTTTCGGCACTGACCAGTGAACGATCGCTACAAAACTATTTCCCTTGGTTGATGGATTTGGCGTCCAAAAACAAGATACTCCATCAGATTGTTGTGGGTTTCTTACCAACCCTCGCTGTGGTTGTGTTTATGGCTATTCTGCCCGTCATTGTGAATGGTAAAAACCATCTTTCTTTTTTAGTCGTACCCGAGTTCAGGGCTGCCGATTACTCATGTTTTTAATATTTGATAGTCCTCAGTGTCATTGAAGGATTTCAATCCAGAAGCGAAGCAGAGGAGTCCAGTTTCAGCAAGTATGTGATATGACACCTGTGTATAGGGTGAAAGGAGACTAATGTGCAAGAAAACATTTCCATAGGCACTTTTTCTTTTTGTTGTTCAATCTACTGCTCGTATTTACAGTCACAAGCACGCTTTTTAAGACACTGACGGATATGATCGAGGATCCCAAGCAGATCGCTAATATACTCGCATCCAGTTTGGGACAGGTGTGTAAAATTGCAACGCTAAGATATAATGGATAACATGCAACCGAAACTGACAGACACACGCGCACTTGTTACACTCTAGGTCGCACCATTTTTCGTCAACTACACCGTGCTGCAATGTTTGATGTTGTAAGTATTATCTCATATTATCTCCGGTTGTTTTGCACATCGATTTTATTCATGCGACTTTGCTTTAGGCTCCCATTGCAAATGCTACAAATAGGTGCTGTGATTCTCCAATTGTTCTGGCGCTTGCTTTGCAGAACCCCTCGTGATTATGCAGAAGTGTCGGCACCACGCATGTTCAACTACGGCTGGGGCTATCCTGCGCCAGTGTTTATGTTTATTGTACTGCTAGTCTATTCAACAAGTGCACCAATCATTCTTATCTTTGGTACGCTGTACTATTGCTTCGCCTACGTCGTATTCAAATATCAGCTCCTTTATGGTAGGCACTGGGTTGGAAAGAGAGAATCGGTGGTGGGTAAAGGTAATATTTATACGTTTTTTGGGTCCTTTCACTAACATAACAATACAATAAGTATTCTTTCATCCATACGAAGTCGCCGGACGCATGTGGCCGCGCATCTTTTCCCGTATCATCATCGGTCTACTGCTCTTTGAGACCATGTCTAGCGGATTATTTTTGCTTCGAAAAGCGTATCCGCTCGCTGTCTTGTGCTGGCCTCTGATACTAATAACTATTGTTTTTAAACTGACCATGGACGCTGCCTACCTGCGCAGCACACGTGTGTTACCCCTCCAGTTACTCACCCAACGACTCGGCATTGCCGAGACCACCGTGGTCGATACGCCCACCGTAGTGGCTCCACCACCCAATGGCAGTAACAATGTTGACCCACAACCTTCGACGTCCGAGCGAAGCACACGGCTCTCCTTTGCCCGCGATCTTCCTAACCGAACGACGCTTCGAAGACGGCGTACAGTTCTGGATCAAGACGATTATGTTGCAGCGCCTACGGTTCACACTGATTACCGTCAGCCGCCCATGACGCTTGTGGACGGCATTCTCAACAAGGGTATGAAGAAATACGGTCATCCAGCACTGCAAGGGCAATTGCCGCACCTCTGGTTACCTGTGTCAGCCAAGAGTTATCGACGCTCAAGTCATTATTCTGAAGATACCACGAAACCTGTGCGATTCATGTCAAATGGTAGTGTATGCAGCAGTCCTATTTCGCCTTTTGCCGAGCCTTCATTGTTGTCTTTTAATGAAGTAGATGAGAACAACGAGCGTCAACCGTTGCTATATTCGACGTCCCCTCAAAATGGTGTTCCTGTGCAGCAGCAGCAACAGCAACAGCAACAGCTCGGAGAAGAAGCCCTGATAGAGGACGAGGAAGCAAGTAGCGTGGATTCATCCTCCTCCGAAGAAGACGAAACGGCAGCCCGTGCAATGTATTATCATCATCCGGAGCGACGGTCTCGTGCGGTTTTACCCAATAGCTTCAGCAGCTACAATAGCAGGAATAACTACGGAGCAGTTTAAAAAGAATACCCCCTCCTAGCTTTTTGCAGTATGAGAATATGTGCTATACCCATTAGGTGCAACTATCACTGCAGTAGGAATACCGAACCTACTATAACCTATTTTCGACAACAGAAAACAAAGCACAAACTGTAAACAATGTTATATCTTATGTATCACCATCGATCAAGTTGTCTTTTATCCTCCGATGTATTGAATTTTGAGAATTTGTGTGTATACGTATGATTTTCGGATTTGTAAGGAGAAGATTTGTTCAACAAAAAGCTACCAATAAGCGATATAGACAATCAGATACCGCTCATAAAATGTGCGTATGTACAACTCACTCTAATTCATGGATGGCCAAGACTAGAAGGTTGTACTTCGTCTGTTCATGAAGAAGTAACTCCATCATGATAAATGATCCAAAATAAGTTCAAGCAGCGTCATAGACTGCATATATATATATATATATATGATGTAAAGAATAGAAATAAAATAACATGCTAGCTGAAATAGATCAGCGACATAATAGAGTGATGAGGAGGAGAGGGGCGATGACAATGCGTGATTGACACCTCCTTAGGCAATTGTGGATTTCCAGCCTATCGCAAGCTATGCATTGATATTAAGACGAGGAGCAAGGTAACTCAGCGAGTCCGTAAGTCCGAAATGAAGTTCCGTGAAAATCAGAAGCTGCATGCTACATGGTCGTGTAGTATGTAGATATGCCTAATAAATGATGCCTTTGACAAAGAACATACATCTATGTGCTATATATAAAAGTAATGATCCTTTTAATTGTACGCTTGCAGAAAAGATGAATGAAAACAACGGCGTGCGGGATGGCCTTGAATTGAATCATCCATTATATCAGGACTTTCTATAATATCATAACATAGCAATGGCTAGACATGGTGTCACGTACTACCATTCAAAGAGGAAAGCAAAAGTCTTTGAACGACGCATATAAGATTTGACTAACGTGTAGGATATGGCAACAGTGCACACGTACCAGTCTCAACAAAAAGCACTTGCTTCTCCTGCATTTGTGACCCGACGAGGGGAAGCTGTGATTGGATTTGATTTTGAGTATAGCCCTCACATGCACTTTACCAAGTATGATAACAGCGAGGGTGGATTCATGCAGCTAGTGCAGCGCTGGTGCTACGTTGACGACGACACAATACACGCTTACTGTTACCAGCGAGATGCAACAATGCAAAAGGAAAGGGTTATTAATATATTGACAAAGAAGACGACATAGTGTGGTGCTGCGTGGCAGGTCATATCTTTTAGGCCTCTTCTGCACCTCATAAAAGAGAGACGGAAAAGGGAAAGGAGAGGGGGCAGGAGCCATAGAAAAGAGGGAGAAGGGACATTTTCAGATGGAAATATATGGGGAAACCGAAGACGAGTGTGTGTCCTATGAGCCGAGTGAGCCTACACTCCGCAAGAGAAAACGTTGGACAGCACACCACATACCATCACACAGCACACATCCTCTGTAAAACTTGAAATGCCTTGTCTCCCTCAACCACACCCATACACACTGCACCTACACACTTGCACTCACACCTTTATCCATCCAACCAACCCCCCCTTTAAACCAGTAAGCTCTTTTTCCCTCTTTCTCCTTTTGCAATTACCTACTCTCTTTCTCTGTTTCTTTTCCTTTCCCTTCTGCTTTCCTCAACTCTTGCTACGATCCACGTTCTCTTCCTTCATATCTCTACTTATCCACGCTTCCTTTTTACGACTTCCAATGACATCTGCCGTACGCGGTGGTGCTCCCCACTGGCAACAACAGCACCACCATCATCATAATCATAATCATCACCACAACCGATGGGAGGACAACGGATATCGCGAAATCCATATTGACGACGACGACAACAACAACAACATAAATGATAGCGACACCGGCAACTACATCATCGATCACGGACGGCGACCTGTTGAACGAGACATTGGGGAAGAGGAAGAAGAAGAGGATGACATGATTATTGAAGACGCCTCGTCCATGTCCTCTTCTCCCAGTATCCCTGACGAGAATATCAATTTCGACCTTGTTTATGCGCTCCACACGTTTGTTGCTACCGTCGAAGGACAGGCGTCGGTTGTCAAGGGCGATGCATTGATTCTAATGGAAGACACCAACATTTACTGGTGGCTCGTCGAAGTGCTGAAAACCCGTGAAGTCGGTTATATTCCAGCAGAGAACATTGAGGTATATATATAGTGTACAATTCAGCCGAGCCAGAAAAAGAAAACAAGTTTGGGAAAATGTCAAAATGAAAAACGTGCAACTTAACATCAAAAATTATGCTTTTTTATGCGGCTATTTGTTTAGACACCATATGAACGACTAGCACGTCTGAACAAGCATCGAAACGTGGAAATCACGTCGCCTTCTGAAGCAAACGAGTTTATTCCTCGCGAGAGAAAGTCACACAAAAATGTGACCATTGCAACAGGCGCAAGTGCTACGCGAGTCATTCATTACGAAGTCGAGTCAGAAGACGAGGAAGAGGTTGGATACGAAGATGGCGCTGACGAAGAGGAAGACGAGGATGAAGAGGATGACGATGCGTTTGAAGATGCGCATCAGGATATCACGGATACTCCGGGCCATCACAGCCACAGCCACGACCATCTCCTCCATACATCATCTGTACAACAGCAGCATGAGCCTCGTCATCACTACCACAACCACCATCAGCGGTCAGATCAGGACGACAACGTTCATAATCCGAGTTTGTTGGCCGTACCTGAAGCAGCGGAGCCAGCAGAAGAACTTCGGGTGTTTGCAGGCAACATTGGTCAGGCGCCACTTTTCCAGACATTCTCAATCGACCTTTCCACCACCGCCGATGTGTTGGTCCAAGAGGCTGCGATCCGGTTCGACCTGCACAATCGACCAGAGTACGCCGAAGGCACTATTGAATACTACATTGCTGTGCAAGGCTTGGATGGTGGTATGTTCTTCTCACGCATCTTTTACACATACACATGCACTCGTCTGCACTGTGCAAGTGTCTAATTTCCTCCCCGCTGTGATAGATGATTACGTGCTGGCACCTCAAGATAAACCGCTTTCCATTTTCAAGACCTTGACAGCGCCGTTGACTACACCGATGCCTTCTGTGTCACACATCCGTCGGACATCACCCCAACAGCAACAGCAACAACAGCAACAGCAACAGCAGCACCAGCAGCAACAGCCGGGAATAGGAGCTGCTGCTTCTGCCGCCGGTACCTCCTCGTCATCTGCCAAAAACGAGGGGCGCTCGTCACGCCGGGCCAGATCCAGCAGTTTTAGCAACTACGAGCAAACATCCTACGACGAGGACTCTGTGATCCGTTTCTACCTTCATCGACGCATCAAGCGTGCAAACGAGCAGGAGGGCATATTCTACATTAAGGTCTCCCTGTATCCGGACGAAGGCGGCAGCAGCCCCAGTATGCCACCTGCTAGCACCAATGCGCCGGCTTTTACGACGAATCCTACACCGCCTTCTACGGGCAAGAAGAAGAAGCTGATGGCGAGTCGTCAACAAGAGATTGACCGCATCGACAAGATTATGGCTGTCAAGCAGGAGCAACAGATCGGCTCAGTGATCGCCATGGCTCTGGAAAAATTCCACGTGCCTGACGCCGAAGCTGAAGGATATTACCCCCAGCAGCAGCAGCAGCAGCAAATGACGATGGGTCCAACCGACCGGTGCTTGACCAAGTACCGCATGTCGGTCCGAGCAAACGGGATCGAAACACGCTTGGATCCTCGCGACCACATGGCCTCAGCGCTTCATAAACAGCAGGCACATGGGCCAGTGACAAGCGACCTCTTGTTTATTCTGCGCAGGACAGATGACTCGCATCATCAACAGCAGCAACAGCAACAGCAGCAGCAGCACGATCATCCACCTCCTTTGCTGTCACCCGTGGGAGGCAACAAGTTTAACCACCACCACCACCACCGCGGCGACAGCAATGACTTTGTGATGCCCGAAGAGCGACGGCCTAGCATCCTCGACATTTTAATGGACTCGCCACGCTCGACTGAGCCCCGGCGACCCAGCTTCATGAACTCACCCACGACGCCAGTAGACGATCGCCGCCCATCGATCCCCAGCAGCCTGGCCAGCAACACTACAGCGGCTACTACCAATAATACCACTGCGAATAGTCAGGAACGCAAATCATCCCTGACCCCATCCTGTCAGCAAGGAGCGAGCAGTAGCTCGCTGTCCCCTCCGCCTATTTCTGGATTTCGACGGACTTCGGTCATGTCTGGAACCGGCTCTGTCTATTCTGACTGCGCTTCTGCTGCTTCTGCTGCCCATCCTGGCTCTACGACCATGGACCATTCTTCCAGCTGGGACGGCGTTGCTTCTTCCCCTTCTTCCTACATTGCCCGCTCTGCCTCACTCCAACCCGGTGACACTGCTTCCACTGCCGCACAACAAGCCATGCAACGCTCCACCACCACCACCAACAACAACAACAACAACAACAGCAACAGCAACGCCAGCAGAAAGGAAAGCTCGTTCAAGCAACAGCTCAAACGTCTTGTCGGCTGGGGCTCCAAGAGCAAAAAGACACCTCCACCGCCGCTCGAGTCGCCAAGCAGTAGCAGTCTGCATATGATGCAACAGAACGGATCGTCGCTCAGTGTCAAGCCCACCCCGTCGTCGCCATTCTTGGATAACACAGCGTCACAAGTCAGTATCGTCTCTGCGCCCCCGACTCCACTTACGCCTACGCCTGGCAAGAACAATGCCTCTTCGTCCTCCTTGCCAGGTGTCCACAACAAGGCCCTGTCACCGAGACGGGCCGACCATCCACTGCCATCGACTCCTGTCGAGCGATCGCAGACACCAGCCTCGTCGGCGCCGTTCTCGCCTGTTGTTGCTGCGGCTGCTTCTGCAAGCGGTTCAAGTATGATTGATCCAGCAGTGGCCGAAGAAAGTCAGGTATCGTCCCTCTCTTCACTCTCGTCAGACGACGAGGATGACGACGAAGTCGACGTTGGTAAAGAGCCTGTCGATCTCAGTGATGATTCAGATGAGGACTCTCTAAGTGACGAGGACGACGAAGACGACGACCCTCCCAAGCCTCCACCTAAGCAGCAAAACAGTGAACAGGTCTCGGACATCCAAGCGCAGTACACCATGTGGATGGACAGCCAGCGATCGGACCAACCAGGTGAATCCAGACGGGCCAGCAAAACGGAATGTGAACCTCCCGAACAGCAACCACAGCAACAACCACAGCAGCAACCACAGCAACAGCAACAGCAGCAGCAACAAGAAATTACTTCGTCACCGTCTTCCACATTAACAGCATCAAGCGGCACAGCCACCTCACTCGCATCGACTTCATGTACTAGCAGTAATAACAATACCAAAGCAATAACTACAACTACAACTAATGATAAAGTGGCCGACGAGAGCAAACCCGCACCACCTCCTGTTGCTACGGCTGCGTCTGCTCCGGGTGCTCCCCAACAACCAACGAAGCCCTCATCAGACGTAGACGACCTGTTTCTACTGGTGACACGCGGCGTCGATTTTCTGCAGAGCCGAGAGAGTTCTAAATGGGAAGACGAAGGTGGCTACGAGTTCCATCCATGGAATCGACCCGACGGATCCTTTGCAGTACGCAAGAAATCCCAAGTCACCCTTGTTGCAGAGGAGGCAGCATCAATACAGCAACAAGCTACTGCTGAGCAGTCATCGTCCACGTCTGCTACAGAATCCTCATCTGAGGAAGATGCAGCACAAGAGGATACATCTTCATCAACTACTGCCAATAGTAAACAAACCGAACAAGAAAACGGATCACAAAAAGAACGATCAAATAGTACAAGTAGTAAACTATCATCCACGCGACAGCAGCAGCAAATGGGACGACGTCCTGGGGCTGCTACTGCTACTGCAACTGCTACTGCAACTGCAGTCTCAGCACCGGCACCCAATGAAGCTTATATTGATGAGGTAAGGCAGTTTTGATCTTTGGACTGTGTATCTTTTATCGTATTCTGATATATTTTTTCCACTTCGTTTCAATAGCAGGAGCTCCAGCGCATTGTTGCCGCCCACATTGTCTTTTGATCTACATATACCGCCACTTCATTCTTCTCTGATATCTCCCTTCTTCATCCGAGCTTGATTTATACTAATATTACAATTTTTTATACCAAAAAATTCCCAAACAACCTACAGTTCTACTACACTAACATATAAAATAAATATTACCATCGAGTGCAATATGATTATTGATGTGATTACAAGTATGGATTCGTTCCGTGTCGTCGTTCCTCGACGAAATCCTATCGTCTCTATACTTGTTAATATTAGGCTTCTCGTTCGCCACCCCATCGCCGTCTGCGTTCTCATCGAAAAGAGCGAAAAAAAATCGCACTTAACATGTTGGCCAAGTTATAGTGTCTAGTAATAAAGATTCGAAAGATGTCTTTTGATACAGACAGGGAGATAGAGAGATATATGACATGCATATGTAAGTAATTATCTTTTTAAGGAGTAACAAGCTCTAAAGTTCTAACTCCAAAGTTGTAATGACAACCACAAGGACTGTCACAGCAAGGAATGTTAACAGAGACTCAATATTCTCTTATACTTTGAAGACGTTGGATTCATTCGCTTTTAGTGACACTGGTATTCAGGACGATGTCCGCCAATAGCAGGTTTCTGTTATAACGATTTACTGAAGGATCGTAATGGAGGACCTTTGTGCAGTGTGAATCAATGGGAGTGAATCCAACATTGCCCAAAGCAGGGAGCAGGGAGAAAAGGACCAACAAAAGGCGCAGGCGCATATTTAAGTAGTTTATTAGGGCTTTGCCATAAGTGAATTAAAGGGGTAGAGAAAAGGTGGTTTCATTACGCTAGCCAGTTTTAGCCTGTGAAACTGTTGATTTGCATTTACCCTGACTGAGCGCTGAAAACGTGATGGTAGTTCAGACGTATAAGCATCGCCCTAGAGGAGCTTTCTGGAGATGATAATGAAGGATAGTTTTCAAGTACGGCAAGGTATATAAGTGCGTATGTATTTAGAGAGATTTACGATGGTGAGAAATTTCCAGTAAAAATATAAACTGTAAATAGTGTGTATAGTATGGACTTAAAACAGGCGTGGTAAAGAAAACTCTATGTATGAGGATTAATGTGATCTGGAAGGCCTTATCTAAAGGCCGTATGTAATCAAAGAAGTACATCAGTAGGTAGGTGCTCACGACTTGCAGCTGGTCATGCCCAAAATGAACGTTGTGTTCTATTTGGACCTAGAAGTAAGGTTCACATTGACACCAGTGGCATTTTTGAGATGGAAAAGTGATAACGCGCTCGAAGTCTAAATTGGGACATTCTTGGACAATTACTGTTGCTTTTGCCGTAGTATTCAGTTCAGGTAGTGGAAAAAAATGGGCGTATATATCATCCGAGTTTACTTCAGGAAATTCAGGGTGGTACGAACGGCATCGTTTCCTTGGTATAGGTTCAATAGCCTATGTATATCCTATATACAGTATAGCGATTTTTTCTGTGAATGTAGCCCAAAGTACACCAAATGAATTGTGTTCCTGTGAGCAAGTAGCGTGCTGTGCCCTGATCGTCCAATAGCTGACATCGTTGGTGGCTTGAATTACATACTTGACGTGCCGTACCTCTTCTTCGTCCAAATATTGAAAGATGTCATCGATATGATTCTTGTCCAGTCCATCTGAATCGTCTTGGTCGTGTAGCTTTAGGGAGCAGTGATAGCCATCGTCGATTGCTAGTTGTGAGACACGCCGTTGTACGGTCAAGAGTACAGTGTGATTGCGAATCCCGTGTCGCTTCAATTTCGGGTTGAAAAGTGTTTTAGCATGAGCGATAATGTGGAAACCCATGTCATATTGCTCACCTTCTATGACCACATTACCAGTAGTAAGCGGGTCAGCCCATGGATGTCGCAGCATGTAAGAGGAAGTTGGGCTTCATACTCCTCGTAATAGAAAAATACGCCCGAGATTTTTCTGTACCATCAACCGTAAAAACGCGTCTGTGTCGGGCTGATAAGCTAAACTTAATTGTCTGGCCTTTATACCCGGCGTGATTTAGAGTTTTGGTATAGATTAAAAAAGAGGTCTAATAAAGCGAGAGAACAGGGACAATACAACGGCTCACATTCTCAATATCACACCAGCTTAACCTAGCCCTCTCAGTCAATGAGGTCGAAATTATTATCGAGTGAAGCGCATTAAACCTGACTGAGAAAAGAAGAAAAAGCGATGGCATATAGTTGAGGCATATATAACTGTTATCAAACAAGAACTTACCGTGCATGGCACGGATCCCTATTTTTACATTTGCTAAACAGATGACCAGAAAGCGTAATAGTTTTCAAGTATCAGCGCGCATAATAAGTATTGAGGAGATTGATAGCGTGTTTGCATGTTTAGCAAAGAAAGAGATGTATAATACACGCATGTTGAGAAAAGACATTGAGGAAGCTCAGTGACACTATCATCAACAAGTGCAAGCATAGACAGCTCTAGAGTTACTTTCCAATGGTTTACTTTTCAGCTCTATATCAGACCGGATTGATGGGTAATGAGACGTGTAGTCGACTTTGCTACGTATTTAAGACCGTCCAAATATTCAAGTAAGCAGTCCATATCAAATGATCCTAAAGCGATGGATGACCAACATTATCGACCTCTTGCTTATATACTTTGATAAGCCAGCACAATATGTGGGTTTGAATCTCACAGTCTTAACCCGCAAATATCTTTCCATCTGCTGTAGCTTGTAGTAGCAGCAAGAATCCACTCGGATTGTAACGCCCCTTCATGATCCCTCTCGCACATGTATTGTTGATAGCAGAGTTATGTTCATATCTTCCATAAAAATGTCCTTTTAGATCCACAATCATCATTTTCACGTGTCTGCATTAACTATCGGGTTGTTGAAACACCGCCTAGTCACTACTGCATACACGTCCACAATCCGTATTTACAGCCTCGCCTATATTCCAATGAAAGAGACTTCTCCAAGTTTCAAGAGAAGGGTGGGAAATAAGCCTTGTGGGGTCTGTACGACCTGGCCGTCAATTACTCGGCGTTTGATTGATGATGACGACGGAGGATGCAGAAATAAAATAGATGACTCGTGTGAAACCCTAACAAAGTCCGAAAAAAAATATATACTCGTAAGCTTTGTTCCAGACAGGATATTTATACGATATTAGAAAGTTGGTCGACAGCATACATCAACTATCTGTATATATTATAAGCGTTTGCTTGTGTATTGTTCCTGGAGGGAGGGAAAATGGAGAGCTTCCCATCCTCGACTGTCCGTATGCTTGTAATATATATGATATCTATTTTCGTTTCTTGTTTTGATGACAAAAAGAGTGGAGAGAACACCAACAATAGTACACAGGAAGAGAAAGGGGTGATGATGATTAAAAATAGCAGCAGCAGCAGCAGCAGTGGTAGTAGTAGTAGTAGTAGTAGTAGAGGAACTTTTGAATTCTTGTCGTCTGTCTTGCTTCCTTGCTCTTTCTACACTCGGGTGCACTCCATATGTGTCTTCTTTGGATCCATTGGTAACGCGCAGAAGAAGCCCAGCTTTTGCATTTGCGAGAACATTTGTGTATCTAGCATATCATTAACATAGAGAGTGAATATGCCGTGATGTCTTTTGGCAAGAGCTCATCTCCACTTTGCTCCCCTGCCATCCCTCGCTCCAAACAAACAAAGACCCTTACACTCCAGGTTCAACTTCAAGCACTCCTCTTGACCATTGGGCAACTGGCGGCAGATCTGGCCTTTGTACTGGTCGATGTTGTAGCTGTTTTGCGGTGCAACTTCGACAAACTTATTGATGCGTTCGAGCTCGTTACTTGTGTCAGACATGATATTGTATCTCGATCCCGTAATAGAAAAAAAAAAGAAAAGTAAAAAATGGAAAGTAGAAGAAAAACCAGTGTATACCCCGCCACACGCGGGGGCCCCAAAGGTGGATCGTTAGAAAAGTCACGGAACGCGACGTCATTGCATGAAGCAAAAAAGGAAGGCAGATCCCCCCCCACCCACACAGCAAGGTTTTATGCGGCTCACCTTTGTTTCCGTGATGATTGTTGATAAAAACATTCGAGTCGATTCATCATCGCTTATTATCAGTACTAGAACTTTTGTTGTCAGTAGCGCACTTCCTGCATTACTTTAAATTGACGCTAATATAGATAGCATTGCTGCGTTTACGCTGTTAGCGACTTTTTAAAAGGTCACAAGCAGGATTTACACAGAATCGATGCAATCCTAGTGTCTCGAATAATAATTGGGTTGAAGGAATATAGTTCGCGTGCTCAATTATATTCGCAAATAACAAGTAGTCTGGGGAAAGAAGGATGGTATGGTTGTTTTACCTTTAACAACGAAATGATCGAGTAGCCTAGCAACACTCGTTGTCATGATTATCCACTCAGTACGGAAAAAACATACATGGTACTTTAAAAACTGTTTCCAGTGAATCGAACAAAGAAGCTGTCAAAACTTGCTTAAAAGTATAATGTTGCCTTTGCTTGTACAATGTTCACACATTCCATTGCTATTAAATCCACTCAAACTAAAGAGTTATTTTCTTTTTTAAGTAGAAAAAGGTAACATTAGAATACGCCACCTTTATTATATCGATGTATTAGGCTTGTTTTGAACAAGTGTATACAGCAAACAGAGAACAGTCGTGGCCTCACAGCATAATGGTACGAAGGCACCAAACCTGTGAGCCAATGAAATTTCAACTGGCAATTTTTGTGACAGCGACCCGGTTGCCCTAAACAACTTGCTTATCCAGGGTGCCACTACTTCTAACCGAACACCTCCATTCCGCCAACTAAATGTTCTTCACACGTCCATTGCTTCAAGCCGCCAAGAAGGTACATGGAGTTAAACAACTTTAATTACTTATAAGCTGCTCTTAGGAAAGCCGAACCATTAACATTGTCTACAAAATACTTGCATCAATGAATAATTAGGCCACCACTGGCTTGACCGGCATTTCTGTTCACCCCAACCCACGCCCACACCTTATCCAAACATACAACAAGACGCTTGAAGCTCTGTCACGTCTTCCTACACACGCTGTCTACCGCCAGTCTACAGAATCACTCACTCAACACCGCTTGGCTGTCATCGAAGCCACTGAGGACGTTACGCAAATCGAAGAAGCAATCAACAATGGTCAAATTGAAGAACTGATTATTCAAGCCGAAGACGAACTCAAGCTGATTGGCAAGATGGAGGAATGGAAGCCATGGGAGCCACTTGAAGTGCCCATTCCTAAGGGCCAGTGGCAATACAACAGAGAATAGATTTATCATTACAACTATAATAAAAAATAGCCGGGACTATATATACATTACAATTTATAGGATGGGACAAACGCGTATAGATGTAGATAAATGTTCTTTATTCCATTTGTTCCAAGGTAGTTGCAATATCACGCCAGATGTCGGCGCCCTATATTTATAAAAACAAATCCATCAAAGTCGAGATTGTTAATATTATCATCAACCATCACTTGAAAACGAACCACATATAATCCCGGATTTGCCATGTTTTTGTCCTACATACCCGTTGGAAAAATTCAACCTTGGATTCTGTATAATTCCCAAGTGCAACGCGCATTTCTTCCGCCTTGCTTCGAGCAAGAAATTCATCTTCGCGTCTGACTTGTTCAGAAAATGCAGTAGAGACCTCATGTGTCTGTTCAATGGCGTCTTGAAGCTAAAAGGTCCGTAAACTCAGTTTTTCTTTCCGGGGCTAATCCATACGGTTCCAACTATGACCATTCCTTCCTTGTCTCGCTTAAGTCTTTTTACCTCACGAATACGATCGTCTAGCCGAAGGACTTTCTCGCGTTTTATCTTGTCAGCATCCGCCCCGCGGACTTCGTTGATTTTACCAGTAAAGTATCCTGCAATATTATATGCGCCGTCACCTGATCGTGGATGGAGTGTCCGTTCGCGTTCAGCAATGGTCTGTTGAAGATAATCCGATAGTTCTTCAAAGTCAAGTTGCTTTTGATCGCGTAATTTCAATACGCCCTAGCATTTTGAATACAGGAAACCATTTCTATTAAGTATACAATTATACATATTGTGCATTTGAAGAATGTTACAGAGTTTACCTTCATCACGCTATAATATGACATGTAGTCATGGATTTCACCAAGCCATAAGCCATCATGCGTGTTCTGCAACAACACAACCACAAACATTAGAAATAATATTGTTTGACTCTTACACAAGATCAAAGACTCAACTTACCATCTTTTTCATTTCATTCGAGTATTCATCCAACAAAGCAGCAAATTTGGAAAGTGGTAACTCTATATCTGCTTCATGCTTCACTAACCCACGAACACTTTGAGCAAACTCATCGTAATCGTGACTCAGCTCTGCATTAGTCAACAGAGAAGAGAGAGAGGAACGAGCATTCTTTAGATTTCTTTTGATAGTCAAAAACGATCCATTGATTATTTTCTAGATACTATACCATCAGTCCGTTTGTTCGTCCGCGCAAGTGTCTTTTCAAGCAGGTTCAAATTCTCTTCAAGACGGTCGGTACGTTCTCTCATTTGGACAAAATGTTCGTCTCGTTTACGGATTTTGACGAATGCATTTAGTAAGGAATCTCCGATGGTATCAATCACGGTTTCTTGTCCTTCGCGTAGTGCACGAGCTGAGGCATCATTCTAACACATCACACGCATAATGTTGTAAGATATGAAATTATATCACGACCTAATATTATTAGGGGGCAGCTATTTTTCTCATAACACGACTAAACGCCAAGTTGTAACTTACAAAATCTGAAGATTCCAAAAACTTGACAAAGAATTCGGATCGTCGTAGAATGGGATGCCGAGCGATACGTTGTAAGAATCTTTGAAGGCTATATTAAATTATATCCACTCTGACTTTAGTAACCAAAAACAGCATAAATTTCATGCAAAGGATAAGATATATAGAGTTTTCTGTTTTATACCTTATCCGTCGTCGCTCAACAAAATCTGAACCGAACCGATCTCCTTTCACATACTCTGGTAACAAAATATGAAGAGAGACAAAGGTTCATTTTCCTGTACTGCTACAACATGCAACATCTATACTAGAATCGATCATGACTTACCCATTCGATGCTTATCAGGAAGAGGAGGAACAAAACAAGCTGGATAATGGGTATATAAGACATTGTAGAGCCAAACGAAGTCCTGGAATCTTCTGCGAAACGATGATTTCTATGAATAAAGTGTTAGCTTCGAGATCATGAATCGCCACAGCCTTTCCTTGCCATTATACCCTCCCCCTCTCCATTTCTTATAAACATACCGCAGAAGCAATGCAATATGTGATATAAGCTCCTTCATTCTCTTTACGGGGATCGACTACAAGAATACTTTTCCAATTCAAATCGTTGTTGGTCGCAGAGGTTTCTCCTTCTGTTGCTGTTATAGTGGCAGTAGTAGGCGTAGCTGACGACGACGACGACGACGAAGCAGCAGTCGCTCGATCTGGGTTGAAGTAATACGTCGAGTTGTTTGTAGTGTAGTTATTTGTTGTCGGCTTATTAACGTCGCTAAGACCAAGATCGAGCGGATCGTCCGAAATGTCGACATTAACGTGTGCTGCTTCCTCTTCCTCTTCTTTTTCTTCTTCTTCCTCTTCACGCACAAACAAGGTACTCTGTAGGGGTTATTCGATAGAAATATATGAGTGTACATATCCTTATTGTTATTGTTTCCAAAATGGTTGGCTGGAACGAACAATGTCGAAACAAAAGATATGAATACCTTTTTCAATTCTTCCGGTTCGTTTGATAATGCTTGGCTTAAAGTCTTGTCCATATCTGAAAGTGGGTCGAGGATTGCTGGGTCATGATCAAGTGTTGCGGTAGACTGGTGTAAGCTCTTGGCATTGTTTTTGTTATTATCTTGCATGTCCCAGGTAACATTATTAAATTCTTCTGAATCTGTCATGGTTTTTTTCTTTTGAAATGTACGCACACACACACACACACACAAAGAAAGTAGGGTAAAATAGGAAAGTTGCAGTATAATGTGCGCTGCGCAGGAACTCTCTTTCTCTTCCTCTCAGCCAAGCATTAATTTACCAGCTGTTTCTTGTCACACGGTTCAAATTCCACACTACGTAAGTCTGGTCTTGCCTAAAAAAGACGACAAAACAACAGGCTTATGTAGGCTATTCTCAAAAAGTGTCTGTATCTGATCATAGCGTTTAAAATAGTGAATACAAGAGAATTGGCAAATTAAGACGGCTGCATTATATATGGACAAGAGCATAAATATCTATGCACGACGGAACGCTAAGTGCAGCATAAAGAGCAATACAATGCCCAATGCGCCGTCAGAAGTAAATAAAGTGGTATACAGCGCTCCACTCTGCAAGTGTCCCTACAAACAATTTGAAATTAAATAAATTATGTAATGCTTGATGTTGATCAACAACAATTCAGCTAAAGACATCACAACTACACTCTGCTGTTGTACTCTGTGAGCATACATACTGTACATAATGTGCTTTTCACCTTTGATAATAATGGTTTGATAAAAAAAACCCCCCGGGATAGGTTTCTCGGGTACATCATGTGGGAAGCAATGTGGGATTTCCGTATTATTGAAAGTTGTTGTTGTATAATATTTGTAGGGTAATGTACTGATGTTGTGTTTTGATGATGCGTGAAGAAATGAAAAGGAAGAAAATGGTGTGTGTGTGTGTATGTGTGAAGCAAGAAGTGGTTGGATAAGTACTTGTTATCGTTGTGTGTAAATAATAGTAGTAATATTAGCAATATCCTAACAAACAAGAAAAAAGCTGATAAAAGGCAGGTTTATATTATAATAGCAAAAGAGGCTTTCTCTCTATACGAGTGCAAAAGCGGCCGTAGCAGCAGCGATAGAGACACAGAAGAAAGGAACCGAGAATGACGAGGAGGGAGTCGTCTTAACAGCGCTGGCAGCAAAGATACTTTTGGAACCGTCAACTGAAGCTCCATCACCCAAAGAACTGCCGCTCGTTTTACCCCCTGTGCCCGTGCTAGGCGAATTGGCAGCTGCGGCCGACCGAATCTCAATGGGCACCTCCAACTCCGTGTTGGTTGACTTGTCCTTAAAAACGACATTGTACTTGCCAGGCCTGACAGTCTGAGGAATCTTGAAATTGATCGAATGTTCATAGTAGGTCATATTGCCCGCATGCTTTGCGGAGGCTTCGGTCTTGGATACATCAGCGTTTTCGGCGATAGTGATATCTTGTTGTTGCTGGGTCGAATTGCCGCTGGCGACAGTTGTTCCTGATGACGAAGATGACGATAGTGATGATCCTGTTGCCGAAGCGACTGCAGCTGGGGCGGCAACTGCAGAAGGTTCTGCTTTTGCATCCCCAGCGCCAGTCCTAGAAGCTGGCGAAACAGCACTAGCATCGGTGGATACAGCCTTAAGGACGATTTGCAATTTAAGAGCTGTGTATAGTAATGATAGGTTAGCATTCTTGTTTCTTGCATTTTCTCTTTTTTCTTCTCACACACTCTGTCTCGTGCTTGTAATAGCTGGTACATCAAAATCAGTATTAGGGGAAGAAATGATTACATGAGCTGTCAACGTCGGAGAAGAGACGATAAGTGCAAGGAAGAATTTGATCTACGACATATGGGCCATCTGTTACCGGGCTAGTAACATTGTAATTCCTTGTTGGTGCTGTTACTTGTGCTGAAACACACTGCATTGACAGCAAAGCAAATGCAAGGAAAGCGACGGATTTCATCATCAAGATTATTATGCAGAGAAGAGAGCCGAGAGAAAAAGGATGAAGAAGAGAAGAAGGGGATGAGAGACTTCTTTTGATATTTAAAGCTTTTACTCTTTTTCTCCATCCATAGATGAGTTGAGAAAAAGGAGCATAAGAGTACCAACAAATTTGGGAAATAGGGGATCACCCCGTGTGTATGTGTATGTGTTCAGTCATGTAGTATATATGTTTTGACCCTGGTCTTTTACAGCTATCATCATCATCGTCCATGTACAATGAACTTCTTGTTGGCCGCCTGCTTCTCTCTTTCAATATTCAGTAAGTAGTGAAAACAACTAACGAGCGAGGGAGAGAAAGAGAGTGTGTATAGAGAAAAAGAAGACTATTTTACGCCCAGCTGCGGCCGAGAACCCTACATTCAAAAAAGAATAACTATGCGGTGGTATTATGGAGAACCAGCACCCCCTGGGTAGTAGACATATACACCAGCTGTGTTTGCTGATGATGGTTCACTCTGAAGCAAAGTTCCTTCTCTTACTTTTTAAAAGTCAGGAAGATTAGACAGGTTGGGGTGATTGTTGTAGAGAAGAGTTCTTCATTGTTATCAGAAGTACGTCGTCTGGCTATCGTCATCATACAGATAATATGTATTGTATAGATAGTTGTCCTTGCTGATAAGTATAAATATAAGCTGAGTGGCCCGTGTGTTTTTATCTCTCTCTCTCTCTCCAAAAAAAAGAGAGGGCCACTGCTGCTTGGTTAGCCGCACTCGCTAATAGCCAGATTCTGCTATGACCCGATGTTATAAGCAGTCAACATTTCAAAGTATGCATGTGCATGCTGCAGTATAGTCACAGTGTGCAGTTCTAAAACCGGAGCCATTTCTATATCCAAACGCCATCTATCATAACAAGACATGTATAGAAAAACAAGAAATCTTTTATACGTGTAGTGTTTACAACCGTGGCTGAATTGTAACAAGTATATAAGCAGAACAATCAAGCATTGTTGGCAACACAACAACAACAACAACAGTTATATAGAGCATTTACAGAACGAAACAACAGTACAGTTTCTTGGAGTAACAATGCTGATACGTATAGAATATTTGTACTTTTCTATCCGGATACTGGAATAACAAACACTTGCTATTGTCATTGCGCCATTCTTAGCCGATCAAAGTGTTGTCGAAGCGAATAGGAAGACCACAACATGGTATCGTGGCTGATCTGTGGGAAACCCAGCAACACGGAAAGTAGACCTTCCAAAGTCCGAGACAGAATGAAAAAATACTCAGCATTTGCTTTTCGGGTCGCACACCGTGTATATCTGTCGTTTATCGCCAGGCAGTAATTTTCCCGCGCATGGCTAATACCACCATTCTTACGCGACGTAGAACAGACGGTAGTGCGGGGTGGTGACCACAAATTGTCAAAATACCTTCCGTGGGTTGAGTGGCTCCTAGGATACCGCGTCTCTTTTAGGAACCTAGCCGAGGGAAGTTATTCTAAATGCGCAGATCAATTTAAATAGGAACGTAAGCTACCAGCGGCGATTGTCTAGTTGATAGGCCGTGTCGGGCACTGAAAAAAAGCAAACACTGCTTGCCATTATCTATCAAAGAGAAAAAAAAAAATATTTTCAGGTCGCTGGCCTTTTTTATTTATAGGACAGCCTTTCTCTCTCCTTTCCCTCCTTTTTTTCTGCAACTTGTCTTTGACTTCTAATTCTCTTTCTCTTTCTCTCTCTATTTCTTTTCCACCGTCAAAAGAAAACACAAAAAAACTCGACATTCCATGAGCAGCAGCAGGGCAGCAAAGCAGGTCTTCAAGTCATTACCATCGCTTCCAGGCCTGCCTACGACAACATGCACCAAAGCACGTTGCGCCAGTTCAGTCCGCTCCTTGTCCGCTCGCTCTCGCCATCGACCTCAAATCGTCCTTACATGCTTCCGCAAAACTCATCAGACACGTCTCTACTATGATTATGCCATTCACCGCCAACAAACAGCCACGCCACTGCCTTCAATCCCTCCTTCCTCTTATTATCACAACCAACTTCCTTTCTTTGACTTTTTCGCCGCCACAAAACCGAAGCCCTCTTATCTTTTTGCATCTGGTGCGACCGGCTTTGCAAAGCGCGGTCGCCCTCAACACAACCATTATGATCCTACTGCTCCTTCTGACTCGTATTATCAAAGCGTCCAGGTCGGTGAAGATGCATACTTTGTCCGTTCGGATGCCCTTGGCGTAGCAGATGGCGTAGGCGGCTGGGCGGGAACTCTTGGTAAAATATCTTTTTTCTTCGCCCGGAATTTTCCGTCATTTCCCTTTTGCATTTTTCTTGTGTAACTCAACTAACAAAACGCCCTGTCGTTTCATTATACTGCTGGTATAGGCGCCAACCCAGCATTGTACTCTAGAAAGCTCATGCACCATGCCCATTCTGAGCTGGAGCGCTTCGATAATGTGGATGACGATTGTTTTGCGCACTATGACGAAGCCCACCCTGTCGATATCCTCCAGCGCAGCTACGACCTCTCCCTACGGGAAGCCCGTCGTGAGGGGGTGATCGGCTCGTCCACTGCATGTGTTGCCCTCCTGCGTAACGATGAGCTGCGCGTGGCCAATCTCGGTGATTGTGGCATCTCAGTCATCCGTCAGAACAGCTACATCTTCCGTAACGAAGAGCAACAGCATGCCTTTAACTTTCCATACCAGCTGGGCACCAACTCGCCTGATAAACCTAAGGATGCTCAGGTAAAATCAGCTACTCATATGCTCTCCTTGCCGATAAAAGATGCAGGATAGCAATTAACACCATCGATTCTATAGACCTTCGATATCAAGGTTGAAAAGGGCGACATTGTAATTCTTGGCACGGATGGCCTGTTTGACAATCTGTTTGACAAGGAAATACTGGCGATCGTTAAAGCCCACGTGAACGCATATACCATTCCTGGCTCTGGCCAGCGTCCACCACGGCTCCTCAACTTCAACCCGCAAAAGCTCTCTGACGCACTGGCTGCTCGTGCCCGTGTTGTCAGCGAAGACCGTCGCAACTTGGACAGTCCCTTCCAGACACAAGCAATCAACGAAGGATATTTCCACCAAGGGGGCAAATCCGATGATATCAGTGTCGTTGTTGCCGTAATCAATGACAGCGAGGACTCTCCCGACCGTCGACTTTAATTTACACTCGCCACACCTCACCGCACCTCACCACGACATATCTTAATTATTATGGGAAACGGCTCTTCTTGTCTTCCTGGACCTAATCTTCATCCCTCCCTCTTCTGCTTCTAATCCTATAATCACTCACCCAAAACCACTCTTACTCGCATGCATTCTCATTCAACATACACCCCATCTCAGTACATACTCTTCTTATCATTACTCAACTTCATTATTTTGCATATTTATTTTTCTCCCTATTAAAACTACTAGTAAAATGACTTTTTTTATGGTTAAACCTGTTTTACTCTGAAAACGTCCTATGATCTACTTTAGATTGGGGGATCCAAAGCCATGCGGGCCCAGTAGCGTTGCTGGATCAAAGCCTTTTTGAAGCCTTCAGTAAGTGCCGATGCATGTTGACCGACCAACACACCCTCCTTTTCACCGCCTTCGACCTTGGCGAGCTTGAGTAACTCGGCACCCGCACCAGAGGCGCCAACGGGCTTGCAGTGACGGAAGGCATCAAGGACAAACACGACGGGCTCATCGTAAGGGAAAGAGCTCTGCTTTGAAGTCAACTTCTTGATCGCCTCCGCACCATCAGGCACATAAACTGCGTCATAAAGCACTGAGCTTGCAGTGGTGTATGTTTGCGTGATCTCGAGACCGTCCACATTGCCCAAAGCCGGACCGACATATTCGACATAGGCCCCTTCCTTTTTCAAAAAGTCATACATGTCCGAAGCATCCTTGGCGTCTGTGCCAGGTGCCGTAAGAATGGCAACGGTCTTGGTTCTGATGTGGGGAGGATGGGGTCGTTCCTCAATGGATAAGCCGACGGACTTGTGACCTGGGTTGTCGGCGACCTTGTCGGGCAACGGGACATTGACGGCAAATGCCACGCGACGAGCCAAGCTGTTGTCCACATGGTTGAGGACATCGATCATGCGCTTACGGACGCCCAAGTCAATGGATTTGCCGACTTCGAAGCGCAAGCCATCGACGGTCTGTTGCTTCTCATAATCCGTCAACGAGTTCCAGTAGATCTGGGCGTGCGAGTAATGGTCTTCAACCGTAGGCACTTGCTCGCGGATCTTGGTGACGCCGTCTATCTTTTCAGGATACTCCATGTAGCCGCCTTGGGATGGCTCAGCAATCTCGGGTGCGTTACCCTGGAGATGGTTCGGATAGTATGTCACATCGCCCTTGTGGATCGTTGACTGCATGAATCCGTCGCGCTGGTTGTTGTGGACGGCATTCACAGGACGGTTGATGGGCAGCTGCATAAAGTTGGCAGAATTCATACGATTCAATTGGGTGTCTACATAACTCATCAAACGGCCTTGCAGCAAAGAGTCGTTGGTAAAGCCTATGCCGCGCACCACATTGGATACGCAAAAGGTGACTTGTTCCGTCTCGGCGAAGAAGTTATCAACGTTGCGGTTCAACGTCATCTTGCCCAAGGGAGTTACAGGCACGACTGACTCGGGCACAATCTTGGTCGGGTCGAGCAAGTATGGATGCTTGTCTGCATCTTCTTCTTTGATAATTTGCACGCCCAACTCGTACTCGGGATAGTCGCCCTTTTCAATGGCTGTGTAGAGATCCGTACGGTGGAAGTCAATGTTCTTGCCTTGGATCTTTTGGGCTTCGTCCCACAAGAGGTTGGAAAGACCCTGCAATGGCTTCCAGTGGAACTTGACGAATACTGCCTTGCCTTGTTCGTTGATCAAGCGGAAACTGTATACCATGGTATGGCCAACAACTGCTTAATAAAATGAATAGATGACTTTGTTATGTAGGCACTTACGTGTGGACACCAAAACCATCTACTTGACGGAAACTCTTGGTAAGACCACGACCACTCAAAGCCCAAAGGACAGTGTGGACCGTTTCGGGGAAGCTGCAATAATAGTCAGTGTATAAAGCTCTACGCAGACTTCTAGTTTTCGGAGAAAACCCCTACCTTCCAAAAAAGTCATAAGCAGTGTCATGAGCAGTACCGGCTTGAGGGACTTCAGTACTTGCGTGGGGCTTGCCAGAATGGATGATCTAAAATTGATGTTAACAAACAATAGTCAGTAAGTGGCGGTAGACAAAGGATTATAAAAATAGCCTTATGCTGACTTACATCAGGGAACTTGATGGCATCTATTGTTGTTATTAAAACAGACAACATTCATGCATGAGTTCTCTCTCTCTCTCTCTGTGAGATTAAGTTGCTGTATCACTTAATGAAAAATAGATTACTTTACCATGCACGAAGAACGGAGCAATGACGTTGCCAACTAATTAGTTTTAACAAAAAGACGGAAAATTTCCGTCATCGTCAATGTGAGCTCAAGATGAAATCAATCCTTGTTTTTGAAACAAAACGAGCCGAGACAATGGTTTTATTTGCTTCTTACCCAAGTCAAAGAGACCCTCATCGGTGTAGAAACGGGTGGCAAAACCACGGACATCTCTGACAGTATCGGGCGAACCACGCGAGCCCAACACCGTTGAAAAACGCACAAAGACGGGCGTCTTCTTTCCCGTATTGCGCAAGAAGTCGGAGGCAGTCAAGTCAGACCAGTCCTTGTACGCTTCAAAAAAACCATGGGCGCCAACACCACGAGCATGCACAACACGTTCTGGGATTCTTTCGTGATCTATATGATATAGAAGATGGCATGACCATGAGTTTCTTTCTCTCTCTCTATATATGTATATCAGCGTGGCTGAAAGGCTCTAGTATTCAGTTCTTACCAAAGTGCATTATTTTCTCGCGGAAGGCAAAATCTTGCAACAAGGCTGGCCCTTGACACCCGGCTTTAAGCGTGTTTCTGTTGTCAGCCTTGGTGCCAAAGCTGGTGGTCTCTTGAGTGTTCTTGTGGTCAATCGAGAATGCTTCGAATCGCTTTCTGACAGCCTCTTCACCGCTGCCACATTTCTTGGCTGTGTCGTTTTGAAAAGCAGCTTGATCACACATTATTCACTTTATAGTTTTTGTTATAGAGAGAGAGGTAAGAAGTAGTAGTGCAAGTTGTCTAGAAGAGGAAGAAGGATAAAAGGCTCTGGAGTGGAACATGAATGAGCGCCTCTTTTATACGGCGAGCTCATAAAAACAAGGTGAATCAAGTCAGGTTAAGGTGAATAAATGATGACGTTTTGCTGCATCCTCAAGAGGGATGTTTAAGCATAGATTCTATCATGCTGATAATGACGACAACGATGATGATGATGGCTATAATGTACATAGCAGCGAGTTGCTGTCGTCGTCGTCGTCGTCGTCGTCGTCGCAACATCCGCGTTTGTCATCTTGGCAACCGCATTTATCACCATGGGTACTACTGCATAACAGATGAGGCTATGTATTTCCAAAGTTAGTAATGACATGGAATGTGTCTGGAACCATGATGATTCAGCGAGGTGAAAAACAAGACAAACACGTCGGCGGATTTGGGAACACACACCTTCTCGAGTGAAGCGCGACATCCAGGCACAATAACTTATTTCGTTCCCGACGATCCTCTTTTAGTGAAATGCAACGCTATTGGCCGACAGGCTATTTTTACAAATTTAAAGCCTTTCCCTGTTTCGTTGTGTACCTTTGTGCTTTCTCGAAACCAGCCCTTTTCTCCCTTTTACTTTTATTTTTTCAAGTGTTTAAAACATATGCACCATGTCGAGCAGCTTTCCACCACATCCGCCTCCGCATGAAGGCATTCCCAACAGTGAAGCCAACTTTAGAGAGAGTCATCACCAACACCAGCAACAGCAGCAGCCTCAGCCCGCGCCGTCAAAGACAATAACCCGAACAAAGACAGTAAAGAACAATTTGGGCAATGCAGGCAATAAGATGCGCGGTCTTTTTGGAAAAAAGCAACATAAAGACACGGACAATGGGCATAAAGTGGCGGGTCCACGCGAAGAGCCTCGCTCATTTTCTTCAGCAAACAGCCAACGCGGTTGGGATCGGGCATCCATCCCGGCATCGTTACAGGAGGATCCACTCGACCGCCCAGCCTCGCAGGCTACTTCGTACTATGGCGAAAGAAGTGGCGGGCTTGTGGATAGCAGTAATGGTAGGTTATACATATATTGTTCGTACGACAGGGGAAGGTTATTATTTTTGGGGGGAGGTCCAGAAGCGAAAGTATAATCAAGCAGGGACAAGCGTCATATAGCGAAAAAGCAAGAGTGAAAGAGGGGGGGGGTTAGAGGACGAGTAGCCCACCTTCTCTTTTTTTGCCTTCTCCTTCTCCCTTTCTCATCAGTTTGCTCATCCAACTTCCCTAATACCTCTTTTCCATAGTTCGTTTAGACGATAATTCACCCGAACCTCGACCTTCATCAGTTCTCGACATGTTAGCAGCTGCAACAGATGATGCCCGACCCTTGGATCCCACAGCAGCAGCCGATGACCTGCACAATCACTACAACAGCGAAGACCTGTCGCCCGAAGCCCAAGAGCTTTTGCGCGAATTAGAGCAAGTGAATCAAGCCATTGCCCGGATGCAAAAGGAAGTTATGGCCGAAGCTGAAAAGAAGCAAGGCTTACAGTTCCAGCTTGAAGAAACCAAACGTCAGGTTCAGACACAAGAGCAAGAATATGCTCAGATCGAACATCGATTCTTTGATCACACACGCGCTATTCGAGCCACGGACGACGATCTTTCCACTATCCGCGATACGTTCAAGCTGTTGAAATACTCGATCGCGCGCATTATCATGACCCTCAACAAGAAGGCCGACAAGCAGACGGCAACAGACAAGTTCGCACACAAATGGCCTCATCTCGGTGTCACCGAGCTTGAGCCGTCGCATATCAACTTGTTGGCAGAAAAGCTGGTCCACGAGCACTTGGTACAGCATATCTTCCGATGTCCGTTGTATCCTGGTCTGGAAATCAACGATGCCTATGAGTCGGTAACGCAGTGGCTCACTGCCCACGGCTCCGAGTTCCCGGTGCGTCTTCGACAGCAACTGGCTGCCATTGTGGCCAAGAGTGGAAAGGACACAGAATTGTATCAGGCGGGCCAGGTTGAAAGAAAAAAGGTTATTGATTTGATCTACAACGATCTGGCCGACGTTTACGAACCCTTCTTGCGCGAAAACGACGCCAGTGTGGATGAGGAGAAGCGCTATTATGCCAAGGTGACCGATATTGTAGACAAGGCAATGAAGTTGGCTATTGCTATGCGTGGACAGGAGGTTGATATTTCGACGCTGGATACCAAGGAAGGCGAAGAAGAGTTTGATGAAGAAACCATGGTGGATGTCAAGGGCAAGACTTCCGGAATTGTCCGATTCTGCATTTGCCCTGCGTTTGTGGGAGGTGACGGAGAACATGGCTTCCTCGAAAAAGGCAAGGTCGTCATTGCCTAGACGCATATACAGACACACATACACAGAACTACGTCCCTCCGCCTCTTATAATAACTCTGCTATCACACACACACACACACACCATTAGCACACGTCCCCACATATAAGCTTTCCTCCTCTCTCCAGACTCCTACTACGTTTAGTCTTTTTTATTCCTCTCTCAACAGACCGCATAGCTCAGAATCTTCCATTTATTAACGTATACTCCAACTCCTCTTCTTTCTCGTTCTATCTCATATCTATATCCTACTTTGTACCAAAAAGAAACACGACCAACCTCCTTTGTAATGTATTTTTTTCTCTCTCTCGCCCCCTTTTTTTGGAATTTTGATGATGCACATGGATTTTGTGTCGCATATTTATTATAGGCCTCTGTACCACAAACAACAACTGCTCTAATTGAATTATGAGCTCTCCGTATTGAAGACTTTGGTAATATACAATGGTATTAGCTGCCGGTTCTGCTTATTGCTTGGCGCTACAGTTTCCGTCCTTCGATGATAGTTTGCATGTAGTCTGGTAGTCTTTGGCAATCAACTAGAAGAAGCTCGTGGCGATGACATACTCTAGGGGGACACAAAACGTGCTCCAGTGAGAAGCGTGTACGACTTCGTTCCTAGATTTTCGCCTGCTTATTGTTATGTTCTGGTCTCCTGCTTATCGATACAGACTATTATTTTCTGCAGACCTAGCACACAACGGTGAACCGCTGTTCTGTAATGCTTCTTGACAAGTTTGCGTGTCTGGTCATATCGCATAACAAAAGCATTACTTTTTTTTCTCACTTGATCGTAGTTTCGAGTGAAATACATACATACATACATACAAGTACGCGTTGATACAACAGAATGTAATGTGCTCTATCAACTACGGATGTTCCGGTACATATGCTCTAAGAGGAGCTCAGTTGGTTGAAGTGCCTTTTGGGATCTTGTACATTCACACGAGACTAGATGCTAAAAGACAGTCAATAAAGCTTCCGTGTTTCGATCCCACATAACCTTTTCATCTGGACCAGTCATCCTAACAAACGTTTGTCATCGGCTCATAATATGATTCAGTTGGTATGGAAGCAGAATGCATAAAGGATGGAGACTCTATAATCAAACTTCTGAAGCCCGTTTATCGCATCTCTTGCCTTCTCTTCTTCTTTACGAATACCACAAGCATTCTTTTCAATCAAAATGCACATACAAAGAAACTGCACTTTCCTTGTTTTTCAAGCAAGGCAATCATCCTTTGATGCCAAGGAATAGGTCTGCTGTCGTGATCATCTTCTCCAAGCTGCCGTTTCTCATAGTCATGTTCGTCCTCTTTTGTTGCCCTTGTTGCTGTCAAGTTTGCCTGTGCCTACTACTATGGTATAATGTGCCATCATCGTATAGCACTAAACGGTAAATGCAACGTTCCAAAAACACTTGCTTCCCTCATACTTACTCTTTACCCTTACTTCCTTCCGATCCCCACTTAGCTCAACTTTCAACAAGCTTCCTGATTGTTCCTTTATTCTTCTTCTCTCATCATATCTCAAGGGCTAGGTTGATTATCCTGCTCCTTGGCATCTAATATCAGTCTTACCCGTCTTTCAACCTGCAAATTCTCAGCAAAGGAAGGAGTGGGCTGGAAAGAAAAGGGGGATGGATTATTGGATGGACAGTGGCGATTACACGAAACGGACGGCGGTCTCCAATGCTTCACAGCTGGTGTAAGGATTGACAGTGAATACGTGCTTCTACTGGTTGGTGTTGAAATTAGGATGGTGATGGCTTCAGTGGCTGTGATATGAGAGAGAGTTTGTCAAAAATGCTGAATGTTTTGTTTCTTTGTTCTATAGTTCATAAGACTTCTATCGGGATGCTTTATAATTGGCTCGCCTTCTGTTTCTAATACCTTGCTTATTTGAAAAAATGCGCTTGTTCTTTTTGTTGGATTGGATGGGGCGGATTGGGGGGCGCGGTCAATGGTTGAGGGCTTATGTATTCATTCCCACTATAAGACTTTTACTATAGTCATTATTCTGTTCGTGCAAGACTCTATTCTATGAATGGTCATTATCTATTCAAGGCTTGGCACACCAGCTCCTCTGGTCAGTACACATGGTACACACTCGTGGTTTCTCTCTTTCCTTTTTGTTCTCTACCACCATGAGTCGCTAGTCCATGCCGGACAATCAAGACCGCACGGCCTTTACCAAGGCATCAATACGGAGTACAGACCACCAAGCCAGCAAGATCTGCATCAAACTATGGACATTCAAGAAGGAAGACAACCCTAAAGAATCGTCAGACAATACCATATGTACCGTCCCATAAGAATCATCCATCGCTGGCTATTCGCCGGACCAAACACGCTGTCCTGACCTTCTCGGAACAAGATCAGTTTCTGGATGTATGTTATAATACTGGGTTAAGCGGACAGCATGCTCTGGTAACCCCAGGGATGTCAGTTCTCCAAAAAAAAAAGCTCGTTCGTCATTTATCGTTCAGATCGCGCTCTTCAATTAGCAGCCTCAAAGCTCAAATCAATCCTATTGTACTCAAAAGAGAGGGACAGCGTGTGCATAGTAAAGTTTATTCTGATCGTAAAATAAATGGCGCGTGTGAGCATTTAACAGAGGGTGTCTAGAAGCTTGATGAGCTAAAATCTTGACCGAAAACAATCGAAAAAGGTTTGTGGTGGTGCGGATATCAAAAGTTAATTGTAAGCGGTCAAGTGTGAAAGGTCGATGGGTATGGCTAATTGAAAGCACCAGTTAGCACTATATCACATCACTACTTATATCACACAGTACATTGAAACATTCTGCAGAAAGCTTCACTTACAACAGCCAGTTTCTGCTCCTGTGGGGTATCGTCGCAGCTTTTTTTCGAATGGTGGAGGTGGTGGGAAATCCTTTTGCGAATGGAAAGTCCATTTGCCCGCTTCGGTTTGTGGAGGCTCGGGAATCTCGACGTCAAAGGAGGCATACGTTGACTGAACAGGAATCGTGCTCAATCGCAAGTGTGGGGATTCCATGTTGCTTCCACTGGCGTTGTTGTTCGTAGCAGGTGAAGAAGGTGGAGGAGTTCCTCGTGTGGGAGGTGGTGGTGGTACTGAGCGCCGCATGGCTCGTCGTTGATAAAATAAAATGCGAGAGAGAGAAACGATTTAAAGCACCCAGCAGCCTGCCAAATAAAAAACCACTAAAATAGCAAATAGGCAGCACTCCGACCCTGAACGACTCGAACACACTTGTCTGGTTTTAGGTTAAAACAATATGGAGAATGTGCTTCAGTGGGATGAGAACAAGGTGAACAAATGGTTGGCATCAATAGGATACTCGGCTTATGAAAAGCAATTCAAAGGTATTTCTGTTATCGAACCCCATTGTTTATATTAAAATGGCTCACTCAGTTGCTGTTTTCTCGCAAAATAGAACACGGCATCACTGGAGATGTTTTAATCAATCTTGATCACGAAACGCTCAAGGATTTATCCATGCACTCGGTTGGACAGCGAATGGACATTCTTAAACACATATATACCCTCAAAGCCCTTTGGCGCATACCGTTAAACGAATGGGATTACGTTCCTCCGAGTAAGTCATATTGTTATTATTTTGTAAGAAAAAAACGTTCTAAGTGTATTAATTTGTAACTTAAACCCGAAACAAACGGACGATAGCTGTTTTATATGAAAATGTAACATATCACTGAGCATATTTTGTTTGAATAACTTGTTGTGGATACTCATTAATATGTATGTTGTCTATGTGGAACGGCATTCAATACGCATATAGGATTGGCTCGGACAAAACGGGATGGCTGATTATCGAAAAATCGAGGCTGCATTTCAAGAACGAGGTGAGTAATCCATGCCTCAGGCGTGAGGAAGAATCACATACTCATGTGTATGTCTATCCTAGATGGACATTTAAAACAACTTACCGAAGACTTCGGCCGAGTGACTTATGAATTACACCGACTACGTGAAGAAATGAATCGAATGTTCAAGGATAAAAAGGTAACAAGAATAAAAGAAAGAAGAGTTGCCTTGGAGCGAATAATACTACGATCAAGCGATTTATGAATGATTCAATGGTTATACAGCCTCTTCCTACGTTTGAGATCGACAAATCACCTTCGACACCGCCTATCATGCAAAAAAGCCACTCTCATTTTGTAAATGGCGTGCAGCACAAGTCAGGGCACCTGCTGACTCCTCCTACTTCAACGTTACACGCAGCAACAGACTATTTCAACAATGGCGCCACATCTTCTTCCTCGTCACACCACGACAAATCATCCTGTTCAAGAACCCCGAGCGACGAGGTAATTGACATTCCTTCAGCGCTGTGATTTGACAAAAGTTGGTCATTTGTGTTTATCATTTTTTACGCAGCCTCATCATCAGCTCAAATACTCGCCGAGCGTGACGATAAACGATGGCGGCGCTATCAAAGTATACGGCGAGAAGTTATCCAACAGCTCCAAAGTCGAGCTAGAGTCATCCAAAAATGTACGGCTTTTGCTAGATGATCCGTGCTCCAAAGTTATCACTTCTGCGTTGAAAAAATATAACGTCATGGACGACTGGCAGCAGTATTCCTTGTGGATCCAGTACGGTAGTCATGATAACATGCAAGGTAACCTGTTGCTAGTTTTATAATCTTCCGTGTCTGCAACGACTCTTATTGAGAATGCTTGTAGAACGAGCGTTGGGATACGATGAAAAACCGCTAAGGATATCGCAAAAATTAAAGGAGGCGAAACAAAATCCGGTATTTGTGTTGAAGCATGTAAAGGATAACAAGCCATTCATTCCATCACAAGCGCAATCAACAGCGTTTACGTCACCACGACCAGCGCCACGGCCAACACCTCCATCATACATTGTCGACGACGACCAGCATAGCCACAGCAGCAACGCGCGATCTGCTCATCCTCAACATAGCACCAGTAGTGGAAGCAATAGTAGCAAAAAAGGGCAATTGGATCATCCAAAGACAGCGATCACGTACGGTCGCGTCGAATATGAAGTAGTTGTCCCCGTCATGTCATCCTCTATATCTACGCCCACGCCCTCGACTTCGTCAGCAACAAACACACCACCTTCGTCATCCACTACTACGGCCACTAATAATACTCTGACAAACTCATCCGAAACATCTTCTTCACAAGCACCATCAGCACCAGCACCAGCACCTACGACCAATACTCCATCCGCCACCACAACAGTGACCCCGCCAGCTGTCAAGCGCGCGGGTACTATAAATAGAAAACCTTCGGATAATTTTCTTAGTGAACTTGGCCTCGAGAGCGGTATAGCCAACGCAATCTACACAATCATGATGGACCAGAATAATAATCAAAACGACAAATGATCTCTCTATACAAAGCATCATTTGGACTATATATATTTTATACATTGTCAACGTAATTTTGTCTATGCTATTTTTGGAAACTACTATCGATACACACAGAGAGAGAGTGTGTCGTTGCTATTATGCAACGCACGACAGCGATAGCAGGGGTTTCAGATTTCGAAAACCTCGAACTATAAAAAATACCAATGCCATAGCAATTGACTCGTTCTTGGTTCATTTCTCTTCAACGTTATGTCATTTCAACCTGGTACGAGCACGGCCACAGGCGCAGCAGCAGCAGCTGATGAAAGCAAGCTTCGCTCCCTTGCCCAACTTATGAAGACGAAACGCATTCGCATTGGTGAGAAGGAAGCCAATGATGCGAAAGAGTTACTCAAGAAGCTTTTCTCGGCTCAAAGTGACGACGAGCGACAAACCTATGCCCAGCAAGCGGCTGAGTATGCCAACAACTATGGTGTGCGCGCACTCAAGACCTGCCACTTGTATAGCGCTGTGTCGTCCGAGCTGTTTGCTAAAAAGATCAAGTCACCGCAAGTTCTTGCAGCCATGGACACCGTCAACTTTTTGATCGATTCAAACGACGTGCTTCATGGCCAACTCGAGCCACATTTGGCCACCTTGATTGCTCCTCTCTTGGACCTTCAAGGCGACAAGCAGCAAAAGACCAAGGATACGGCTGTAGAGCTTGCCATGAGACTGGTAACACATCTAAATCCCACGGCAACCCGACCCATCATTCATGTCTGTTTTGGTGGTCTTGAAAACTCGCGCAAGTGGCCGACAAAGATGCTATCCTTGAAAATCATCGAGGAGCTTGCCCAGAAAAATCCCATGCAATTGCTGGCGTGTATTCCAGACATCATCCCGATCGTGTCCGACTGCATGTGGGACACCAAGGCTGAGGTCAAGAAGGCCGCAACAAAGTGCATGAGCACCTGCTGTAATCTCTTGGATAACAAGGATATTGAACGATTCATCCCCGCTGTGATCGAGTGTATCAACCATCCAGACAATGTACCAGAAACAATTCACCAGCTCGGTGCGACTACATTTGTTCAAGAAGTCGATGCTGCCACGCTCGCACTCATGGTACCCTTGCTTGCTCGTGGCTTACGCGAGCGACAAACAGCTATCAAGCGCAAATCGGCCGTGATCATCGACAACATGAGTAAGCTCGTCGACGACCCAGATGTGGCCGCACCTTTCTTGCCTGTTCTTCTCCCTGCTTTGGACAATGTCAAGGATGTTGTCGCTGATCCCGAATGCCGTAGTCAGGTGGAAAAGGCTTTGGCCACTCTGAAACGCGTCGGTGGTGGCGAACAGACTGTATTGAGTATCACAGAAAAGCGCGACAAGGTGACAAAGACATTGGATCACTTGATGCCAACCAAGCTTGATGGTTTTTGGGCACCTGTACGAAAGTACATGGTCGAGCTCGCTGTGGCATTGTCTTTAGCCAAGGATTTTAGCAAGAAATCGTGGGTGGATGCGATCGCTCCTCATGCTGGCACGTGGCTACTCGTTTCTGGTCGTGAGTCCGGTGACTGGGGAGAGGAACAAGAAAAGGAATCCGAAAAGCTCGCTTTAGCTGCGTTGTCACATTGCGAAGAGGCGGTCGCAGTACATACCGGCGAAGAAGAAGACGACGACGAAGGCGAAGAGCTGTGCAACTGCGAATTCTCCCTTGCCTACGGTGCCAAAATTCTGCTGAACCGCACTGCATTGAAGCTCAAGCGAGGCCGTCGCTACGGTTTATGTGGGCCCAACGGATGCGGCAAGTCAACGTTGATGCGTGCGATTGCAAACGAACAGCTGGAAGGCTTTCCTCCCAAGTCGGTATTGAAAACCGTGTATGTCGAACATGACATTGATGGCTCCGAAGCCGATACTGGGCTGGTCGACTTTATTGCCCAATCCAAGGGCGTCGAATACAGCAACAAGGATGAGATTGCCAAGATTTTGAGAGACTACGGTTTTAGCGAAGACATGGTCAAGTACCAAAACATTGGCTCGCTCTCTGGTGGCTGGAAGATGAAGCTTGCTCTGGCGCGTGCTATGCTTATGAATGCTGATATTCTGTTGCTGGACGAGCCAACCAACCACTTGGACGTTGTCAATGTCGCGTGGCTTGAAAACTATTTGCTCGGACTCAAGCATGTCACATCCATCATTGTATCCCACGACTCTGGTTTCTTGGATCATGTCTGCTCGGACATTATTCACTACGAAGGAAACTACAAGCTCAAGCGCTACAAGGGCAACTTATCTGAATTCGTAAAAAAAGTGCCTCGCGCTCAGTCGTATTACTCGCTTGAAGCTGCACAGATTACTTTCCGGTTCCCTGAACCAGGTTATCTCGAAGGTGTTAAGACCAAGGAACGTGCTATTCTCAAGATGAAGGATGTCGACTTTCAGTATCCTGGTAGCTCGCGCAAGCAGCTCAAAAACATCACCATGCAATGCTCACTTTCGAGCCGTGTTGCTGTCATCGGTCCCAACGGCGCCGGCAAGTCTACGCTGATCAAGCTGCTGACGGGCGAAGTCGAGCCTCAGAGCGGTACTGTCTGGAAGCATCCCAACTTGCGCATTGCCTATGTCGCCCAGCACGCCTTCCACCACATTGAAAAGCATTTGGATATCACTCCTAATGAATATATCCAGTGGCGTTATGCTACCGGTGAAGACCGTGAAGAACTCGAAAAGGTCGATCGTGTCGTCACCGAAGAGGAGGAGAAGCAAATGTCACAAGCGTTCGTGATCGATGGTGAAAAGCGCGTGGTGGAAGAAATTGTGGGTCGGCGCAAGCTGAAGCAGAGCTACGAGTACGAAGTCCATTGGGTTGGCAAGTCGTCTATTGAAAACAGCTGGATCCCGCGCAATCGACTCGAGGCCATGGGTTTCGGTAAAAAGATTGCAGAGGTCGATGCTCAAGAAGCCCACAAGATGGGCTTGACTCGACCTTTGACTGCTAAGGAAATTGAAAAACACTTGACCGAAGTCGGCTTGGAGCCAGAGTTTGCCACTCACTCGCGTATTCGTGGTCTTTCGGGTGGACAAAAGGTCAAGCTCGTGATAGGTGCTGCCATGTGGAACAGACCACATATGCTGGTGTTGGACGAACCGACCAACTACCTGGACCGTGAATCACTGGGTGCGCTGGCAAGTGCGATTCGCGAGTACGGCGGCGGTGTCGTGATTGTTACTCACAACCGAGAGTTCTCAGAGGCACTTTGTTCTGAAGTATGGAAGGTTGACGATGGTAATCTTGTCGCTTCCGGACACAATTGGGTATCCGGTCAAGGTACAACAGTAGTCAAGGAAGAAGAGCAAGAGGATATGGTCGATGCTCAAGGAAATACAATCAAGGCTGTCAAGAAGAAGGAGAAGTTGAGCTCCAAAGAACTGCGTAAAAAGAAGAAGGAGCGTATGGAGCGCAGAAAGCGCGGTGAAGAAGTGTATTCGGATGAAGACGAGTGGTAAACTTGTCTCTGTCATCCATTTGTTCCTTACTATGTTTCAATACTACATACTGTTCTCTTTCGCTTTGTTGCTCTTTCCATTTAATGCGAAAAAAATTTGTTATAATAAATTCTATTAATCATTCAATTTATCTGTACATATCATGCATAGTTAGTGTATGTAATTGCTGGAAAACGTAAATGCATACTGTAACGGATCCGGAAGATGATGCATGGTGGCGTTTTACACATGAATTTTACGCTTAAGTCTTCTTCAACCGAAATGATGGCATATCCTGAACTCCGCTACCTGCGCAATCCACAATTCTCCTTGAACCGATCCGTGCATTAAGTACTCCGGTTTCCTTGAGATGTACAATAGTACCCCATTTGGTGTATTTCGACATAATGGACCTGTATTAGAATAAGTTTATAAAGGAGACTACTTTCGCACATAATATAATCAATACAAAGGCAAAGATATATACTCACATAAAACGATGGGGAGGTACTTAAGTAGCAGCAGCACGTTATGGAGTAACGTAAACTTACCAACGCATTGGTACATAGAGAAAAATACATTTTACCCTTTCTTCAAATATGCGCAGAAGCCATATAACAAGTCTTTAGGTCCATCCGCCTGAAATGATAGGGGTTTGATAATTAATTATAGCTATTACAGTATCACCTACTATCACAGGTGCTCAGTGCCGAAAAAAGTGCTGCAGGGAATGCAGCATAGGATGAGAAAAAATCGATAGAAGAATTCTGAGGATGCTTCTCTAACAGTTGTAAGAAATCAACATTACTGCAGCTACCCACAACTAAATACTATATCTCTACGAAAAAAAAAAAGATTCAAAAGGGCAGCGAGCGACAGAAAGGGGTGGGGTTCAAGGGAGCGAGATGAACCTTAATATACTGCATGATCCGGTACCTGCTAAAACTGATGATAAGATTCATCGCATTCCTTTCGAAACAAGATCGGCGATACACACTCTGCCGTGACATGCTTATAGTCAGACATGAAAGCCGTCAAGTAAAACAATTCTGTTGCACACAATCTATACATACATCATGCGATTTTTACAGCGGGTTTCTATTTTGATGTCTCAAATCGTCTGATCCAATGCACTGATTGATTATACGCACGTTTTTGCTGATGTATCTCCTTGAGATAAATATGAGAGGAGTGTCTGGATCCTCTCCGGAATTTACTGCTTCCTGCATGCCGTTTTCCATCATCATGCACATATTCAGCCATCGCTTACATCCAGCAAAACCTTGACGATCTTAGTTTCACTATCAACATCAAAAACGATCAATCATAATATGTGCTCTGATATCTGCTAAACCATTTTTGCATACTGGAGTATATGATTGACAGCTGAATACACCAATATCAGCATAATTATCAGACGACAGTATTATTTACGTCAAAGAGAGCTTTCCCCGAAATTTGAATGGCGTATGTGCATATTACTTAACCCAATCCAGCTTCCCCTAATTGGAATCCCTGGCTAGAAAAACTGTACCCGCAAATAGAACTCTTCGGTTTCTTTTTATTCATAATGCTGCTGGCCACTTCCTTAATGATGATAAGTATACAGCATGTACAATGAATTGCTGCATAGCAGTGCGGAATACAGACACACTAGATCCCGCTTGTTTAAGGAATCAGCTATAAAAGCAAGGGTCATTTTCTTGTTTCTTTCCCGAGAATAATATACGGCTACTACCATAACTACTATCATCACACTAAACCGCACATTACATTAAACATGCACCGCCTCATTTCTCTATCAATTGCAGCTCTCATGCTTTCCTCGGCCATGACGGCCTATGCACTACCTACTACCCGGGGATGTGGATCGTCCGCCGATCAATCATGCACCCAAGGCGGTGTTTCCAAATCAGCATCAATCGTTCAGAGCAATCTTCAACAACAATCTGCTTCTCTAACTGGCGCCTCGCAAACGCTGTACAAGAGGCGGGCACATGACGAGGCTGATGAAAACGAACGGGATGAAAATGAAAAAGACGAGGACGAGAATGAGAAAGATGAAAACGAGGCTGATGAAGATGAAAGGGACGAGAACGAGGATGAAGAAGACGAGGATGAGAGGGATTAACACTGATGTGTATCTACATAGAGAAAGTCTCATGCTATAACTAATTATCTATCTACTTGCTGTCTCAATGGTGTGCATGCTGCGATTGATGTAAATATTCTCTTCAATAAATATAAATTACACATACATATAATAGAAAAACAAACATCATCATCAGCAATCTGTGTCGACTTTTTTACAATTCAGATGGATGATGTAATGATATCACTAGCAATATTAGTGCGCTAGCTTATATGAATATCGAATGAATCTGCCTGGATAATGCAAAACATGCAGTGCGACTTTTGTAAACACAACATACAGTACGATTTTAGTCCTTTTCGCTACACACAGTACAGTTACCGTCCAATTTTTGTCACTGATCAAGTATAAATGTGTCTCCTGTGTTTCCGGCGACCCAGTGCTCTTCCATCTACTGTATCCCGACTTCCCGCTTTTATTGCATTTCTTAACAGTACTTCTCTTGTATTTGGGTCTTGGTCCTCTAAAAAAATGTGTCTCCTGATCTATCTTTTCCAAAGCTGGATTTCGATGTCTTTGCTGTAGTAAAAATAGGTGTTTGGTTTTCTCAGAGATGGATGATAAGTGTTAGGAGTTAAAAACTGCTGCGGTTTGAAACAAGGAGTATGGATGATGAAAAATTTGTCGCCTAACTGATAGATAAGAGATAAATACGCATAAATACACACTTTGTAGTCTTTGCCGAAAAAGAAGCGCGAAAAGGAAAATGTGTGAATGAACCTTTTCTGTCGAGGGGCTGTCTAGAGCAAAATTACCAGTGCATATATTCTGTAAGCGACATCACTGCTGTTTATAAGTACGCTCTTTATGCAACAAACACATAGTGAAAAATTGCTTGATGAAAAGAAAATCGTTCAAATATACAATAGACGAAGAGCGGTGGCCCCACTCATAAATAATTTCTAAAATTTCTATGCCAACTCCCTACCTACACTCTCAATTCTGTCAGTGTACACTCAATAAATACACATGTGGCTGCTCAAGATGATACACACAACCTTCAAAGATTTAAGCCTATTAAGTGAAGCTTTGCCTATTGGTACTTTTAAAACTTCTAGCAAAACGCAAAAGGATGGTAATTTCCACCATACCCTTCATAATCATTTCTTTATCATATATATTTCTTCATGAATAGCTGCCTATTTTTCTAATATAGCCTAGGCTTTCAATATTATATAGTTTGACACGAAGACGTTTCATCTTTTGTCCCTCGACATGCACGTTCTCCTTTATCTGCTTTCACTTCTGCTGCCTCTACTGCCTCTGCTGTCTCTTCTGTCCCTTAGCTTTATACATGATGCAGCAGCAATAAGGAGAGAAAACATGTTTGGCTCAAGTATGTATTGCACTAACCTTATTTGTCTCTCCCTTTATGTACTCTTAAGAAGCACGGAGAAGTGAAAAGGGGTAGGCGGTCCGGGAGGTGGGGGTGGGGGAGAACAGAGCTCAAGAGAGAATGGGGAAACTCTTCACAAAGTATTATTTGCTGATAACATTCTATTGTGTTTTGCGGCGAGTATATAAAAGCCTGACACTTCTAAGTAGCTTTGCTTTTTCTTCTTCACTACAAAAAACATTTCCTCATCCATAATGCGTTTTTTACTCTCAGTAGCTGCTTTGGCGCTTTTCTCTGCAACTTTGGTTCTTGCTGAATCATCCGGTAACTATCTCCAAAAAACATCCCCCTTCTTGCCTTTTTCTCTGACAGAAAGCTCGCGTAAATGATTACTAACACAATACCCGACAATTATTGCTCATTAATTTGTAATAGCTAATGGTCAGGCCCCCAATACTGAAAAGGCTGCCGTAGCCGGAGGACACGATGCCGGTCTTGGTGCAGTCAAGGCTCAAGCTGTTGTTGGCAACGTTCAAGGTTTGGGTGGAGGTAAAAGTACCTCTGCTAAAGAGAAGAGACGCGAGGAAGAAGATGGAGAAGAGCATCGTGAATCAGATGAGCCAGATCACGACGACCATGGCGATCGGCAAGAAGAATTGGAAGATAAACTCGAAGATGATCCTTAAATAACTAGAAGAGAGAACGCAATGTAATTTCTTCAAGCCCTTTTTCCGTTTTACGATCCCCCTCCATCAAGTTTTATACCTCTGCTATTATTTGGACTGGACAAGAATAATGTTATAAATTTTTACAAGTTTATGACTGTTTAATCAGAGATCATATCATACATGGATTTTTGAATCTGCTGTTTGATAAAGAAAGGCGTAATAATACTAAAGCTCAAATGTCGAGTTGGTCATAAGTGAAGATTGAATATGATATTCAATAGTACTTAAAAAAAGCTATCTAAAAAGCTTTGTCTAGCAAACAGTTTTTCTTGAAGCTTGTCGCGTAACTCTCATAGCTTAGAAGGGAAACTTTGTGTAATCTCTTCATGTCCATCGCAGGCCAAGAAACATGAAACAGTATCAACATGATGAATTTTTTCTCTGGTCTTCAATGGTACTGCTAGGCGGCAAGCAGTCGCTGTTTCACCGGATGCTTCTTGGTCTTCCATTGTCTATTCATTTAGTGTATCTTTATCTATCGTGTATGTGGAGAAAAGGTCAATTCGGCCAGGTTAATGTATTGGATAACAGGCTATGTGAATTACGTGATTCATCATGAGAATCAAGTAGAATAGAATATTGAAAAAAAGGTCAATCCAACCAGAAAATGTATCAGATATTAGGCTATGTGAATTACATGATCCATATGGTGACAATTTCATGAGCGTTGGTAATCCGCTTAACATCAAGATGTGTCTGGATAAAGAAATATCCGTACATGGGAGTTTGTCCTAGCATCCGTTAACTTTCACAATCCTTTATTTTCACCAACAAATCGGGAATTTATAGTTTGAAATTAACGGGGGTCGACTGTACATCAGAAACGTATAGTTAGAGGGTTTCAGCAACATGTTAATTTTAAAACGAAGCATACGGTGTGTCATACATATGAGAGACGATACCATGAGCAAAACTGATAGCTTAAATAAGCAATGGCAGAAGCTCCTGTCTATATTTTTATGCCTAAATAACGAACAGTAGATTATGATCTTGGTACAATAGATTTGTGTAGTGAATGTTCTTAAATTAAACTACAGTACTGCACTGTACTACATTTCATTGCTCATATATAACAAGAACCGAACACTAGCTCAAGCTTGGAAATATGCAATAACGTCGTAACCTGTGCTGCTACCATATCGTGTGACTCTGGCATCATCACTCATTATAGTTCTTGCAGAATACACAATAGGTAAACATGCTCGTCGCCTTTATATACGGCATATATACACGTGGATATCCTGACGCCGTCGGGACATAATCAAATAAGATACAATGTTTGTTTAGTAAATGATAATACTAAAACAATCGCTAAACCCATTGTTTGTTTGGTAACCGTCCCTGTTTTTACCTTTTAAAAACACATGTACATATGTAGCATTATTAGCAGTACATATAGAAAGTCAGCATATGAAAGAACAGTGATTCTACTCTCATGTCATAGCTTTGTTGATAGCATACTTGTCATATATGACATGTGCCATGCGATTTATGGAAGTCGAGATCACAGATTAGTTCTCCAAACCACATGGAACTTCTGCATGATCAAGATATACTTGTTGTCTTCCAGGGGTGGGATTGTATTCTTGTATGATACTATTGGCTGTTTGTTTATCATTCTCAAGTTGGAAAGTGAAATGCACACAATACCAGTAGAGCGGGCATATTCTAGGATGAATAGTAGGCTTTTTCATACATCCGATTCAAAGCAAAAAGGAGTGCTTTTTATCTTTGCCTTCTTCAGCAATCACATTAGGAAAAAATATTCGAAAAATATTCAAATATGCATAAAAGTATTCAGAAAATATTCTAATGTGCAGAAAATATATAAAAATATTAAAATATATCAGATTATTCAAAGCGAGTGGTCAGGAAGAGGCGAAAATTTTCTTGAGTGCCTGACGCGTTTCTTCGTTTTTCGTTTTGCGTCTTTCTTTTCTCCTTTGTCCCCAAACAATTCCTACCCAATCAACGCCTCATACAACGTGCAACCATGTCGCAACCAAACGATCAATCTTTAACTTTGTTTACCACCTTTATGGCTACTATTGCGGATTTCAAAACAGCCGTTCTTCAAGAATCCCAAAAACAACAGAACATGATTAGCGACCTACAAGCAAAGCTTGAGGTTATTGATGACCGTGTGCATTCCTTGCAGTACAGCGTTGATGCATTGCGCAATCAGTGGCAAGAAGAAATTCCTGGACTAAACGCGGCCGCATTCACTGATTAGCCAATTTACCCACGCGCCAACTCGGATGACAAACCGATGGTGAATCTCACCATCTAAAGAACAGTAGAGCGTCCACTTAACTCGAAAGATGCGCCCCGTCAATTCTCGTGGGACCTATACGAAATTCTTGGCGAAAAAGTGCTCAAGGAACAGTGGAATCCGTCGCATCTTGCAATTTTAAAAAAAAATATTGTTCCTTTTGTTAACGCCCAAGCTGTCAACATGCGCACCAAGCATAATCTATTAGAAACAACAACTTGGTCAGACTTATTCAAACTTCAGCAACGCCAAGCAATTATATTCCTGGAGGATTCTGTAAAGGACGAGTTTCCCTGGTGTGCTTGCACCGGTTACTGGGGTGCAAGACTGATTATGGTGCGCTCCTTCCAGAACACTAAGCAAGGTAAAGATATAACTCTATTTTTTACAATACACCGCTCCTTTCATTCATTTCGTTATATTTCCTGCAATATTGTACAGTTGATTAATTAAATATAACAGCCACGACTGGGAACATCACAGCTCATCTTATCAAAATAGCTCGGCTTTGACATCAGAACAAGACCAAGATGGAGTTGAGAGGTAGGCTTTTATCTTAAATATTTGAGAGTAACTAATTTGATGTAAGCGGCAGTTCATATGACATCAGCATCAACCACAATGTGAATGATAAACATGATCAACAAGAGGAAATTGAGGACGTGAACGAATATGAAGAGCTGCATCTTGGTGCAGACATGTCAAGGGAAGAGGAGGATACACCATTGAAGTTGCGTCGCCAAAAAGGACGGCAAGAACCACAACAACAACAACAACAACAACAACAACAACAACAACAACAACAACGACAACGACAACGACAACGACAACGACAACGACAGCAACGATCAACTGATCTACAGACCGCTGTGATGGGTATAAGGAAGCATGCTAGTAGTGTGGAGGGATCTGAAGGTAAACTTTGCAATGTTAGCTTTTATACTTGCTTGTTTAAACCAAACACCGTACAAATTCAAAATACATGTAGCGCAAGCTACCCCACCTAAGAAACAGCGTGGACGAACCGCGAGAGAAACTATTCCCGAGCAGAACAGCTCAGCAACAAAGAGACGCCCTGGACGTCCTGAAAAGCGCGTGTTTTAGGGTCATATAATTGAAAGTATATGTTTAGTAGCAGTATTTGGTTATGATGTTGTAATCTGCGTTTGCGTTTTGATAAACACTTATTCAATAAAATTGGCTCGTATGGTGGATCATTACAACAGACTCTTTTGCTTCAATATATATACAAAGAACTTATTTGAATAATCAAAAATATTCGTCCTGAGTTTCATAAATATTCGAAAAATATTCATATTTCGTGCATTTTGAATATAATATTTCCTGAATACTTTTCGAATATTTTTTTTCTAATGTGAATAAGCAGGTAATTAGAGAATAAAACATCCATGCAGCTCAAGTTTGCGGACATCCGAAGAGAATAATACACTGGATTTGAGAAAACAGGGTTCCTATGATCGAAACTTTAACGTCGATGAACAAAGGAAAACGCATTTCTTCGTTTACTCTATTTCGCAGCATACAGTAAGAAGATCAGTCTCTCTTAACCTACCCGGAAAGGAGTAATAACATGACTGCACACCTAACTGAGAATATGGCTTAAAAAGTTGTTTAAGGGCTCGCGTGTTAGCACAGGAACCGAGGAGCCGAGAACATTTCATGTAGAAAATAATTGTATATAGATTTTAACATATCCGTGTTGTCGAGGGACTGGTGGTGGTGATGACAATTTTCCATGTCACTCATTATTCCACGCGCCATAAGCGGGAACATCAAGCGGCTGGTGCTAGGAAAAGGTATTGGTTGGAAAAAAATAATGACCCAGCTGCAGATCTTGCGATGAATAATTGTCAATCTCAAATTAACAAAGTCATGGGTTTCAAAATAGCGGTTCCCTTTTGATCTGCACTCTTTCTTGATGCTTTCTTCTCCTATGTAACAGAGAGTGCCGATTCCCCTGAAAGGCAGGGTTTCTTTATTCTCTTAAATCTTTTACAGTTGTGGTGCCTTGTCTGGCCCCTCCTCTCTAATCGAGACACACCACGAGAAAGCCCTCATGAATAAACTACATATTTACGTAATACATGGAGCATATGCATCTCTGATTTCAGGTACAATACATAAATAAGCCTGTATATAAAAGACCAAACTGTCCATTAGTGGATAGGTAATTTCAATCAACACAACGACAATAAAACTCTCCAACCCTTAAAATTACAGTCTGCAAAAATTGCTAGGAAAAAACCTCATCTTTTAACCCGAAGAAGACAGAATGCCACCAACTGTTATAACCATCAAACCTTTGAATCTCGAGGGTGGGCAATGGTAACAAGCTTCTGTAAATCTATATTGATTGATTTTACAAAGATTATTGTAACTAACGTGTCCTGTAACAATAGTGCCTGGTGCGGAAAGTATGGCCACAAGCGACCGAGTTGCCCGTTTCTCAAATAAAATGCTCAATTGTGCTTTTCTTCGTTTTACACGAAAATCGAAGAGGTGTATTCAGATATATCATACCCAGCCACAATAACTTTTGCATACTTGCTCGATCGCATTCTTCCTCTGCTATATTCAATAACCCATCTCAACACTTACTTCACTGAAGCTCATCTAGATATTACGCCGCCTATGAATCTCTTTTTCGTTATCGATATCGCTTGCACATTTTGTTCATTTTTTTATGCTTTCATTCACTGATCCAGCCACATATCTCCTGCTGACATTCCACATACAAATATACACAGTCATACACACATACACACATACACATTTCCACCAGCACCATTCATTTCGATACTTCGACTTGGTTTCTTTTTTTAGGAAACATTTTTCATTTGTTCTATGCTTTTATATATTGTTTGTCCCTTATTCCAATCACTTGCATGCATTCTCTACTACTATAATAGCAATAATCGTATTATCTTTAAACATCTGCATCAGTTGATTGCTTCTTCTCGTCTTTTTTTAGCGAGTTTATACAATATTGATCTAGAGTCGCTGCAAGATCATATTACCATTTTATGATTTTGCATATTTTCCAACGATGGGTGATGGTAATCACGATGAGACCCAGTAACGAAAAAGAATGAAAGAGCAAGGCATACGGCTCAGATGTCATGCGAGCAGGTCGAGAGTATCACACTCTGAGGCTTTGTAGAATCCATTGTTGAATTTTGTCCATGGGGCTTGTTTCAGTGGTAGCATCGACACAAAGTTAGTAAGGTTCTTCTACATTAAAATCCTTATGGTTTTCTGTACTCCTGCAAGAACTTGCGCTCTACCACATATCGATGCATCTTAGATAGCATGTAATATATTCTGTCTCTACAATGACCACTAGTATCATTTTCCTCTGAGTGATCGATAAAGTCATCAGCAACAGGGGTATCTTCCGCACGCCGCGATGGTCATCACCCGTGCAGGCATTGCAGTACTGACAAGTCCGCTGGGATCTGAGGAGTCGTTGTCGCGTGGTTGGCGGCGACGCATGTGAAGTGCAAACTGTTGTATGTACATATTTTGACATCAATTTATAGCGCGTTATACCTTTCATAAATCTTATCCATTAACGTTTTTTGTCATGATCCATGTTGTTTTTAAAGAGCACCTTAATGGCACTATCGCAACGATAAACATAGCTGCACTCATAGTTTATGTATGGTATGAAATATTCGTATACGCGCAGTATGCTGCAAACTACGGAGAGCGTCTTTCTATAGACAGACAGATTGATCTAGTCATCATGTCACTAAAACTGAGTTGATTGCCGATTATGAACAGCGGAGGTTAAGAACAGTTTCGAGACGCACGACTATAACAGCGGAGCACACGACGCTTGTCCCTTTCCTTAACTTCTTAACACCTCAGCATCTGCTCTGTCCGCATTCTTTAAGTTGTTATTTTAAGGCGTTGGGTACGTGTTTTCTATACTAGAGCTCTTTCATCTGCTCGAATTTCGCTTGTAATTCTAACATATCCTTTTGTCCTGATTCGTGTTTATGTATACAACTGTTTTATTAGTGTTTTCGAGATGCAGATGCTTACCAAGGTAATGATGACAACAAATTCAGTTAACCAGTTCCAACATCACGAACTATGGAAAGCCTGTTTTTGCTTTTCAGGGATTTGCGTTTGCCTCAACAGATTCTGATTACCTTAAAAAAGAGTCTGAGAGTTTAAAAGGCTACGCTGGGACTGGAAGGCGTCAGGAGAAAACATCAGTTTCAAAATATAGTTTATGCGTTACTTGGAATATTGACAAGAGCTTTTCTATAGTTCGAAAGCAAAAGTAATAGATGTAAAGGGCTCGCGTTCCACCCTAAGCGACCATGGATTTTAGCCTCCTTGCATAACGGCTCAATCCAGCTATGGGACTATCGGATGGGGACGCTGTTGGAACGTTTTGACGAACACGATGGTATATACACAACATGTATTTTTGGAAGCTTTCCTTATATGTATTTTTGGACGTGGATATTAAACAAGGCTTTCTGTCTTATAGGACCTGTGCGCGGTATTGCATTTCATCCAACACAGCCGCTGTTTGTATCTGGTGGCGACGACTACAAAATCAAAGTCTGGAACTACAAAACGCGTCGTTGCTTATTTACGTTGAACGGGCACTTGGATTATGTCAGAACTGTCTTTTTCCATCCTGAGCATCCATGGATCATTTCGGCCTCTGATGATCAGACAATCCGTATTTGGAACTGGCAATCTAGAAGCTGTATCGCCATTTTGACAGGTCATAACCATTATGTCATGTGCGCGCAATTCCATCCCAAGAATGATCTTGTTGTATCAGCTTCGATGGATCAGACCGTGCGTGTGTGGGATATTTCAGGTATATAGCAAAGAGAACAATACCAGAGGAGATTAAGGAGTGGATTGATCAATATGTGTCAATGAAAGAGCTGGTTCATTGACAAGTAGAATGTCCTTTATAGGTTTGCGCAAAAAGAATCAGGCACCAACGGCAATGACTTTCGAAGATCCATTTTCGCGACAAAATCCACAGAGTGATTTATTTGGATCAACTGATGTGATGGTGAAATATGTGCTTGAAGGACATGATCATGGTGTGAACTGGGCTTCGTTCCATCCCACTTTGCCTCTCATTGTGTCAGCTGGGGATGATCGTCAAGTAAAGCTTTGGCGTATGAGTGGTAAATATCGGATGTGTATGATATCAAGGAGATTGACATAGGGTGCTGATTTTCTTTTATACAGAAACCAAGGCTTGGGAAGTAGATAGCTGCCGCGGTCACTTCAGCAATGTTTCTAGCGCTATTTTCCATCCACGTCACGAGCTCATTTTGTCTAATGGCGAGGATAAGTCTATTCGCGTCTGGGATATGACGAAGCGCACGGCCATTGCAACTTTTCGTAGAGATCACGATCGGTTTTGGGCTCTCACATCGCATCCCGAACTCAACCTGTTCGCAGCAGGTCACGATAACGGTTTGATTGTTTTTAAACTTGAACGCGAACGACCAGCCCACCAAGTCCATCAAACCCAACTGTATTATATTAAGGATAAAATCCTCCATGTGCACGATCTTGCTAGCAGCGCTGATCAAGAGATTCTGAGCGTACGCAAGTTGGGATCGCAATACGTCAACCCACGCACTCTTTCATATAACCCAGCTGAACGTGCGGTGCTTGTCACTTCGGTATGTCGAAACATGCATGTGATAACCACCCCAAAGCGGAATGATACACGTTCAATTGCTTACAAGAGGTGTACATACTCTCACTATATAGTCTCAAGATGGTGGTATCTACGAACTTTTCCCGCTGCCAAAAAATCTGTCTGGTAGTCTCAAGGAACCTGCTGATGAATCGAAGCGTGGAACAGGCCACGCCGCACTCTTTATCGCAAGAAACCGATTTGCCGTTTTGGATACTCTTAATCAGCAAATACAAATCCGCGATTTGACCAACACTGTGACAAAATCATTCAAAACTCCTGGTCCCGTCGCCGAAATTTTCTACGCAGGCGCTAACAGCCTATTGATGTCTACACCCACATCAGTCATCTTATTCGATATTCAACAAAGACGCACCGTCGCGGAACTTCCAGTCGGATCTGTCAAATACGTCGTTTGGTCTCAGGATATGTCAATGGTTGCATTGCTAAACAAGCATAGTACGTCGAAAAAAATGTCTTGATGTCTAATAAGGATGTTTATGGTAATACTTGCGATTCTTTTGATTAGCTATTACGCTCGCCGATAAGAACTTGAAGCAAGCATGCCAAATTCATGAAACGATTCGCATCAAGAGCGGCACATGGGACGACTCTGGTGTCTTAATCTATTGCACCTTAAATCATATTAAATACGCGCTTCCACAAGGGTAGGTTTTACAGAGAACATCTGTTTAGATTGAAACGATACTAATATGGCTCTAAATTAGCGACAATGGTATTATTCGCACTTTGGATCAACCCGTATACCTTACCCGTATCAAGGGCAAAACACTTTTCATCCTGGATCGTGACGGTAATTCTAGAAGCATGACTATTGATCCCACTGAATACCGCTTTAAGCTTGCTTTGGTCAAGAAGCAATACGAAGAAGTATTGCACATCATCCGTAATTCAAACTTGGTTGGCCAAGCTATTATTGCTTATCTACAGAAGAAGGGCTATCCAGAGGTGAGAAACATTTATGAACAATTGTGTCATATGCAGCAGTAACCTCGCTAACGCTAGATTTCTGTAGATCGCACTCCACTTTGTTAGAGACAATCAGACACGGTTCGAACTTGCTTTGGAATGTGGTAATCTGGACATCGCTTTAGAGACCGCACAGGCTTTGGACAAGGCAGAGTGCTGGACTAAGCTCGGCTCTGAAGCTTTGAGACAGGGCAACTATAAGGTATGAAAAAGATATTGTTTTATAATCGAATCTTGATACTAACATGAAATAATAGGTTGTTGAGATGGCATACCAACGAACCAAGAGCTATGATAGTCTTTCGTTCCTATACCTTACTTCCGGTAACGAAACCAATTTGCGCCAAATGCTGAAAATTGCCGAACTACGCGAAGACCCGATGTCTAGATTCCAAAACGCCCTTTACTTGGGCGATTACCCAGAACGTGCACGCTTGCTCAAGGATGTGGATCAATGTATGTGGATGCTTCATTTAAAAAACTGTTAACCAGTGTAACTGACTTACAAATCACAGTGCCTCTTGCGTATCTCACCGCCAAATCGCGTGGTCTCACTGAAGAGGCCGAAGCCATTCTTGCTGCTGCAGGCAAAACTGAGAGCGACATCTCACTACCAGTAACACCAGCTGATCTACCCTCTCCTCCTAAGCCCGTTGTTCAGCTAGAGGATCCAAATTGGCCATTGCTGACCGTTTCAAAGAGCTTCTTCGAGGGTGCTTTTGCCAAGGAACAAAATGGAGCAGTCAACTCCGTGGCAGCGCCTTCTTTCTCTTACGATGAAGGAGACATTGAAGAAGCTGGTGGAGCATGGGGTGACGACGATAACGACGACTTTGGTATAACTTCAACAAGCAAACAGGATGATGGAAATGACCTGTTAGATCTCAACGGACGAGCTGATGGATTGGACGATGGCGAAGAAGGTGGCGGTTGGGATTTGGATGATGATATCAAAGCAGATCTGGATGCTGAGATCAGCCAAGCAGCAGCACAAGCAACAGCCGAGTTTGTCGCACCGACGCCAGGCACCAACGAAAGCAATATCTGGACACAGAACTCGCCACTGGCAGCAGATCACATCGCTTCTGGTTCTTACGAAAGTGCAATGCAAGCTCTGAACCGTCAAGTCGGTATCGTCAACTTTGAACCCCTCAAACCATACTTTTTATCTATATATCAAGCATCGCGTGTCACAGTCTCGCCCTTGGCGTCCAACCCTGCGCTATCATTCTGCCTGCGCCGCAATCCTGAAGAATCCAATTCGCGAGCAAGTCTTCCAGCAGTCGTTTACAATTTCCAAAACATTGTATCCACACAATTGCAAGCGGCGTACAAGGCATTCACCTCTGGTCGTCTCGCAGCTGCAGAAACACAATTCAAGGTCATTTTACGATCCATCCTGTTTACGGTGGTGTCTAGTCAAAGCGATGCCGACGAAGTAGCCCAGCTCATCGATATCTGTCGCGAGTACCTTGTCGGTTTGTCTCTGGAACAAAAGCGCCGTACGCTGACAGCTTCGGAACCAAAACGAGCCCTCGAAATGGCCGCTTACTTTACACACTGCCAGCTCCAGACACCTCATTCACAACTTGCACTTCGACAGGCCAGCAAACAGGCATTCAAGCTCAAGAACTTTAGTACAGCATCCCAATTCTCGCGCCGGTTGCTTGAACTGGCTCCTCCAAAGACCGTAGCAGACGAAGCCCGCCAAATCCAATCCGTCTGTGAACGTAACTTGCACGATGAAATTGATTTGGCGTATGATCAATACAATCCATTCGTCGTCTGCAGTATTTCCTATGAACCGATCTACAAGGGCTCGCCCAAGTCTGACTGTCCATTCTGCCATGCCTCATACAAGCCGGAATCAGAAGGCAAACTGTGTACAGTCTGTGAGGTTGCCCAAATTGGCGCCAATGCTACCGGTCTTCGCGTAATGATTTAATTTTCTTTCTATGTGTCCTTATCATAAAATTATTTTTCTGTTTTCTTGCCACATTAGACCTTTAAATATACAATAATTTTTTTAAAGTATGAAACAAATTGTATTAACTAGAAATTATTATCTATTATCATTTTAAATGCCCATTTTGGGTCCGTATGGACAAACTGATACAATCTGAGAATCTATTAAATGTGGGTAACCGGGTATTTCTGCTTGGTGATGTAATCCGATCCGTAAGTATGGTTCAATGAAGAGCGGGCAAGTGTAAAGTATGAACCCCCATGTCAGGAAACTGCCAAGCGCAGTCGGTACGCGAAAGAGACTCTGTGCGGATATAACTGCTGCAGCACCCTGTATCAGGAAAAAGAGAGATTGATATCCACCGATGCCGGGGCGATTTACATACTCGGTGTATCCAAACATACACAGTAATATATAATCATGCATAAAGCCAGAGACAGCGAAGACCCCCAATGTTCCAAAAGCACGGCCGAATTGCTTGTTTTGGGGGAACATAGCACGGATTGGATCATAAACAAGTCCCTGAAAGGCCCATCGAAAGATTTGGTGCCAGCGTCTACAAGAACGATCATTACGTTAGTTAATATGTAATTTGTCACTCCCTAATTACTCAAGCTTACTAACAAAAAAGTAATAAGAATTAACAAACACAATACTTGCTTCGACCACAATTCATGAATTGACGATGCAAGCCAAGGTTTCTGAAATAGCGGTGGACGTTGCACGAAATCGCGCGCTGCCGCATGTCTTTGTTTGAGGCTGTTTGGAAACAGAATAGCTCTGATTGACAACTCCACTCCATACCATAAAAGCACGAAGGTTGGAAAGATGATAACATGGGAAATAAGGGCAATACCGGCAACTCCGTAATACCACAGTGTTCTCGGAGAGATATGCTGTGGCCCTTCATTAAGCAGTACGTTTAAGTAGGGTGCGTGCAAGGGATCCTGGCATACTCTTAAAAACCCATCCAATGCTGACATTATGGGCACTGATATCAAAACGTACAAACAGCCCTTGAGGAGCCACAGAAACGCATCTCGTCGCATAGCAGTGGAGTCGTCGCCCTGCTGCTGTTGCTGGGTAACCGAGCTACTGTCATTCGATTCCTGTTTGTTCCACCGTGACAAGACATTGTAAAAAGGCTCAATCCGGGTTCCTGGCGGTGCACTGCGTCGATCGAGAATGAAATGAGCCATGCCAAAACTTAAAAAGCTCGCAAGGGTTGCATTAACAGCGAAATCGATCTGGTCGCCACCCTGAGCATCATAAAGGATCGGTACGGCTAATTCCAGAACAATCACGGAGCACAGAAGCAAGTCGTTGCTGTATTGTTGTTCTTGTTCTTGTTGTTTTCGGTCGACCGTATCATGTCGTGTGAGAAGATAAAATAGGATGCTTGGTACTGCACAGCCACCATAGAGTCCTAATCGGTCTAGAATAAAAGTTGTTACTGAGCTCATGGCGGGCATAACATGCGGAGGATGGGAGGGGGAGGAGGGAGAAAAGAAGACCAGGGCACCCAGCCTCGTGATGTTGTATACCACAAGCCTTTAGCCTTATCCAGCGAGGTTAGTACTTTACTTCATGCATTGCATTTTGCACCCGTATACTTTACTTTGTCGTGTCGATTGTACTTAATGCAGTTGGAGGTTCAAGTGAGCAAGAAAACTTTGATCTCACCGGCTGTATTTCTTTTCTTGTTTCTGACCCCTGAACAACGAATGGGAAATGCTTATATCAAATCGACCAGTGGACGGACGAGCTGCTGTCGTATCTTTACTGCGCAGATAACCTGGTGTAGGTGAATTCATTTATATGGCAGTAACTTTACACTGCTAAATAGTTCGTTGTTAACGAAAGTGATGCTTCAATCGCCCATCGCCTAGAAGCTCTTCTACGTAGATTAGGGTCATCGCATCGTTTTTTTTCCAGTACCGACTCCTTGCCAACGCTATACGCTTACCAGGCATCCATCTCCTTACAAAAAGAGAAAACCCCTTAGATCGACAAGCTGGTCGCACTGAGTTTATCTGTATGGAATTCGGAGAGCGACCAGTTTGGATCAGCAACCGGCGCTAGTTCGATATAATCATGATGTTGGTGGCAAAGTGGGCAAAGTCGCCAGTTAAACTTTGTTTGCCGCATATCAACTCCAAAGGATTTGAAGAAGAATGAAGGCGTATACAAACCGCCAATGTGCGTTTTAGAACAACAGATGACCGTAATCCGTTGAAAGCGAATTATTTCTTATACTCTAGCCCTAATTTGGTGATGGCTATCACGCACTACATTATTGGAATGATTAGTTACCAAGCCTTTTTTCTTTAGTTGGATCTTTTTCTTTTCGTACATGAAGTAATCCTGCACGTAGCTACTTACAGACCAACAAGCAAAAGACAAAGAACTCCTTCTTTCCCGCCTTGCCCGCCTTACCCGCCTTACGATATTTTAGGGGAAGGTCTAAAATTCTCCTTATGCAGCTTCACTCGTCGTCGATTATAAAAGAAGCTCGGTTTCATGATTTTTCGTCATTGATCCGTCTACCGTTCATCTACACTATAATTGCAATGCGTTTCACTACTCCTATTGTCCTCGCTACATTAGCCGTCCTTGCTAGCGTTCAAGCCTTACCCGCTAATACTGGCGAAGCCCACACTGCCGAAAACAAGCATGGAGTTGAAGGAACGGAGAAAGCTCAAGGTTATCAAAAGCCATCTGAAAAGGATGTTGATATCCCAGATATAGACGTCAAGATCCCACCAGAAGGTGTGAAAGACAGACTCGAGGATGCTGACCTGGATGATTTAATCAACCATTGCTTGGACGATCCCGAACTTGATGAATGCCTTGATATCGACTTTGATATCACCGAGTGCCTTGAAGAGAATTCGCGCGAAGAATGTTTCGAAGAACTCAGAGAGCTGCTCGAGGAACCCTAGATTTTTTCTATATGTCATTTCTATATAAACATTGTGATAACTGTTATGTTTGAGTAATATATTTTCGTTTTTTTATTTCCTTTTGTCAAGTATATGCTTTTTTTTTACTGATAGTAATGATAGTAGTAGTAAAAAATAAAAATATTTGTAGTACCCATATCATACATACCAATTAGTTACTTTGGGCTATGTAATTCCGATCACTAACTTTTTTAAGTTGACACTTTTTACCGTGTCAGACAACTGGTATAGACGCATATTTGAAGTGGAGCATATAGTAGCATGTGCAGTTTATAAAACTATGCATGAGAACAAGAATTATCGTTCTCCGACCTCAACCCCCTTCTTTTTGTATTCTTCTTCGGGGGCGGGGAACCAGATGATGCCTGCTTGTCATTTATAATCATCCATCATTTAAGGAGTTGATCGATTACCATTTTAACCATCATGTCTCGGGCAGTATGTATTTAGAAAGCACGGCATAGACTTCATGGATACAATCTAGATAGAAAGAAGATGCACGAGCCAGCCCCTTTCGGTTGCAGTTGGCATATCAAGCTCGGGGACAACAATTGCACAAAAAGCAGTAGCAAGTTTACAATTCTTCTTTTGCAAATATCCCAGCCATATTTCAGAACGTCTGGAGATTAAGCAAGTTTGACAGCCTATACTGGAAGCTCGGGATTTGATGTTCATTCACAGTAATACTTATCGGTAATTAGAATATAAATGAACAGAAAAAAACAATTTGATGAAATTTCACAAAAAATGTCCTCCTCCATCTAAAAAAGCACGCAATATATGAAAATAGGGAGTTGGATCAACATCTCCTTTACGTGGTATATTAATAGAAGAGTATATATATATGTATCTGTGTATATAAAGATACTATCATCTTCTTCCTCTTCGTTTTTTTTCCTTGACGTGAAATTGACATAACTTCCCTTTACATTCGTTTTTATTAAATTCTACCCAAATACCCTTTCCAATCCTTATATCATTTTCTTATATTATACTGGCTATAATAAGCTGTACGTACCACTATGCGTCCACCAAAATTTCTGTCACTTTCCATTGCAGCGCTCGCACTACTTTCCGTAGTCAAGAGCTTGCCCCTCGATCCAGCACCTGCTACTAATCCTGGAACACCTAATATCCTCGGCAATCTCCTTATCCAAGATCCCACAAGCTCACAAAACACTAGGCACCCAAGCCCAGTTTTGCATGGCTCAGATGGCGTTGAAGAAGCCGACGGAGAAGAAGAAGAAAAGAAAAAGGGCAACTTGGGTGACGATGATAACGATAATGGCAACGACAACGACAACGACGACGACGACGACGACGATGATGATGATGATGAAGAAGAAGAAGACGACGACGACGACGACGAAGACGACGACGACGAAGAAGATGACGACGGTGACAAGGATGATGAAGACGATGGTGACGAGAATAAAAATTCGTTGTCGAAACCGTCTGATGACGTGAAGTTGAGCATTCCTGGTCTCAAGCGTCAGGCACCAACTGATGTTGTTTCCGGTGCAACAAACATGCAAGCTCAGCAGCCAGTCCAAGAAGGCATGCCTTACGATCAGGTACCACAACAGACACCACCAAAAAAGCAGCACCACAAAGAGGAAGTCGATGGCGACGATGACAACGACGACGACGACGACGACGATAACGATGACGATGATAACGATGATAACGATGACGACGTTGACGATGACGACGTAGAAGACGAAAAAGATGACAAAGATCAAGATACCGTGTTGAAGGCTGTATTGAGCAAGCGTCGTGCTGACGAAGATACTCCATCTGAGAAAGAGCCACCCTCTACGCATCACAAGCCCACGCAAGATGAAGGAGAAAAGGAAAATGAAGGCTCCTCTAAGCACAAAGATAGCAGCAACAAAGACCATAACTCGGAAAGCAAAGCGACCGAGCAGGATGGAAAAGCAAAGCATGCCTCCAAAACCAAGGAAGAAGACAGTGCTACCAGCGAGAAGGCTCCTAATGAGCACCATCATAAACCGTCTACTCACACTAAGAAGAACGAGAAGGCTTTACACAATGAAAATTCTGACAAGGAAAAATCGGATGATCATGCCGGCAAAAAGGCCCCCGAGAACAATCCCAACGCAGACGTATTCCAAAAAGAGGAGGATGACCTTGAAGCCGAGATCAAGGCAGCTCAAGAAGCAATGGCAAAAGAATTTTCATCCAAGAAGGCGTTTGCTGACCCTATGGCAGAAGAAAAAGCCAAGCCTAAAAAAAATTCTTTCGAAGACAAGGCGTCCACTGAACACAAGGCAACAGAAAAATCCGAACATAAGAAAGGGGCATCTGAGGACAAGTCATCCGCTGATATCAAGACAACCTCCGAATCCAAGGCAGCACCAGAACACAAGGAAAAGGCCATTGCAGCCCAATCATCATCGAACGAATCAACAAAGGCGAATGAAGCCAGTGATGAAAACGTTAAACACCACTCCAAAGCAAAATCGCAGACTACTGATGATGGTGCTATGGAGCCTTCGTCTGAAAAGGAGCACAAGGCACATTTGACCGATTTGCATGCTGAGCACAATGCAAAGATGAAGGAGCTTTACGCGGCACCTGCTTCCTACGAAGCTTCCTATGAAGATACGGATGAAGAAGATGAAGCTCAAGATGAAGAAGATGATGAAGAAGAACCTGATGAAGAAGAAGAAGATGAGGACGAGCCTGACGAAGAAGAAGAAGACGAAGACGAGGAGGACGAAGATGAGGAGGACGAAGACGAGGAGGACGAAGATGAAGAGGATGAGGATGAGGATGAGGACGACGACGACGATGAGGATGAGGTTAAGGATGACAACGACAACGACAACGATGAAAATGAAGAAGAACACGAAAAGGAGGAAAACGAAAAGGAGGAAAACGAAAAAGAGGAGGTCGAAAAGGAGGAAATAGAAAAGCCCGCGAAGAAATCAAAAAAGGTTGAGCACAAGGAGCACAAGGAGCATAAGGAGCACAAGGAACACAAGGAGCACAAGGAGCACAAGGAGCCCAAGGAGCACAAGGAGCACAAGGAGCAAGTGAATACCAACAAACAGGAAAAGCATCTTAGCAATGCAGATAACAACTGGATTTAAAGTCGTAGTTTAGTTAGTTACTCTTTCGTGCAATACAAGCATCATTCATGCTATTATCATCTTCTTTCATATATCTCATATTACCTATACTGTAGTACTTGATGCCCAGCACGATTACAACTCTGTTAAAGTTTCAAAGTTCTTGTTCCTTCTTCTACATATATGGCTCTTATAAATTTTATTACTGTAACAGGAAATATTTTAACTTTTTTTGCATAACTCCTTTGGACGGCCGTCTCCCTCATATAAAACCAAGGACTTTTTACGACTTTCTTTACTGGTACATCTGCCTGTATTTCAGCAAACGCACCTTTAACTTTAGAAAGAATGCCGTATGGTAATCTTATCCGCTCCGTTGTTCTTAGTAACGTTTATTGAAACTTCATTTTGCATATACAACGACTATTGAAGCTACATGGAATGAAGCATCTATAGCAATGTCCATTTTTCAGAGTTCTATTGCCTCTTTTGCTTTGTGAAAAATATAGTGGCTTGCATCGCAAATTTTGTTTTCACAGCAATATGTACATCAAAAAAGCAGAAAATTAAGGAAGATTGGGTATCAATTATCCGTAGGCTGCCATCACTTCTTCCCAAAAAGTTATTGCATAAATGCACGTTTGTTATTATGTTGCTTTCCCAAACAACAATACTGCACAGATGTAGATTTTATATTATCGTTAAGAACTCTCTTTATTCTCTATGATTATTTCTGGAATCGTAATAGTGAGCTTGGTTCGGGTGTACTTATATATGAATCGTTGTATATAATGTTTCTTTTGTTCGTATGATCCATCACTACAGCCGGAACGCCTCGTTCCAATCAGTTGTAGTGGAGTTCGTTGCAAAAAAGTGTATGATTGATGAAGAATTGCATATGTAAATCCTGCATCAAAAGAACGGTAAATTGATCGTTGGTCAAATATCATATGCATGCTGTCCTATCTTCTCCGCAAGCATTTTCTCTTTTTTCTTCCTCTTTACTATTTCCTCATCGTCCGTGCTGCTGTTTCCCCACACTAGTCATGAAGGACATCTGCAACGAATCCTCGACGAGGTCACCTATCAGAGAGCCAGAACAAACAAGTACAGGTGGCAAGCTGCCACCTTCTTATGAGCCACTTGAAACCGAAGCTATGGAAACAGCCGCCGAACCGCTGAGAAGATTACGAGCGTATACGCCAGCAGAAAAAAAGCTTTTGAAAAAAATTATATTTGCAGTCATGCCGCTCGTTTGTACAGTTCAATATGTTCAAGTATGCTTGCTTTGGCCCAAGAGATTTCTGATTTTAAGATTGTTGTTGCGCATATGATAGCAAAAAAACTTATCGTAGTAGTACACCTAGATCACTGACAAATTTACACTCAATTCTGCCGGTGTGATGGGGATATACAGAGATGCTTCGATCACTCATGATCAGTTTAGTCTCCTCGGCTCGGTGTTCTTTGTGGGATTTCTAGTCTTTCAGGCATGTATGATAACAAAAACTAGTAAAAGGTGTCATGCTGCATGTACGATTATTTGGTGTCATCCTAACCGCATTAATTGGGATAATAGTTTCCCAACACTTACTTACTCCAGTGTTTGCCGGTTTCCAAATATTTTGGAACGATAAGTATGTTGTTAGAAATTGATTTGCCGGTCATATAAGTCGAGAGCACTACATATATGAGTAATGCTGCAGCAACATGATGTAGTAACACTTTTGTTCTCTTCTATTATTCTATAGTTGCGCTATGGGGTGTAGTCCTGATGTGCATGTCACTCGGAGAAAATTTCTCCGAGCTCGCTGGACTTCGGTTTTTGCTAGGACTGTTGGAAGCAACGAGTGCGCCAACGATCCTACTGGTGATCAACTTGTATTTTCGGCGAAGGGAGCAAACAATTTGCATTGCAGCAATGCAGCTCTCTAGCGAAGTTGCCGTTATATTTAGTCATTTGATCATTTACGGATTCGGATATATGGATAACCTTCATGGTGTAAGCGCATGGAAATGGTACGATGGCGCTATTATAGTGACAAATTGTTGTCTCATTTACTGGTGACTAACAGCTTATATCAAAAACTAAACTGTACTTTGCATAGGAACTTCATCATCTGGGGAATCGTCACGGTCTTCATCGGTGTCTGCGTATTCATATTTTTGCCGGATCAAAAGGAGTCGCGCTGGTTCCGTTTGACGCCTACTGAAAAGGAGATCGTCAAGGAACGTGTTTGTGACACAGGCATGGTTCGTGACAAACTGTTCAAGTTATCGCATGTCGTGGAGTCAGTCAAAGAAACTAGATTGTACTGCTATTGTTCTATCGCGCTGCTGCTATGCTTACAGAATGGCTGCGTTTCCTTGTACAGTTCCCAGATTTTCCGCGATTCCGGATTTTCGGTATGTTACTGTTGCTATTGTTTGTTAATAGAACTGACGTCATTCCCAACAGGCAATAATCCAAAAGAGCTAAACCTTTAAATTTCGCGTGATAATACTTGCTCTAGAAACTCGATTCTGTCATCTTAAACGTGCCTAGAGGCGTGAGCGCCATTATCCTCATGGTCATAGCTGGGTATATCAGTCAGCGATACAATGACACATGTCGCGTTGGTGCGGGCATGGTGGGTGTCTTTTTTATCGGAGCATTGATCCTGGCCACCGTCCATAATGGCAATATTCGTCTTTTGGGAGTCTACCTATCTACTATGCTGCCAGCGTATGTCCTGATGCAATCGTCATGTGCCAAGAACGTTATCGGATATACGAAAAAAACGTTTTACAACGCGTGTATTTACGTAGCCATATGTATAGGCAACTTTGTTGGCCCATTATTCATGAGAGAAAATGAAGCGCCATTTTACACGAGTGGTATGGTCGGATATATGATCGCAGATGCAATCGCAATTACTCTTTTCATTTACGTTTATTGGTGGCACAAACGAGAGAATCAACGTCGGCAGCAGTTGAAGAGTGGAGGAAGGATTCCACTTGCGCCGCCAAACGACAGAGACGAATTGGATCTTACTGATAAAGAGGATTTGGCATTTGTTTATACGTACTAATGATATCAAAACTTTGCATCTTTGGGAACAGTACCTTTGTATCCTTCGATTTACCATCAATAAAAATTGGGATTACAAACGAACAACCTGTGCCATACACTGCGTAAAATGATGGTATTAACTTGGGCAGTTTGCATTATTTTACAGTATCATCTTCTTTATTATTAAAATCTTTAAAAGTTAGCTGAAAAATCCAAAAAAGGAAACTCTCATCCATGTAAATTCACAGACAGAAAAAGAGAAAGTAAATACTTACGCAAAGCATTCCCCAAATTCATGGGGGACCTCGGCCGCACTTTTTACCCGTGGGCTCGGGGAATTTGAAAATGAAGCAGGACTTACGCCCGGAGGCTGCCTGAGTAAAAAAACAGCCGTTCGCGTGAAACGATGCAACATCCGAAGATGGGTCGAGACAGAGGCTACTAGGAACTGCGAGAGAAAAGCAAAGGGGGACGGGAGGGGAGGGGGATAAACTATATGAAATACGCAATAGACGCTTTTAACGACTTCCTGGGTCAGAGCAAGGGGAGGAGGGGAAGGGGGATAAATTATATAAAGAACGCAAAGAAGAAGATGAGGCTTTTAAGTACTTCCTCAGGTCCAAGTCAAAGCAAAAAGCACACGCCACCGTCCAGATGGATGGATAGATCTTGACCACTGCCGATAGACTACTTGACAGGTCGGCTTCTAGGAGCGGGATGACAGTGGAGCATCAATCTTGACCAGCTTGGAGGTGTCTGTGCACTACCGCCATTCCGAGAAACAAAAGAGACGAATAGTTAATGGGAAACTGTCAAACCACACACACAAGATTCTATCGTGCTATACTTACCCATACTTCTACGATGAGACACAGGATAACCGAACACCCAGCCAGTGTAGAGCAGAGAATCACAGCCAGAACAGAAACACTTCTTCTAGCTGGATAAAAAAAAGATTATTAGAGGGCTGCACCCACTGTGCTATCTTTATTTTTTGACACGGCATTACCATCCTCCTCCATCCCAAGCTGACTTACATTTGTTTTGTCGTTTCACAGCAAAGTTATAGACAGAGAGAGATGGGGTCTAAGCCAATCCAAGTTCAAACAGATCACCGCAGAGCCATCCTCTATTAGAAAAACGAAAACATCTATGAGCAGCTGCATACACTTTTTGACATGTCACGGCAGACATCTTCCTGGTTCTTCAAACACGCAAAGACAAACACAAGCACAGCGATACTTACTATTATGACATCCTTGGCTTGGAGGAAGAGAGCCTTGAGTTAGAGAGAGGAAAAGCAAGAAGGGGATGACCAATTCTGAAAAAAGAATAAGAGAAGAAAGGGGAGGAGAGAAAGAAAACTTTTTTGAGAGACTGCCATATTGCATACGTCATGGTCAGGAGCCCTTTCCCGTCACGCTGCTGTACACACTGCACACCTTTGACGCGTCATCCCCAACACCCATGTCATCCTACTCACCTATCATACCAATGTTCAAGTCCCCTTTTGCTTATACTTACTATCTGTTATTTGTCCGCAGGACACAATTAACCCAACCAGCATAAAGCGAAAGAATGACCATAAGCAGACTGTTCCAAAAATGCAGCTACTTTTGACACGTCATGGCATCAGCACCCCCAACAGACACTCGACTTCTCTCCAGCCCATGCTCACATTTCATTCCCTACCGTACTTACAGTTGTTGCGTGTGCTTAAGGGTGGGGTGCAAAAACAAAACGAACCAACCATTTCAAAAAATCAGAATCCTACAGTAGTAGCAGAGAAGAAAGGAGGATAACATTAGCGACTGTATGCTGTACACACACTTCTTTAGACACGTCGAAATTCATATCTTCTTTCGTATATCACATCCACATGCAAAACCTCAGAGTACACTTCACACTTTCCATATTGTACTGTACTTACTCTTGCATCTGCGCTTTGAGAGCCAACGTGAGGGGGAGATGGACCAGGTTAAGACGAGAAGAAGGTTTGTGTCAAAATGAAAGAAAGTGAGATAAACGGATTTTGAGATACTCACAACCGGTTTCATACGCTCTTCTCACTCACAATTATAACCATTCACTCTTCGATCCTCTAATCCGTTCCAATGATACTCGCGTTGAATAGCTTTGGTTTAGAAAAGTTGACGAGGAGGCAGAAGAGCCCCATGATTGCTGCGGCCGCACGGTTATATAGTAGTAATGAACACGGCATTTGAGCCAGTTCAATCTATCCAATCAGATTGCTCTCTCACGTTTATGACGCGCCGAAATGTGTGGCTCCTCCAGATCAGAAAATCTACATGAATGTATGACTATGTGAGTAGACGAGTATCGCATCGAGGAAAGACTCAAGGGAATAACCGTCATTAGCACGATGTGAAGCTCACTTCAAATCCTTCATCATCCGAGAAGTGCCATCGCTTTAAACACGCTGAATACAAGTACCGATACAAGTATCAACGTATACAGGAGTACCCAAGATCTCATGAGACACGACGATCCCGCGCTTGCCGATGTTCCATTTGGTGGAAAAACTATGGTCCTTGGTGTTGACTTTTGCCAGGTACTCAACATTGAATACTCTCCTCTACTTTGCATTCTTTTGTTAGTGAGCGGTAATACTTACGTTAAAGTATCTACATCAAAACTGGTGATAGGTCCTTCCTGTGATACCAAATGCATTTCGCTCGCAAATCGTACAGCAGTGTCTAAATCGTTCATCCATTTGGCCCAGCGTCATCATCCACCACCTTGATACCAACATGCGCGTCCAACAGGCTGCCAATACCGATGATGCAAACGAGCTTGGCCAGTCTATGCAATATTTACTTTGCATTGTTGATGGTGCTGAGCTGTTGGTGCCAAGCGGAACTTGCACACCCATAGTGGACTCTGAAATAAGACACGGCTGATTGTACGCTCTCTCCAACGATATGGACTTGAAGCTGAGATAGCCACTGGAACTCATGCTGGCAACATCGTCTTGATCCCTCGCATAACTTTAACACCATCACAAAGACGCTCTCCCATTCTCTTCAAACGCACCCAATTCCCTGTTCGCCTGGCATTTGCAATGAACATCAATAAGGCACAGAGACAAACTTTTAACACTGTTGGCCTCTACTTACCTGAACCTCCTTTCAAACACCACGGTCTACTTTATGTAGCCATGTCGCGCGTCCACACCCCTTCTTCCATCAGAATCATGCTAGATCCTGAGAACTCAAGTATCGCGGGTCAGCAAGGCCAAAACACCCGAAATGTTGTTTTCCATGAAGTCCTTCTCTAATACTTTTTATCGCCTATTCTTTTTTACCTTCTAATAAATATCACTACATACATTATCTTTTTCTACACTTAGTTTCGCGTTGCATTTAAGCTGGAGATAGTTAAGTATCCAACTTTGACGACTTTCTATGATAGATTACTTCTCACTGCACAATGATCTTGCTTTTGTTTTTTGAAAACAGACAATAAGCATTTAATACCAAAACATTGATCCATTCTCGCTCCACAGGGGCGTTTGGGGGTCAAGGGGGGAACCCCCTTGCGACGCGTTTTCGTTGAATGACACGGAGCGAAGCGGAGGGGCTCATTCATCCGAGCGAAGCGGGGCAGGTGGATGTTGATATTTTGTAAACATGAACTTCAGCAACATTATCTTTCTTAGCATACAACCTCTATATCGCGTTCAGTAACACCGGTATTTTATATCATTCTTATCTATAATTTTTAATGGCTTCAATTTACACCATACATGATAAAACGCTTTAATAGGACCATTCTTACAGGGCGTGTGATTTTCCCCTTCTCATTTATTCCAGAGACGGTCTTTGTCACCAGCAGTCGGATAAGTACATAGTGCAACAATTACACGAGAACGCCAGCATGTAGAACCTGTAGTTGTACGCAATCCCATAAATTCATACTGGGTAATAAAAAGAAAAGATACTATACTAGCGTACTATACGCTATGTAACGTTGAACGAATTTTATCGTATAAGCAAGTCCCTGTCATTTGAGAAAAGCACTTTTTTTGTTTAATGACACAGACATATGGCTCTCGGTTTTCTACCGTGGCTACTGGTATAAAGTTGCACCTCCGAGGATTGTGATATCGCAATCATTGCAAAATCAAAAAAAAACCGAAGTCCTTATCACAGAAAAACTAAAGGACTAGGCGCTACCAAAGCTGTAGAAAAAATATAGGATCACCAGATTTTTCGAAACCACAACAAGTCGTTCAATTTGCATAACGCGCTCCTCCATTATTATTATTAGTATTTTTGGAGTTTCGTAGCGAAAGACGATTCTTTTTGGGCAAAAAGATGTAAGCAATGAGCTTGCAGAGCATATAGAAGTTGTCTAGTTGATGATAACATCGATACAATTAAAGCAGCGGTGAAGCTTGCTTTCTTAAAGTCGTATATACTTCATGCCATAGTGTATATAGGAGATTAACGATATGATATATAAAATTAAATTTCAAGCGTTCTAACCTCAAATGACAATAGATCCGGTCAGGACAAGTGTACATGGTCCTATATACCTTACTGTTTTATGGCGCTCATAATGAAAGAAAGAGGCCAAGCACGATGGTGTTTTACAGCTTATCAATAATATTGCCAGTTACGTATCAACGCAACATAAAATACAAATCTGTATTACTTAAAATGGCAGAGTGTGTAGTGTAGGCGGGAACAGACAAAATCTAAATAGTGGTCATCTGCTGTTTCACTCATATCTATCTTATCCTGTCGTTGACAATGGAGTAGGTCCATTATACACCGAGGCGACGGAGAAATTGTTCTTAAGCAAAGTGGTTCGCTCAAGCTAAAACTTACAACCAATGGACGGCAATGGGGTTTTTCGGACAGGGCCGCTTCCTATTATGAAGTCGTGTGAAACACAGCACCGGCCGAAGTCATGGCTACAGCATCCATAGTAACACAAGAATTTTCACAGCAATTGATCCGACATTATTCTGTTATCTTTTCTCCTTTTCAGACGAACAAAAACGTTATCCTAGAATAAGCTGTCAGTAGTCCCAAATAATACAGACTCCCTCAAACAAGCATTTCTTAGCTCAATTTCAAGTGATACTGTGCTGATTGCATGCAGGAGCTTTGTCATGGCCTATAGATATATGATGCTAACAGTGAGAATAATATAAATATTAGAGTTTGATGATACCAGAGATGTGAATAAGTAGGTGGGTAATTTTGGTGGAATACAAAGTGATGGGGCTGCCCAGCACAGGGACACACACATACTTACATTCCTGCGTCATTGCACACACTGATAGTGTCGACAAAAGAGCAGATAGCAGCATCCAAGTACAGTAGTGGCCCATTACTGCTGAACATTAGTTCTGCACTGATATAAATATCAAAAAGATCATTTTTCCCAGAGCAACTACTTCTTTAGTCTTCGTTTTCTTTTTCCTATTTTCTTTCTACTTAACACTTCCATAAAAAAAACTATTTTCAGAAATTGCTTTTCATGGGGAAAGAGGAGAAAACCACTGTTGAAGTGAGCGATGCTGTTGATCTCGAAAAAGTATCATCGAATATTGAATCAGGTGAAAAAAGTGCAAGCAACAAGTTCGTATATTCCCCGGAAGAGAAGAAATTGGTTAGAAAAATCAATTTTGCTACCGTTCCGTTTATATGTGCGATTCTGTTTATCCAGGTAATCAGCATTGTCAACTTGAGCATGACAATAATACTGATGATGCGAAGAGTTATGTATAACTAAATACCACAGAATTTGTATCATGTAGTTTATCGATAAGAGCACATTGAACTTCTCAGCCGTTCTTGGGTTATACGAGGATACCAGTTAGTAACCACTGGAAGAAGAAGTGGTTTTTTGTTTGAAATGTATCGTAACGGTGACAATGACGGGTTATAATTATAGGAATCACTGGCACAGAATTTAGTTGGCTTGGTAGTATCTTTTATGTTGGGTAAGTGATTTTCTCTACAATTATGCTTGTCTCCTTAAGTACCCTTGAAATCTAAAACTAACATCAACTCAACATAAATTTTGTCAGCTATCTTGCTTTTCAGGTAGTGTAATTACTACAAACTGATATGGTAGTGAAAATTCAAAGCATCTTTAAACGAACCTCTTCTTTTGCTAGATTCCGAACCAATATTTTCTTCAGCGACTACCAATATCCAAATACCTTGGCTCCATCCTTGTCGTGTGGGGTGCTTGCTTAGCATGTATGGCTGAAGCCAATAACTTTGCCCAACTGGCTGGTTTGCGTTTCCTTCTCGGATTTTGGGAAGCTTCGACGTATCCGTGTATGTAGAAAAGCAACAATGAATTGAAAAGTATACGTGTGTATTCTGATAACCTCTTATTATTACATCATATAGCAATTTTTTTGCTCATCAGCACCATTTATCGACGAAGCGAACAGGTTGTATGGTTTGGGACCATGTTTATCTGTAACTCTGTTGCGACTAGCTTTGGCGGCTTGATTGGGTCAGTGACCTTTCTTAAATAGATCTAGTTGAAGCTTGATAGTCAAAAAGTGGTCGCTTATAATGACACGATGTGATTGAAATATTAATTTACTATTATGGTAGATTCGGAATGGGTCATATGGATGGTTTACATGGACTCAGTGCTTGGCAATGGTGTAGTAAGTAGCTGCATGTATGTATAATGTGTGGGCATCACTATTTACTTTGTCTTTTGTATCGAAAGTGCTTATCTGGGGTGTTATCACATCGGCCTTGGGCTTTGTCTATTTCTTTCTTTTGCCCGATCGAGCGAAATCTCGTTGGTACAAGCTCACTATCGAAGAAGAGAAGATTGTGGACGATCGCACACGGGATAATACTGTGGTACAGAACAAGGTTATTAAGCGTGAGCACATTTTTGAAGCTTTACGCGAACCAAGATTTTACTGCTATATCACGATTTCATTCCTTCTCAACCTGCAGAATGGATGCGTTACGATTTTTTCATCTCAAATTATTAAAAGCATGGGATTCACGGTTAGAACATTCTTTTTCATATTACTTTTGCTACTAACTATGTGCATAGTTACGCTCACATATATATTAACAACCACCACCATCACTAAACCGCTGCATACTACCGTAGAACCTCGAGTCGATTTTGCTTAACATTCCGAAGGGCTTTAGTACAATTCTTCTTTTGGTTATGTCCGTAACCCTTAGTCGCCGCTTCAACGAGAATGGCTATGTTGGAGCTCTCATGAGCATAGTATCTTTCTTTGGTGCTCTTTTCCTTACAGTGATTCCAACAGGTGGTGCTATGCTCGTTGGTATCTTTCTCTCCGCCACATCACCTCCTTACACGCTGCTCCAAACGATGATCTCGAACAATGTTACCGGCTATACCAAAAAGATCTTTTACACCGGTGGTAATTTGGTGGCCTATTGGTAAAAAGACTATTGGAAAATGAAATACCGTAGATTTCTTATGTTAAAGTCCTTCTATCGAATCGTAGTATTGGCAATTTTGTGGGTCCTTTGATGATGGTTGAAACTCAAGGTAAGAAAAACCTCTACCACGCACACGAAGTAAAACATGATACTACTTACTTCTCTTCAAAACATATCTTACCCTTCAAATCAATACAGCTCCAAGATACACCGGTGGAATGATCGGATATATGGTTCGTGTATATAACCAGCATAGTATTAGTAGATTGCTTAAATCGCTCACCTCATTTCTTATTTCTAAAAATTCAATAGGTCGCAGACGTGTTAGCAGCAGCCTTATTTGTGTATGTGCGTCGGTCGCTTGCTGCTGAAAATAGACGCAGACAAAAACTCAAGGAAGGAGGCCAGGTACCCCCATCTCCCGAAAACAGAGAAGCCGTTGATTTGACAGATGTTGAAGACCTCCACTTTGATTATCGTCCATAAGTTTAAACATCATACATATAACTCCCATTTTCTCTCTGTGTTTTTTGATATGTATTAACAGCACATTGTTAATCCATTCGCTGTAATTTGCTTTTGCACCAATAAAGCAATCGCTGCTCGCTTACTTTCTGCATTTTGCGTTGAGACTGCTTTAGAATATTATATACTTCGTTGTGTTACATAATTTCCAGGTACAACACTGAAGTGGCGACGGCGGTTTGCTTCATTTCACTTTGCCCTCGGTGAGGAAATACGTACAGTACCGCCATTTCGCCGAGTGGACCATGCTTGCTAAAATAAATCCGCCGAAGTATAATGATATCATAGATTCTTATTCTATTTTGTTAACTGGTTGCTGAAATCATAAATATGTTGAGCTATCGTTAATCCTGGGAGGACTTGGCAGTATCTTCGCTTATACATGTGTTTCACTTTTAAATTTCAAGTTTTACCAATAAAACCCTATTTTAGTGTATTACAGCATATAGAACGTTTAAACGATCTTTATTCGACAACATAATATATTTAAAATGGGGGAAATTACGAAGCAATTACATAAGAGTTTGTTAGTGATGACATATATCCATAGAAGATAGGGGTGATATGTATACATTTCTTTAAATACTACTACAACAGTGAAATAATAGAAACATTCTAAAGACGGTATCGGTATGATAAGTCTTCTTTGTCTGTTAAGTCTAGTAACTCGCGATTGGGAGGCGGTGGTGAAATTAATCCCTTTTCTTCGAGATGCTTTCGTCGATTATTCTCCTTATTTTGAGACCAACGAACGTACAAGAACATGAGAGCGGTTAAAAAGTCGGCCACAATAAAACCTATCATTGCCGGAGTATATCTAGGTGCTGATAACATTAAGGATAATAAGTTAATGTTCAGAGTTGAAATGACGTCGATTTTTTTTGTGAAGTGAAGAGGTGAGATATGGGCTTACCTGTGTGGCCAACCATCATAATAGGGCCAACAAAATTGCCCAAACAAAAGGCGACAATGTTCGCGCTCGTATAGAAAATCTTTTTTGTATATCCACCAACATTGCTCGAGATGTACGTCTGTAGTAGAGTGTAAGCTGGACTTGTGGTGCTCAAATACAATCCAAGCAACTGAACAGGACCGAGTGGAAGAACGAGCAACAGAATGGCACCAAGGAGTGGGAGGATACAACTAATGATTGCTATGATTCCAATTTCCTGGAAGCGATGACTGAGGACAGTAGCGATTGCAACAAAAAGTACAATACTAGCACCATATGGGATATTCAAAATAACCGATGTCAATGACTAGAGAGAACGTGATGAAAGGTAAAATGTGTTCAAAAACATCGTCATTCAAAATAATATAAAGTAGCGTGTTAGGTGAGGAAAAGGATATTCACTTACACTGAAACCCATACGGTTAATAATTTGCGAGGCAAAAGTTGAAATGGCACCATTTTGGAGGTTGAGGAAAAGGGAACAGAAGAAAAAGCAGTATAAACGAGGCTCTTTGAGGGCTTCAAGAATATGGTCTCTTTTGATTTCTCGGTTCTGGACAACTGCATTGTCGCGCGTGCGCTCGTCCACAATTTTTTCTTCTTCAGGCGTGAGACGAAACCATCGCGACTTTGGCTTGTCCGCAAGAAATAAATAGAACGGGAAACCCAAAAAGAAAGTGACAATGCCAAAAATAATCATGGCCCTAATAATGATAACGAACTTGACGGTTAATGCAGTCTGCTGATGCAGGTAGCTGAAGTATGATAGCAAAATTTTCTGCAGGAAGCATATACCATTTCCATGCACGGATATTAAGATGACCATCCATGTGTCCTATGCCGTAAGCTATGATGCTTCCAATACAGATGGCTGCAGCGTTCGTAGCAAACATAGTGCCGAACCAAATAACTTGCTCAGAACGTCGGTACAATGTACTAATAAGCAAAAAGATCTATATGTGCGTAAGTATATCTGAACAAATAGTGACCTAATGTACCACAATGATTCTGCAGTACTTACCGCTGGATAAGTGCATCCTTCCCAGAACCCGAGAAGGAAGCGCAAACCAGCTAATTCGGCAAAATTTCTACCGAGCGCATGGCACCCTAAGGTGACACCCCAGATCATAAGGATCACGCCAAGGTACTTGGAGATAGGCACACGTTGTAACAAATACTGGTTTGGTAGCTGAATTGCTAGATAACCAATGTAAAAAAGACTGCCTAACCAGCCGAATTCGTCGTGCGTAATTCCCGTATCCTCGTAAATGCCAAATAGTGCGCTTACGGTCAAGGTTGATTTGTCAATGAACTAATATATAAACATTGACCGTCAAAACACAAGAAAAGTGCTGCCTAAATCGCCATATATATGTGTATTTTATGTTGTCGTCATCCGATCGAGCTTAATACCTGGACAAACAGAATCATGATAACCAAAGGCATGAAAACCCAGTTGATCTTTTTGACCAGTTTCCTCTCCTCAGGAGATTTGATGAAACGTGTATCGCCATTATCTGCATTTGTTCCTTTTTCTAATGACGACGAAACTTCATATTTCTCGTCCGCCGTTGGTTCATGCGTAGACTTCTCCATGGTTTAACCCGATCTTTTGCTATAGGAGGTGCGCGATGATGATTATATGCCGTTGGGGAAAAAAGGTAAAGACAGTAAAATAAAGTGCTGCGAGTGAGCAAGTATAAAAGGGGAAAATTGGTGGTCGGGAAGTCAGGATATTTATACTAAATCGGCGTCTTTATGTATTTCGCCTTTCATATGTGTTTCGGGAAAGCTTTTAGTGCTGTTCCCGAGATTACCAGACCATTTTTGTCGGCCCTCTTCGTACCTCTTGCTTGTTTCTTATACTCTACTCACCGATCTTTATGGATGCATGCCTTTCACAAGTGCTGTTCACACCCGATATATAATTGCAGCAACAATAAGGGATAACTGTACGCTTTCTCTAACTTTGTGCTGACGTGGTCTTGTATTGAGAAAAGGATAGCGGTTAATGCTGAATACCATGCACTCGGTAGCACCGGTATAAGGTTACACAATGAGGATACAAACGCCTAGAGATTTTTAAGTCTCCGAGTTGATCTTGGTGCAATGAAAAGCTCAGCAACAAAAGTAATTGCGTTGTAACCTTTAAACAATACTGCAGCACTCTGAGAAAAAGGCTATTCCCACCGTTTGTGTGACAGCTCTATCTCCTTGGTCTTCGGTGACGGGGTGGGCAATCACAAAGATAGAGGTTTCGGTAATATGCCAAGTGGTCCTTGTGTGCATTGATTAGCACACACAGTGGTACGAATAAGGTGGTCTGTATGTGAAGACACATAAACTTCGTTGCACAAACATTCGCTGCGACATATGAATCATTTCGGCAAGGTGGTCATTTCACCATTGAGGGACAGTTTCTTAGTCGTTACACACATTATGATGATCTCCTATTTACTATATATGGCTAGCAAAGATAGCACTGTACCCGCATTGTTTCCCCGCCCATCCTTTTGACTGCGTCTATAGTTTCTCGACGATGTTGTGTTGTAAGTCTTAAAACGATAAGCTATCTAGACCTTCGAGAAAATATCAATAAAACAACCAACAAGGCAGCACTCGAGAAGATTAGCTAAAGGAATTCTGAAGGTGGGGCCATTGATAGCATAGCCGAATTTTTATTCTTTTCTTTCACATTGAGCACTGAAAGAAGAGTTGTACCATTCAAGTATTGAATTTAGTTCTGGCATGAGAGAAAATGTCCAGGTACATTGTAGGACAGCGAGATTCGCCTCACTTTCTCCCTTGTACACGTCTATCATGGCCCGCTTAAGAATGTGGGGAAAGCATAACCTTGTCCCATTGCTTTGATTACCTTTTAAGAAGAAGCTCTTGTACTTTCTGATCTCTTTAATTTAAAGAACGTCAAGAAAACCGCTTCAAATAAAATCACGTCAGAACGCCGCCCTCGTGCGAATTCCGCATATGCTTTGTGGGCGTTAAGCCTCACGATACAGTACTTTGCCATCCGCGGACCTGCAGTTTATAATGCGATATAACAGCTTTCAAATCGAGCGCTGCCAAAAAAAATCAATCTGTATAATTTATTCTTAATCAATATATGTATTTGTGGCTGTTTTTATCATCACATTCGACTGTTGTTTAACGCTGCATTTAAAATCACCGGTGAATAAAGGTGCTAATGTAAGTAAAAAAGAAGTTGTGTCACGAGCTTCAGCTCATGTTTAGCTAGTCACTATTGCGATATATATTATCTACACCAAGGTCGTCTTCTATGATCTATCGCTATCGCAATTTCCGATCATATTCTACACCTTTTGCATACGCTACTTTCACCCGCACCCTGTCTTAATGCACTCATAGATCATCTTTTCTGTCAAGTTCGTGATCCACAAGCCTGTCGGTGCATAATGCATCAGCAGTTTTACAAGGCTTTAGTTTTCGGACTTCTGCCAGTTGATTGATGCACATGGTTCTTGGATCCAAAAGGCTCTTATTTCTCTTCATCGAAATTAACTCTGATTTTCCGTCGGTTGTTCGCGGATTACAGTATAATCATCGATCCTAGGAGTAAAGGATAGATTAACTTTGGTATGGGCTCACCCGAAAGTATCATAACATTATCTGTGGCAAGCTACGACGACAACTCAACTGACTGCGCCGCCCTCGTATCATAACCAGTAATCATTTAAAGTCTAAGTTTACCGTTTGGGCCTTTTCAGGCCTTACAGGGTCTTGGAAGGTCGCTTTAGGTGTCTTAAAGGCTACAAACGGCACTTTATATCTTGCAGATGATAATGCCGTAGAGGGAACACCCATTCACGGACGAGCAAAATAAATGAACGCATAGGTCAACACCATTTTAATAATCCCGCAAACGCTGATTAAAGCTGAAGTGAACTCAAAACTATAAACCGTTTCTACTTTAATTAATAGATAACAAGGGAAACAAAACTCTTCGCATTGTCAAGCATCGCTCGTGTAATTATAGCAACTTGACAATGTCATTGTATATATCATCAAGAGCGTAACCACAAAATTATATTGATCGACTCTCAGATAGACAATGCAATCTTCCAAGCTTACAAACGAAAGTAACGTCGATCGAAATGATATCGACACGCCACCTTTACAATGTAGTTCAACGAATTTCATTGAGAACGTTAATAGGATACAGAAAGCGAGATTATGCTTCTTCGAGCTCCAGGAGTATCGGGAAGTTACCAAGCGGGGTCATTGAAGTAATAAACGTAACTTGGCTTGGCAAAATAAAAAAAAACCGAATCAAGATGTGAACCACAAAAGACATTGTGAGTAATAGTGTAGAAAGGGTAATATTTCTGACCAATTAGACACGGTCCTATCATGTTAGTGTTCTGTATACATCGCAAGAAATGTCTGCACAATCACGGATAAACACTCAACCGTTTCCGCAGTTCGAATATAAACGATCACGAGCCAAAAACGTGAAATGGTCATCGCAAAGCGAGGTGTTCATCTAGAGCTTCGTTTTTTTCCACCATTGATCTTCCCACTGCCAAGTTGTAGCCCACTTGAAAAATCTTTTTCTAAATTCTTCTAATTACAGTTATACTGAGGCTGGCGACCATTTAGTACTTTCGTCAGCGATGTAGATATAAGATCATGCTTATGTGGATTCCTTTTTGTTATGAAACTGCTTGTTTAAATGTACCCTAGAAGATGGCTGCGTCTACGAGGGCTTTTTTAGAAATTCATGATGACTGGATAGCTATCGTATTTGTTCGCAGTATAATGGTGTAGGAGTATAGCGTTTGTAAATCATGCATTGCTGTAGATAAATTTCAAAACAAAATGGTTATAGAGTTGGCCTATAAGCATGGGTACATTAGCGTGGTCAAGCTGTTTGGTTGGTTGATTGTTGCTGCGAGAATACAGAATGGTAGTAAAAAAGCGTCGCAGCAGTTTGTTGAAAGTGGTGTTGTATTTTTGTAATCTTTGATCAATGTGAAGTTCTGTTTCTATTTACTGCGAGTGGTAGAACGCGTTAAGTGATTCACCTGTAACTCTTGCCTTTTTTCTTATCCTCGTATCATCGCCGCTTAGCGTGCTTATATTATTTCTTATACAAACCCAATAGTTTTGTTGATTCGTCATAGCAGGTGCTTTTAACTTGGGCCAGTTAGTAATCAATAATGGGTCATACTCCAGCTGTTAACAAGGCTTCGAAAGCGTTCAAAAAGAGCTAGCTGATAAACAATAAAGTGTTTTCATAACAAGACGATGGGTTATGCACGACAGTTAGATACTGCATCGAAAAATCACATACAGGGATCTTCTGTTGAACAACAATGAGAATGCCTTTAGGAGAAGTGTATGTGCTACAGACCAGCTGCTGGTTAGACATCGCATACCTCTTTTGATGTAAGTTACAGCTGTACCCCGGTTTTTGCAACCGAGGGTTTTCCGATTTTTTTTTGCAAAATGTGAGGATTTGCAAGTAACGGGGTAAACAATTCTGCTTCAAATAGACACTGGATAAGTCATCCTATAAACACTAGCTCATTGTTTATCTGTCAGAGTTGATGTACGATACGTTCTGTGGGATTACACAGCTCTAAATGTTACTACTTGCATATATAAGACCGTTCTTTAATTGAAGCTGTCTAGTGCAGTAACCGTATCATTTTATTCCTCGATAATACGCAACAGATGCTTCTTTCAGTTGATATTGAAGAAATTGAAGCTGTTTTTACCCCGATAACGTGCAAATCGTATAAACTCATTTGCAAGTTGCAAATTTGCGAAAGTACTAAGTTTTTTTTGAATTTCTCAAAAAAAAGTTGCAGATATACGAGGAATTGCAAACCCAGGGGTTGCAAAAACCGGGGTACAACTGTACCGTCATCGGGATTTGATAAGAATCGGTTCTAAAAGGCTGTTGGTCTAATCATGCGCCCTTGTGTCTGATAATAAGGTGTCGACGTTACACCCGATCACTGATTAGATATACTATTTGTGGCATTGGACTTGTGATGAGAACCAGCTCCTTGTATATTGTAGGGCCCACAGCCTCCAAATAGATAAAATCATTAAACATTTCACACAGAATATGAGGAATTAAAACGAAATAATAATATTGACGAGAGATCATGTGGAATTAGTGCTAAGGAAAAATATACAAAAGCATGCACAGTATAATACATGTTATCTACATGTAATGAATGGTAAAGGACAAAGTGTAATAATGTACAAAGGGGTTGGAGAACCTTAAAATGTAAACCGATAAGATACGAGTAGTATAATCTAAGGACGATACACAAAGTTCATATCCTGCTTGTCAGTGAGATCCAGCTCTTCACGGTTCGCAGCAGGTGGCGGTATCTGGCCTTCCTTTCTGAGCTTCTCGCGACGCTTGTTCTCGCGATTGAGCGACCAGCGGACATACAAGAACAAGATAATAGCAAGAATATCGGCTGCCATATAACCAGAGAGACCACCAATGTAGCGAGGAGCTGTGTGCTCAACCATCATTAAAGGTCCCACAAAATTTCCAATACTATGGTTTAAAAAGTACTGTAAGCATAGGAATCTTTGGTATGCAATGTACAAGAGCCTGCTTACCAATAGGCCACCAAGTTGCCACCGGTGTAAAAAATCTTCTTGGTATAACCTGTAACATTGTTGGAGATGGACGTCTGGAGCATGACGTAAATTGGACTGCTAGCTGACAAGTAAAGACCTGCAAGCTTGGCACCTCCGTAAGGAATAACGGCAAGAAGCAAGGCACCGAGGAAAGTGATAAAACCCATGACCGCAGCAACGTAGCCAATCTCATCGTAGCGTTTGCTGGCATACGTAGTGAAAGCGAGTAGGATACCAATAGCAACACCGTAAGGAATATTTAGCAGAATAGAATCAAGGTCCTATATCGAATGATGATAACACAGCATTATTCGATATATATCAGTACACTAGGGATTGCTTTATCTGTTACTTTGAGAGGCTACTTACACTAAAACCCATTTGCGAAATAATCTGAGAGCTAAAGATTGTCACGGCGCCGTTTTGAAGGTTGACAAGGAAAGAAATCCCAAGGTAGCAATAGAATCGAGGATCCTTAAAAGCTTCAAAGATATGGTCCATGTTGATATCCTTATTTTGTACAACGGTGTTATCACGAAGACGATCGTCCACAATAAGTTCTTCTTCCGGAGTCAAACGGAACCAGCGAGACTTGGGCTTGTCGGCTAAAAAGAAGAAGAACGCAATACCAAGAGCAAAGGTAACGACACCCCAGATAATCACTGTTGTAAGAAAAGGTAAAGGATTGGTATTTAATATCATTAGAATTTCACAGCTGTTGTTATCGCAACTTACTGCACCTATAAATTGAGTAGATAAGTAAGTATGTCATCAAATATATTCGAAGAAAACTTGAATTGCCAAATGAAGGTGTACATACCACTGCCAAGCGCTGATGCCTCGAGCGCCATGCATGCTTCTGATGCCATAACCAATCAAGCCACCAATGGATGTTGCTGCAGCGTTACAGATAAACATTGTAGAGAACCAGACAACCTGTTCTTGGCGGCGATAGAGGGTGCTGATGAGTAAAAAAATACAGGGATATGTAGAGGCTTCCCAGAAACCAAGAAGGAATCGAAGACCGGCCAGTTGCTCGAAGTTCTTGCCGAGGGCCATACAAGCAAGACACACACCCCAAACAGTGAGAATAGAACCGAGGTATTTAGACATTGGCAGGCGTTGAAGGAAGTACTGGTTAGGGATCTGTTTTACAAAAGTAATCTATGTTAGTCACACAAAAGCATAATTTTTTCCCTGCATATGTATGTCTAGCTGTGTCACTGACCTGGAAGGCTAAATAACTACGTAAATATCGACGACATCACATATGTTAGGTGTATGCTACAGTACAATACTCTGGGCTTGGTGTTGAATTTTTTTTTAAAAAAAAGTGCATACCCCACGTAAAAAATGGATCCAAGCCAACTGAACTGGTCTTGAGTGATGTGCGTATCCTCGTAAATGCCCATGACGGCAGCATAGTTCAGCGTTGACTTATCGATGAACTAATACGAAGAAACGATAAATTTAATCAGTCTCGGCGAGCGATTAGCTAAAATTCTGCACGCACAGTTCCTATCACGCTTTACCTGAACAAAAAGAATTCCACAGACCAAGGGCATGACCGTCCAATTTATTCTTCGAACAAGTTTGCGTTCTTCAGGGGAGTAGACAAACTTTACAGGCTTCCCACTTTCCAAAGAGGACGCATAATCGTGGGTGATATAGGAAGCGACCTTTTCTTTTGTTTCTGGCGAGGACATCAGACAATGTTTTCTGAAAAAAGGGTATCTGTGTATGATTAATGGAGAATTTTAGAGAAAGGGTGGGAATGCGTACATGATAGCAGGCTTATATAGCTTTTTTCGTACAGCTAACATTGAAATCGGTGCCATTATTGTTTTGCCATCCCAAAGATATGGCCTAATACGGCCCTCCCCGAGATCGGTTGACTTGGCACGCACTTCACATTGCAGGAAATACAACGATGATAAAGGTATGTGTTTATTATAATAAGGTTTATTACTACTTATCACGTCCTATATTCCGGTTCAAAGGAACACAATCGACGATAGTTGTTGTTAATCGCCGCTCAAGAATAGTTTTTTTTTCAATCGTCCTTTTACTCTATTAAAACAAATCCGCTTGATTTTATCCTCTCTGCGATCTGCATTTATTCGTGTCAGTTAGTGATATCTATTAGGTTGTGTGTGTCATACGAGAAAAAAAAGTCCCAAGGTGGGGTAATCATAGCAAATCCAGAGAAGACAACCCGTACCACGACGACTTCCCCGCTGCTGGACTTGAATATCTACCAGATGCTAAAGCCGCGGGTTTCGGCTGTGGAAACAACGTTCATGTCTTTTGGCGCACCTCTTTTAGTAGTGGCGAAAAAATACGAACACTCAGTGGTGCCTATTATGGTAGTCGTTAGAGCAGCCCGGAATTTCTAGAGTTCTACAAAAGGACAGTTAGCGGGCTCGGATAAGAAGAAAGCATGGGAATGAAAGAAAGACAGTTGAACCGAAGGTTCAAATGCATAGATTTGACCCTAACTTTTGACGAATATGATCTTTTGACATGTTTTCAAATTGATAAGAAGCATTTTTCGATCTGAAATTTGATTGCCTAGCGTGGACGAAAGTAGATTTATACGGTAATATATGCAGATTACCCATCCATGGGTGGGTTAAGTTTGGACACTGAGAGATATATGTACGCTTTTTCCCCGCCTAATCTTTTGGTCACACAAAAGATAGGACGAATAAGATTCTACTGGATTACAAAAGTCGTTAGGCGGCATAATGAATATCGCTGAATATAATAGCGCCAAAAAGATTGGACACCATATCATATCTCTACATGTAGTGCTTTTGATACAGGAAGAGATAGCGGGGTTAGACGGTTTTTTTCCTCGTTTGAAGCTTTTAGTAGATTTTGATATGCTGGGTACCTGTTTCGCTTAATTATGAGCAGTAATCAGGCTCCTGCTTGCCAGTATTGTGCTGCCGTTACAGAGTATAGATTTATTGAAAGAAATACACTTCTACACAGTGGACGTACCATTTATGGCAGTGGTTGTGTACATGTGAGCAATAACGGTCGCGTTTCCGTAGATTACGGCTTTTGTTTCACAACAGTATCTGTGGGCCAACAGAACTCATCATTCCCCAATATTGATAAGTTTGTTCCGACAATAGAACCGAAGGAAAACATCATGCGGCAGATTGAGAAGCAAGATATGATTTGAATAATACATATGATATGATAGAAAATTATTTAGCTTGCCGTCATTACATACATGACCCAGGGAACTATTAACGGTCATGATGTAGTGGTAACGAAAAATTAATCCAAAAGGCTTTTGCTACTTCATGGCAGCAGCTGTTACGTTTCGCTATGCAATACTGGAAAATGTCTTTTAAACTGCTGCTCTTTTTGATTTTTTAGCTTGCGAAGAATGACCAGGTTGTGTGACAATATGATGCAACTCTAGTTATGTACAAGGCCATTGTTTTCTACGATCACCATATTGAGCTGTCAAATTAATTGTCTTCAAGATTCACCCGGATATCATAGTTTCTCTTCCGAAAGACAAAAAGTAGTTTGGCACATTACAGTACTGTCATAAATTGGACATGATATTGGTTGTGATATAGAAGATGATAAACGCTTCATGGCAACATATCAAATCCCACGCACACAAATCTTATATCATATCGGAACTGTAATGGCTTTTGGTGTAACGATAACCTGCAAATTACTTAAAGGTATATTAAAGTGCAAGGCTTTGCAGCGTGCCCTTCAAGGGATCATTTTTCAAAATGACTCGAGGCTCAGGTTGATCTCTAGCAGCTATATGTAGGCGAGAATCTGGGGGTATCCATTGCAGTTGGTCACAATGTTATGACGGTACTCATAAAGATGAATACTAGCATCCCAAAAGTCCAAATTCCCGTTTGTTGTCATTTACTCCCGTTTGTGGCCGTTAGGACACCTAAAACGACCTTTCAAGGCCCTGTAAGATCCCAAAAGGCCCAAACGGTTATCCGCGATTTTGTGTGAGAGGTTGAGGATTAGTATGCTTCTTTAATTAGCGCACAGTAAGAGCACTCACTTGGACTTTCTTTTAGTAAATGTCATGTACCCGCTTTTACAAATTCATTGTACAAACTAAGACGGTGTACGTACGCAGAGAAGGAAGGAGTAATGATGACCTCTCATTCGCTTGTTGAAGTACGAATCGAAAACATTACATTAAGCATGATATTCCTATCCCGCTGAAAATGCATCTGTGTAATTATCAGAGATTTGATTCAATGCGCGACAGCGTATAATTCTTCATGTATCTTAATGTACTTCTCGCCAAAATATCTGCCACAAAGACCTTTGGACCTTAAAATGATAAATGATCATCAAAGCAGATCAAGAGATATATCAGCCTAATCAGCCAAAAATAGAACAAGCAAGCTTTTCAACGTGCCGCTTCCAACACTTCATTCTGAGCAAGAATAGTCTATTACTCCATGCATGGGCTATTCTGTAAAAAGCTAGATTCTGCTTTATAGAAAACGATTGAAGCTTCACCACTCTTCTGGTGCGAAAAAGTGTGAGGATGTCATAATAATAGCCACACGTCTTCATAAAAGGGAATGCAACGTTGGACAGTGTCTAAATTAAAGTTAACGGCAGTACATAATCTCTTTTGAGAAACAAAATTTGAGACACTCTCCACGCTTCATCATATGGTCTTTGTGAGAACAGATGGCAACTATGGCTTGAGCGTGTAAAAAAACCTAAGTACCGATGAAGCGTGTGAGTATCCATTTTGATGGTGAGACCTCTGATACAGTACTCCATTCAATCATCTACCCTGCAGATATCAAAATAGCATGTGTTTGGCTTTTTTATGTAGAATTAGCGTATGTAGAGACTACATAATAATATGTGTAAAAATGACAGAACTATTTAATATAATAACATTATAGGAAGGTTTATAATTAAAGTAATCAACTTCTTTGCTGTCGACGAGGATCAAAGTCGCGAAATGAAGTTCTTGTCTTGTTTATCGGTAAGATCCAAATATACGTCTGTCTCTTCCCCAGTTTTGTTTGCAAGACGCTCACGGTTCACACGAGAGCTAATGATGCGAACACCAAATAGACAGCAAAATGCTACAAAGAAGCCGCCAAGAAAGCCGCCCACGCCTCCGAGGTATCTTGGAGCTGATAATCGAAAATATATAATGATAAGCAACTAGGTACATAGTACACTATACTACTATCTCCTTTCGAAGATTCTTTTGGTTTACTTAATCTTACCTTGATGATCAACCATCATTAAAGGTCTGTTGATAAAACCACAACAATCAGTGACATTCTTTATTAAACAAGTACGCTTCACATCATCAATTCAACTTACCCAACGAAATTGCCGACTTTATGAAAAATGTGATCAGAGAGTATACATGAGATTTTTAAGCAAAGGTACGTATGCATAAAATATTCGATAATTGTTTTCGGAATAATACCTGTATATGCAACCATGATGCAGCTGTTGTAGAAAATCTTTTTCGTATATCCCTTGACATTGTTGCCGATCAAAGTCACTACAAGAGCATATGATCCAGTACCGGCCCAGCTGAGATAGAACCCAAGAAGCTTGACCTCGCCTTCGGGGATGGCACAAAGAATTATAAGTCCAATCATACCGATGACAAGCATAAACATAGAGCTCCAAATAATCTGTCTTGTTTTATGAGCGAGCACAACAGCAATCAAAACACCCAATGCAGAAGCCAGACCGCTGGGAATCTGGAGTAGCAGCGATTCTTCACCCTAAAAAAAAGTAATATGTAAAGGAGACAGCAGAATGGTTATTAAGAATGTATAAAACGTATTGCACATAACATCTGTTACTACGTACGGTGAAGCCCAAACCCAGAACAAAGGTTGTGCTAAAGACAAGCATGCCACCATTTTGCAAGCTGATGGTAAGACCGGCAACCATAATTAGCCAGAAGCGAAGCTCTTTGACTGCTTCCCAAATTTGGTCGTATTTATATTCTCTGTTCTTGACGACCGCATTGTCTTTTGTTCGATCCTTGGCAACCAACCGATCTGTTTCAGTTAAACGCAAAAGGTGATGATCTGGCTTGTCCACCAATAAAAACCAAGTTACAATTCCCAGCAAGACTGTCAGTGAACCGAAGACAATGTGATTCCTGCATTTCCATGGACAGTGTATGTTTGAGCAAAGATTCAATTATCAAAATATTGTAGTAGATAACTTTCTTACCATCGCCAGTTCTCAATACCACGAGCATGATTCATATGTGCGAAACCGAATGAGATTGCAGAACCGATGGCAGCACCCAAACCATTGCACAAGGTAATGTATCCGAAAAGCATAGGCTGTTCAGTACGTCTATACAATGTAGCAGTGATCAGGTATAAGGTTGGCATAGCAGCAGCTTCAAAAAAACCCAATAAGAATCGACATGCTGCTAATTGAGAGAACGTTTGACATGCTCCTGAAGCTCCCATAACCTGGTCCAATTATACACAGACACACATCCAATTAGTAAACAGCAATTACAAAAAGATTGTAGTTTACATTTAGTCTTGATATCATCTACTTACAATGCCCCATACAACAAGAAGGATGCCCAGATATTTAGCAAGTGGCACTCGCTGGAGAATGAATTGGTTCGGTAGCTAAGGTAGTATACCTGTGAATATCAATCATAACGAGCTCACAACAAACGAACTTAATTTCAAAAAGCATACTTGATAGACTAGATGACCTATTGGATGCAAGCAGGTAACCTTGATTAGTTTAAGCTGTTTGCTACGGGTTTTTTGATCAATTAAAAAAAGACAATCTTAATACCTAAGTAGAACATGGATCCCAAAAGAGAGAATTCTGTTCCAGTCAAGCCGAGGTCTTGGTTCAATCCCAGTATTGGAGCAACGCTTAAAGAAGCTTTATCGCAAAACTAATGATGAAGATTTATGCAGTAATATATGCATAAGTAGAGAGAGTTGAGAATGACACACTGTTTATTTCAGGGATCAGTATGAAGATATAAAGCACATACCTGTACGAAAATAATCAGACCCATTAGGGGAAAAATAAAACGGTTGACTTTCCGCACGTATGCGCGTTCTTCTGGAGTCCCTTCGTATGACTTCGTAGCTGTAATGTCGTGTATATCGACTATGCCGGCGTCTTTTTTGGCCTCGGTAGATGAAGCTGAGCTGCTATGTTGTACATCTTCGGTGTAATAGACCTCTTCTTTTTCAGAAGTTTCGTAGCGGGTTATTGCCATGGTTGTCAACTTTCTTAGTATATCACAAACAGAAATAATGAAGAAGAAATCGATGAATGTTTTTCTATTTAAATACTCCCGATGGAGTTCCATAAATGTGAACTGTTTTTCCTTGTACAGCACCATATTGTCACCGAATATAGCATACGACGGAAACTTGGGAATCCTAGGCCTAGCGTTTTTCCTTTCATGATGCTCTCACAGTGTTGGGAAACGTTTGTCATTTTATTCCCGCGGTTCCAATGTGTGTAATATAGTGAGGATGGAGCACAAAATTATACTACGTAATAAATGCACGGTGCTCATTTGTGCTATGGACGCTTTTGATAGATTTGTCAAACCCGCAATGGGAATATTTTATTATTTAGCGTCTTTGTATGCATGTACAAATCAAATGCGCTCCGACTGTCCCACTCTTTACCCCGCATTGTTTGCCAAGTCATCTTTGCATCCACAGCGACTTTAACATAGTAATGGTACATGGAATTCGGTCGGACATGATATAAAAGTGCAGTGATACCAATAGTTTCTTTAAGTAGTATTAATACACAGCAGGTCTCAAGTGCATCGTCTACAGAGTTGTAGTTTGTTCTATTTGTTGTAGATTGTTTGTGTTTGAAAAGCGTTCAAAATATTTCGTTCCAGACACCTTGGATGCGCTTCTCCCGTTCGAATCGGCTATTTACAAGATCGTATATCGCTAGCAAAAAGTGTGTGAGCACATATACTGTCAAACCCAGGGTTTCGATATCTTACCATCACCATAGTGCTGTCTGAGATCCAAATTTGCTGGTAACTTATCGTGTGCCTTTGCCTCCTCTTTCGTCATACATACAGTATTGTAATACGACAAAGGCTCACTGCGTACCCATCGAGTCAATGCCACCCGTTCACTTGGACCCGATATGACACTTTTGCCTTGCCAAATATCCTCATATATGTAACCGATGTCACGGGTGTCAAGTGGACATGTTCTATCATGTGATCATCACATAGATGTTAGTCTATGAGCACAACTAGCTCGTATCTTTCCCTTGAATGACGAGTTACTTGTTTTTATACAGATTGGACTCGCGAGCCAATAAGTCTCGATGGAGTCTTGCATATAATCCCTCCCGTAGCTTGATAGCCAAAGGCTCAAAGTTAGGATATTCGGCGAGCTTGAGTATCACAAACGATGCAATCGTCATGCCAAACATACTGGGGAGGGTTCCCAATACTGGTAATATACGAGACCGAAATTCCGGTAATGCAGCGAAATCGTCCGCTTCTTTTACGCGTTCTTCCTCTAGAAAATACATACGGATAGGTTGATAGTGTGTCATTTGAATTACAAAAGCGAGATTTGTAAAGATTCATCTATACAGCATACCCAACGGAAGTAGTTTGACATGATGTGGTTTTTCAACCGAGTAGACTACAGGGACGCCAGATTCGATACCTAATTTCTTTAGCTTTCGTCTCACGGCTCTCGCTAATTGGTCCTCTAAAAAGTAATTGCATCAACAAAGAGTAGTCTCCCACGATGTATGTGTTTTCAAATTCGTTACCCAAAGTTTCGCTAATGTCGGCTATCTGTACGCGGGAGGGATCTGCTTTTGCACCGGCACCCATGGAGGCAATGACCTTAAGTTGGCGATCATAACAGTACTGGATGAGGTCGAGTTTGGTATCGATGTTGTCGATAGCATCCACAATGTAGTCAGGCGAGCCTAATTATTGGAGCAACAATATGCTGCTGTTAGTAAACAGCAAAAATGTAACATCCTTCAGTTGTCGCTGCAACGATAAGCGACGATGCATCACCTGACAGTAATTCGTCCGCCGTTTCTTTGGTGAACAAATCGATACGGCTATCAACCTGCACAAACGGAGCAATTCTTTCAAAATGTTTTTTGATGGCTTTTACTTTGGGAGTTCCCACGTCGTCAAGCGTTGCTACTGCATGTCGATTCAAACTGCTGAGTGTCACTTGGTCAAAGTCGATAATACGAATTTTCTTTACACCAGCTCGAAGCAACATAAGCGCTGCCCACGAACCCACGCCGCCTGCACCAACAATAATGACAAACGAATTTTGGAGTTTTTCGGCTCCCTCACTTCCAAGAAACTCGATTGTTTGTGAGAGTTGTTCGTCCACTAGCGATGCATTAACTGGTGTATGATCAGGTGAACGCTGACTGCCGAAGCGTTTATTGTCAAGCAAGACGCGCTTTTGAAATCGCCGTCGCGCAGCTTGATATGTAAGAATCGTTGTTGCTGTTAAAGTTGAAGCTGTAACTGCAGTCAATGCCAGCTTGGCAGCATGCTCATGTTTGTTGAGGAATTCGGAAATGCGATCTGCTGTACTTGACATTGTTTCTAAACAAAACCGCCTTGATCGATTTTTAACCTGAGTTAGTTCCGAAAAAAAATCACTTTCGGTCCAGTGGCCTTGTGCTGAAAGCCTAAAAGCCCTGCATCCTGTCACTATTCATCACTCTTATTGATATACATTCGGGAACGTTATAACGTAGAGATACTGGGTGAGTATCTTTTTTGCTCGAGTTCACACAGGGAAAAATATACTGGGAAGGCGCGGAAAATTTGCATCCACTGTTCGTAGCAAGCTATCGATTTAGTTATAGGAGACGCTCAGCAACGCTGGTTTTTAAGGGAACTAATCGTCGAGGATACGTTAGCTTAACAAAGCTTTAGATAGAATAGTGGTCAAACAGGGCACTTGTCTGCCATATGCCTGCTTACACCCACTAGCGCAACATTCTTTATTATATGCAATTTTTGGGACCTTTCGAAACTACAATAATGCCACGTCGCTTCAGGCCCCGCCGGCAATTTCTGACGACTTTCTCGAAAACCAAGCAGTAAGCTCACCGAAAAGTAAAGTGAACTCACTGGTTAATTCAAACAAACTTATACTTCATCTGTCATATTTACAACAGCACTGTTATTAACCCCAACGAGACGGTGCAAAAATAAGTTGGACATGAGTTACGCTAAACGAGACGAAGACAGTGGTAATTATCCATTCCTGTGTCCTTATTATATTTCTATACTCTATGCGGTATATCACGCGTTCGAAATGGGGTTATAAAGGAAAGATTATACTAGAACATTTGAAGCAGAACGGGGAAAGTATTGAGGGGCTGGAATGTGATTCCTAGCAGGATAAAAAGGGGGAGTGTGAGGAAAGTGGTATACCATGAAGAGGGCATATTATGCAATACTTCGAATAGCGGGATTGATATTTCGTTTCTTTTATTGCAGACGTCGGTCTCCTGTATCATATCGATAAGACAACGGTCTTACAGGATGCTCGTGCCTTTAACGACTCGCCTATCAACGCGCGGAAATGTCGAGTGCTATTGACAAAGATCATTTATCTTCTTTATCTCGGTGAACCTTTCAACGTCCAGGAAGCAACAGACCTGTTTTTTAATGTCATAAAACTCTTTCAATCCAAAGACGTACGTCCTTTTAGTATTTCAAGTTCACAAAGTGCATATATCCTAACTAGAAATACTCTATACAGACTTCTTTACGACAAATGATGTATCTAGTAATCAAAGGGCTCTCGGGAGTGGCAGAAGATGTCATTATGGTCACACAGTCTTTAATCAAGGATATCCAATCCAAGCAAGAGACCATTTACCGTGCTAACGCCGTCCGTGCCCTGTGTTTGATTACCGATGTATGCTGTAGCTCTCAGTGGCTTCCAGCTTTGGTTTTTAATTGCTCTCAGTTAGTTATATTCTTTGCTCATATAGCTCTCTCCTTTCATACTGTAGCCATCAATGATTCAGGGAATCGAGCGTATCATGAAGGCTTCCATTTTGGATAAAACGCCATCTGTATCGTCAGCCGCCCTCGTATCCTCGTATCACATTTTCAATGTAGCCAAGGATATCGTGCGTAGATGGTCTAATGAGGTTCAGGAGGCCGCGAATGCAAAAGCATCAGGTTCGGGCTTTGCTTCAGCTGCTTCTAGCTATATGTCCAGCTTTGGTCAATCACAAAACAATCCTCAAACCGTTGTTTCGGCAAGCAATTGCAATCAGTACCATGCACTTGGCTTATTGTACCTCATCCGACAACACGATCGCATGGCCGTCGCTAAACTCGTCCAAACGTTCTCGGGCTCATCCCGTGGTGGCGGATTATTTAGCGGTGGCGGTGGCGGTAGCCCTCTCCAAAATCCAGCCGCTATTTGTTTACTTATTCGCTACGCATGCAAAGTGATGGAGGAAGACCCAGGGTAACAATCTTTATAGTGACCCACATATAGTATGCTATATAAACCATCTTTTATACTGTACTACTAGATCGACGCACCGCATCTACGAATTAATGGAAGGATTTCTCAAACATAAGGACTATATGGTTAACCTCGAAGCTGCCCGTGCTATTTGTGCAATGCCTGATGCCTCTTCCAAAGAGCTTTATCCCGCAATTTCTGGTACGTTGTTAAGCATACGTAACATACTTTTGGTCAAAGGACTAAATTTTATATGACTCATTGTGTAGTATTGCAACTCTTCCTTTCGTCACCAAAACCTACATTACGATTTGCCGCTATCCGTACTCTGAGCAACCTTTCTTTGACCAAACCAGCTGCTGTATCTCCATGCAACCTTGATATGGAGAACCTAATCACAGATCAAAATCGCAGTATTGCAACCTTTGCTATCACGACCTTGCTCAAAACCGGTAACGAGGCCTCGGTGGATCGCCTAATGAAGCAGATCAGCGGTTTCATGAGCGAGATCTCGGACGAGTTTAAGGTTATCGTGGTCGATGCAATCCGTTCCTTATGTCTGAAATTTCCAAACAAACAAGCTGTCATGCTCTCTTTCTTGAGTGGTGTACTACGCGATGAAGGAGGATACGACTTTAAAAAGACAGTTGTGGAGGCGATTTTTGACATGGTCAAGTTTATTTCGGACTGCAAGGATACAGGTATTGGATCGTATAATAGTATCTTATCGACATCGTTTCTTGTCGTGGCAAAGAGAACTAACAAATGTTTAAAAATAGCACTCTCCCATCTTTGTGAATTTATTGAGGATTGCGAATTCACCAAACTGTCGGTTCGTGTACTTTATCTTCTTGGTGTCGAGGGACCAAAGACAGCTACGCCGACAAAGTATATCCGTCACATTTACAACCGCGTCATTCTAGAAAACTCTATTGTTCGTGCTGCAGCTGTAAATGCGCTTACCAAATTTGGACTTTATGTGGAGGATCAATCTGTCAGAAAGTCTATTTATGTGTTGTTGACAAGGTAACTTTGTGTGTTTTTGTTTTTTTATTGGAAGCTCAAATTTTCTTCCTACGGGACTTCCACAGATGCTTAGATGATACTGACGACGAGGTCCGAGATCGTGCTGCTCTTGCTTTGGCGCTTATGGATAATGAGAGTCTTTCGAAACAATACATCCGAGATGGTAATCATTCTTGAGGAGAATACGCAAATCTGCAAGATGATTATTCTAAATCTGTCAATAATATTTGCATTAGATGCTACATTTGCCCTTCCCACTTTGGAACGTCAGCTTGCGGAATACATCAACAGCCCACTGGCCAATGATCAAGAATTTGATTTGGAGTCGGTCCCTGTTATAAGCAAAGCTCAAGAGGATGAGGAGAGACGAAGTAAGAGTTGCAAGATAAGCGACCGATGTTAGATACAGAGCCGCTAATACATACAGCAGAAATTCAAACGCAGGAAACCACACCTATTCCAATGGCCAAGACTCCATCATCGCAAGCCCTCGGATCCCCCGCTGTCGGAGCGCCATCTACGCCTGGTGCAGCTGCTACCCCATCCAAAGTATCCAGCTTGGACCAACAAGCAGTTTATGCTGAACAACTTGCTGCATATACCGAATTCTCCACATTTGGCACTTTGTTTAAGAGCTCAAGCAAACCTGCTGAGCTGACTGAGAGTGAAACCGAATATGTTGTCCATTGCATCAAGCATACGTTTGCCAGACATTTGGTTTTCCAGTTCAATTGTACCAACACTTTAAGCGACCAGTTACTGGAAAATATTGACATGATCATGCAGCCCGAGATTGATGACTGCGGCTTGACTAAGGTGGCAGAAATACCAGCGGCTAGGCTTGAATATAACGTGCCCGGCGTGATTTATATTGCGTACGAGCGAGAAGACGATGGCGACTTCCCAATTGGTAAGCTTTAAAGTATCACTATCAATGAGTTATGCTTCTTTACTGACGTAGTAATCAATGATTTCTATAGTGAGCTTCACAAACACACTCAAATTTGATGTCAAGGATTGCGATCCTACCACAGGTGAACCGGACCCTGAAGGATATGAGGATGAATATCAAGTCGAGGATATTGAAGTGACAACGAGGGATTACATCCGCCCTACATATATTTCCAACTTCTCAGAAGAGTGGGAGCCTCTCGCAGAAAACGAGGCTGTAGAGCGATTCGAGCTGGACAAGGACAAGGCACCAAGTCTTAAAGGTAAAACTGAAAAGAATGTTGAGGTAGATCGGGAAGAGCCTTTTTTAACTAATTTCAAACAACGTGCAATAGCGGCATGCTCATTGATCATCGGTCTTCTCGGTATGCAAGCATTGGAAGACAGTGCCCTGCCTAAGAGTAATGCTACTCATATTCTCTTGCTTGCAGGCACTTTTGTTGGCGGAAGCAAAGTCTTGGTGCGGTGCCGAATGACTTTCAGTAATGCTGCAGGCGTAGCATTTGAACTGGCAGTACGGGGTGAAGATTTGGATGTATCCCAGATCGTTCTTTCCGCTGTTGCTTAGTATATATGCCATGCACTACTCCGTAATATATAAAACATATGTAACTACTACATACTCTTGAACTGTAACACAATTCGCTAAAAATCGAATAAAACCGTGGGGAGGTATCGACACCACGGGAAAAGGCTGACCCGACTTGCAGTATGCATAATACTTGGCATCCTCAGCATCTTCTCTAGTCTGATCAAAACGGCTATTTTTTGGGAACCCCTTTGATAATATGCAGATTTGACACATTCTCGATCGGGTAAATCCGCTGGGCTGAATTGTCGGTGACTGCTGTTGATCGTTTTCAAGCGGTGCATTGACTTGGGAACTCTGGTGTTATTGCCTGCATGATCCTTTCGATATGGAATATGCATTGGCAGTACCTGTTTCATCGAAACCCATTTTGGCTGCAAGGTATTGCTACTAGAGCAACAAGACTGCTCCGTAAACTACAACAAGGAAATAGCACGCCAGCCTAGATATCACATCATTTGTGCTGTATATTCCTACATGATGCCCGCCTTTGGCGGCATCCGAATAAAAATTCTTCATACAAAAAAAAGATTTGGAAGGGAAAGCTAAAAAAAAGTTTCGATCGATCTTACCCAGTACCTTACAATGGTGGCACCCAACGAGAAACGACGCCGTGTCGAGAGCAACTCACGTAGTCCAGCACGTTCGAGGGTGTTCCAACCTTTTCGAGCGCTTGGCTATATTACCAATGACGTTCCATTCGTAATTGAAACCCGTGGCCAGGACTTTTTTATGACAACGAGTGTTGGACATAATTTTCAAACATACAATGTGAGCTGCCACACACATCGATGGTTAAAAAAATCGATAGCTTCAATGCCTAACCATCCGAGATTTTTGACGTGCTATAGCTGGCTAAAATGAACTTACTGTTCGTCAGTCCGAGAACCCTCGAGCCGATCACGGCAATGACTTCGGCAGCGGGTTTGACATTTGTGGCGCACGGCACCACTATTGGTACCTACAAGAGAGGCAAAGAAGTGAGTATATGCTACTATACTATAAAACGATATCATAAAGATACAAAGAAAGAGACAACAAGAAATTGACGTTTGCTTGTATAATTAATAGGTTGCTCGTATTGAAGGTGAAGGCAGTTATTCGATTATGCAAATCCTTGTTCTCGGTCAATACATTGCAAGCTTGTGCGACGATAACGTGCTAAGAATGTGGAATCTTAAAACTGGAGGTACGAAGTTGAAAAAAGCACCAGTAGCATCATTTTGGAGTTAAGAAAAGAATTATTAAAGTGACATGGGATATAATTAGAACTGTATACCGAGATCGAATTCGGCGAAAAATTCACTGCTACAACCATGATTCATCCCAGTACATATCTCAACAAGTTATTGATCGGCAGTACCCAGGGAACAATGCAGATCTGGAACGTGCGCATTGGCAAAATGGTGTATCAGATGGATTCTTTTGGATCGGCACTGACATGTCTCGAGCAATCACCTGTGGTTGATGTAGTCGCCATTGGTCTGTTGGACGGAAGCGTGATTTTGCACAATATCAAGGTGAACGAAAAAATCGATACTGTGCATCAGGATGACCGGGTGACATCCATTTCCTTTAGAACTGGTGAGGCACTTTGTATTGATAAGATGGTGGGGGAAGGGTAGCATGTGCCAGGGTTACGATCTTGTGGCTAATTAGGAAGTGCTGGACTATATTACTAGATGAACAACAGGTTATGGCAACTGGTAACATGCATGGTGACATCGCATTGTGGGATCTTACCAATCGAAGACTTGTACACAACATGAAGGCGGCGCACAATGGATTGATTGCTTCGCTAGCTTTCTTAAGCAATCAGCCTGTATTAGTTTCAGCCGGTGTTGATAATGCAGTGAAGGTAAAAACTTAAAAAAGGCGGGAGGATGCGCGAAATACCCAATGAACGTAAGAGAGTGCTAAAAGTGAATATATGTATGCGTACACTTTTTTCTAGCAATGGATTTTCGAGCAGGACAATGCCGTACCACTTCCACTGAAATCACGCAGTGGACACTTTGCACCACCAACTAAAATCCAATATTACGGAAACGACGGAACGCGTATCCTTAGTGCTGGCCGTGATCGTGCCTTACGAATGTTTTCTACTGTTCGTGATGCTCAAAATTACGAATTTTCGCAGGGTCATGTAGCGAAGAAGGCGAAATCACGGGGCGTTTCTGAGGAGTCGCTTAAGTTACCTATTATTACAGATTTTGCCGCTGGTAAGTAGCGTTTTTGAAAAGATGGGGGATGTAATTGGCTTTTTTATGATTAAACCGGGGTTATGTTGTAGGCTCTGCAAAGGATAAAGAATGGGCAAACGTTATTACAAGTCACATGAACGATAATGGTGGACGTACATGGCGTACCAAGAACAAGGCAATAGCCGATCATACACTTCTTAGCTCGGATAAGAGCGCTAATAAGGTAAAAAGATGTCAGTTTAGTTGTGTGCCTTCCAGTGCAACCGACACTAATTTGAATATCCTCGCTTTAGGTGGCATGTATTAGTGCATGTGGAAACTTTGGCTTTATCGGCTCTGCTTCAGGACAAATTGACATGTTCAACTTGCAATCTGGTATTCACCGAAAAGCATATGCAGGCGCGGACGGACACAAAAAGGCAATCACCGGTCTAGCAACTGATGTTGCGAACCGCTATCTTATCAGTGCATCGGTGGATCGAAATATCAAGGTTTGTCTCACTTTCCGTTGTTTGTTTGTTCTTTGTTGGAGCGGTATGCTAACGTGTTCTGTAACCTCATGTGACAATGCCTAAATGTAGATTTGGGACTTCAAAACTGGTGTTGTTTTGCATACTATCGATATGGAATCGCCTATTGTGAAAATCGAGTTCCATCGAGAAAATGATCTGTTGGCTGTTGCGTGTGACGATCTTGGTATTCGAATTCTTGACTTGGAAACCAGAAACACTATCAGAGAATTCTGGGGACATCGAAACCGGATAACAGATTTTGTAAGTGTTATCTCTGGTTTTTCATGTTTGGTATGTAGGCAAGTCTTCTAAGCTATTATGCGTGTTTTCTTTTATTGGACTAGACATTCAGCCCTGATGGTCGATGGATTGTTTCGGCATCACTTGATACTACTGTACGCACATGGGATCTTCCTTCAAGTACTATGGTTGATATCTTTAAGGTGGAGGATGTCGTGTCTAGTCTTACTTTTTCGCCAACCGGTGATTTTCTAGCAACAGCCCATGTTGATAATGTGGGCATCTTTTTATGGTAAATACATGAGAAGAGTCTATATGTGCTTTTGCTTTTTGGATTCACTAACCTAAATTGAACGATGCTTGTATTATTCAGGGCCAACCGTACACAGTTCGCGAATATTTCTTTACGCAGTATAGTGGATGATGAAGTTGCTGAATTGCTCGAGCTTCCATCGCTTGCTGGATTGGATGAACAAGGTATAATGATTGATAATCACGCTAAATCTACATTATTTCGTCTCGAACAGCTGGCTTACTAGTGGAAATCCTATGTGTATCTTAGATGATGATGATGAAGAATTGGAGCCGCCAACACAGCTCGGCGAAGATCTTAATACTGCAGAACAACTTACAGAAGAAATGATTACATTGTCCTTGGAACCACGGGCCAAGTGGCAAAACTTACTAAATTTGGAAACAATCAAGGTAAAGTATAGAAGTAAGGGATTGACGACTATTTGAAGTGTTCTTCTTTTGTCTCTGTCTCTACGATACGAATAATTGGGCTACGATCTATATAGAAACGCAACAAGCCTAAAGAAGCACCAAAAAAACCCGAACAAGCCCCCTTCTTCCTTCCTACTGTCGCTGGTGCAAAGGCCAAGTTTGATTTATCTGAAGAAACCAACAAAAAGTCTGCCGAAGAAAGATCAAGACGAATCCACATGTCCCAGCTAGATATTGAAACTGAGTTTACTCGCCACCTTCGATCATGCCATGAAAACAATGACTGTAAGCTCGCACCTGTTATAAAACAACAAAATACCCAAAAGCTAGAAAGAGTTCCTCTTTTCTAACACGGATTATCTGGATGGATGGATACGGTTAACTTTTCTAGATTCTGCATTTGTTGACTATGCCAAGACCCTCAGCCCGTCCGCCATGGATGTGGAAATCCGAACCATGCCCGTTGATCCTGAACTCAGCTGCATGAACTACTTTATCGAATCAATTCTGTATATGCTGCAATCACGCAAGAACTTTGAAATGGCACAGGCATGGCTTAGTGCGTTTTTGAGCATCCACGGTGATATCCTTGTAGCCAACCCTGATAATGCGATTCACAGTAAATTAGAAGAAACTTTAAATGTGCAGTCTGATGAGTTTGGACGGTTATCATCACAAATCCATTATGGCCTCTGTCTCATAGACTTTGCACGTAGATAGAAAACACATAATCATATCTGCTTTTTTATATTACTTTTTTTTTTCTTTAAAAAATTGCATGTACAGATGACACACACACTTATTACACTACGGTCTGAAATAGAGCGCGATTTTTCACGCCGTCCCAGAATTTCGAAAATTGACCAGTAATTACATACGCCACAGGGCTTCCTCGTCTGTACAAAATCAGGAGTAAAACAAACACTGTGATCAAATTGACCGCGGCGTGTTTTGCAGCAGCCTATTACGTTGTAACGATTGTTATTATTAGGACTATGTTAGTCTCAATGAAAAGCTTGATTGACTTGTACTGGGGATAGCGTAGTCTAGTGCAACTCACCTTGATGACCCATTTCCAACTATCTGATATATCATCATCGCCATTACTACTGCTGCTGCCACTACTTTCACTGGTGGTGGATCGCCGTTGATGTATGCTGCTTTTACCCGATAACGTGGATCCACTCATCGGTCGCTGTTTTTTTGCACCTGCAGCAGTAGCAGCGGCTGCATCGCGTTGATCCCGAATAACTAGCTCGCGCCGGAGTTCGTCGATTCGACTATTCAATGCGATCACTTCTGTCTGGAGCGATTCCAGCGCTCGTTTGGTTGCCGGGCCCAATGCGACGACGGACATATACTGGGCGTCAGGAGTTGCCCTGTTACTGGAGGAATTATTAGGATTACTATTATACACATTTTGTAGTGACGAAGGCTGACGGGGTGTGGCGGTGACGGACGAAGAGGTACTATAAACAGGTGATGGCTGTACAGGAATTCGATGTTGGTTAAACAACCGTTGTTGCTGTTGCTGTTGCTGTTGCTGTTGTTGATACTGTCGAGGTGACATGGCTCGCATTCTGGCATTACTGCTATTAATTCGATCATCATCATCTTCTTCGTCGCTGCTGTTGTTGTTGTCATTATTATTACTGAGTGCATTCGCTGGATGCTGTGCCCAAGGATCCAAGTTGTCTTCATCGTAGCTACGGCGTTGCTGCTGCTGCTGTTGTTGTTGTTGTTGTTGTTGTTGTTGTCGAGTAGCACGTTCATGCTGTGGAATCATGTGGGGTAGTAGTCGATCATTGGAGGGTGAGGTCGTCCGAGACTGGCCTGTCGGTGCAGTGACCATGGAAGAGGCTGCTGACGGTGCTCTGTCATACCAGGATCGTCGTTGCTGTTGTTGTCGGGGTGTCACCAATCGTCGCCGTGGTGCTGCTGCATTGGCCTGAACTTCCCAGAGATAAGCCTGTTCCTCTGCTTCAGCTGACGCAATACTGCTCGTATCTATTTCCTCGCCGTCATGCGTGGTGTGTTAGGCTTATGGAACTATGCAATATTCGTACATATCTTTGTAGCTGCTGTTACCATCCTCATCTTCATCGTGCGTGGTATCATCGGTGATCTCATCGCCTTCTTCGCTGTCGCGGTCACCCGAAGGTTGCATCAACGCGAATGCTTGTATAATTTGCTCCGCTGTAGCTCTGCCAGCATTTCTCTTGTATGCCTAAACCAAAAGAATAGCTTAGAAATCGTCTAATAGTGACACACCTTTTAATGGCTGACGAAATACGAGCGACAAACCTCAGTAGCCGATCGTAGCAACGTCTCTGTATAGAGATACCGAGCTTCCAGACGATCCATCCCCTCTAGTTTCTTCCATGCATCCCTATTCTCATTCTCAATAAGCTCAAGTGCTCAATCGTCGTTGTCACCACTGAATACTTGTTCGGTTCTTTTCAACTACACTGTCGTCACTTATGCGTACCACTTTGCTCTGCCGACCATATCGAATAAGCCAGGCCGTGGAGTATTTACGTCGCCATGCGAAACCTGTTTGTAATATGCATAGAGCTAAGATAATATAAAACAGAACGTGTGCATAGATACGGTAGACGACGGGCACGACAACAAAGGGAATAATGAGTTCTTCATTGCACAATAACCAACACTGGAAGCGATTGTCTCCGTACCTCCAATTTTTCTTCTCTTGTCGGCTGAAAACTTGAGGAAGCAGGCAAGTACTGCACGATCTGGAGTGCTTTGTTGTAACGCTGATTGACATATTTCTCAGAGTAATGAAGAGGGATGGTCATGAGGAGGTGGAGGAGGTGGAGGCGAAGGAAGAAAAAAGAATAAAAAGAAAGAAAAGGGAGCAAGAAGAAAGAGAGAATAACTTTGTGTGTGTGTGCGTGTGTGTACGATTTTTGAAGTGGCTCTCACGACAGGCTGCTCTGAATTTGTGGGGAACCACATATGGAAAAGGAGGGTTTGTAAAAGAGAGCACACCGCTGTGTGTGTATGATATGCGTGAAAAGCAAGCTCTCTTTTTCCTTGTGCGTGGTGTGTATTCCGCCCATCCCCACGCGCGTAACACCAACCGACCAAGCAGTCAGGGGTTGGAGAATTGCTTTGCTTTCGTGTCACCACCACACCCAGAAGCACCAGCAACTTTAAAAAACGAAAAAAAGAATTCCGAAGTTGAGGCAGTGACAACACGAGTCAGTCAGTGTATCCACGCAAAACACCTCCCTCACATATAACACATGTCTGCGCAAGCCTCGCCACTCTCTTCACCGCGCCAGACTCCCTTATCACCCAACAGCAACAGCCAAGATGACGGACAAACCCCTCACCTCTTGTCGCTCAAGGTGATGCGTCTATCGCGTCCGCTCATGGCGACCAGCGCTCCAGTCTACTACGAAGGGTCATCATACCCACCACTTGTTGAAGGTTTAGAATCGCTCAACATTTCAGATCTCACCGCATCACACCCCATTGAACTCCCCAACGACATCCAAATCCGCGACTTTGGCCTAAGCCAGCTACTTCAACTCCCTTCGTCATTTGGCAATATATATCTTGGCGAGACATTCAGCACACTTGTCAACATCAACAATGAAGGGCAGCAACAGCATCCGAACGGCGTTGCTGCACACCAGGTCAACGTCAAGGTTGAGTTACAAACATCATCACAGCGGTTCAACTTGAGCGACACAAACTATGAGCAACTCGACACCACATTGGCAGTGACAGTGTCGCATGAAATAAAGGAACTTGGAGTGCATATCCTGGTATGCACGGTACAATACATGACCGATGACGGACGACGGCGTCATTTTCGCAAATTCTACAAGTTCCAAGTGTCGAATCCGCTTGCAGTCAAAACCAAAGTGAACAACATGATTGATGGGCGCGTGTTTCTCGAAGCGCAGCTACAGAATGTTTCAGCGGGACCCATGTTTCTCGAACGCATGAAATTCGAGCCGTCGGAGCACTTTGACTTCCAAGACTTGAACACGATTGTTGTCGCCAGCAGTAACAATGACAGCAACATTGGTGACAGTACTAATGCAGCCAGTGAACTCGTGTTTGGCACCAACTTCATCCATCCGCAAGATGTACGTCAATATTTGTATATGCTGACGCCCAAGGATCCGCAGAATGACAGGATTGCTCGTACGACCAACGCACTGGGCAAATTGGATATAGTGTGGCGATCGGCGATGGGGGACCTCGGAAGATTGCAGACATCCCAGTTGACGCGTAAAGCACCTCTGCTGGATGACGTCGAAGTGCAGCCGTTCTGGTTGCAAAAGGGCCAGGCTGCCGACGTTGTTTTGGAGACACCGTTCCAGCTGGGCATCCGCGTCCGGAATCATTCGTCGCAGAACATGAAACTGGTGCTGTCAGCGGTCAAGACAAAGATGGGATCGGTCTTGTTGAGTGGGTTGAGCACACGCAATTTAGGCGAGGTTTCAGCCAACCAGTCGACAGAGACGCAGCTCGAGTTTTTCCCTTTAACGCCCGGTCTACAGAGAGTAGGCGGCTTGCGCGTGGTGGACTTGTTGACAGGATATACGAAGGACATTGACCATTTGTGTGATATGTACGTAAGGACACTCGCGTAGTGGATCCTTTCTCTTGGTTTCTTTCTCTCTGTAAAACGTCATACCCCCGTACCTGCCAGCCTACACAGAGCACAAATTTGTACATTGTATCATCATTACGTTGTTTCCCCGATATTCGGAAACCCTTCTTTATTGGTAAAACGCACCCACGATTTACACTAATTTAAATAAAGAGGCTTGCATGAATTTCCATAACCCTTGCAATAATTACTTGTTGTTCCCGTTCTTGTTTTTAGTAAACAATCTTTACGACTATGGCACAAGTAATGTCTAATCAGCAGCCTGCAGTGCAAACCGCTCAGGCGTACAATACTCAGCAACAACCAGCTCAACCGCAAGCTCAACAGTTTCAACCACAAACGCAGCCAATGCAGCAGCAGCAGCCAATGCAACAGCAACAGCCAATGCAGCAGCAACAGCCAATGCAGCAGCAACAGCAGCAAGAGTCACTAACTCCCGGACAACAGATCAAACAATCGCAGCAGCGACAGCAAGAACAACGTAGGCCTCATTATAGACCTTTTCTATATAAGCGCAAACTCTTAGAAATAACATGTTGTATGATCAATAGAGATGCAGGCTAAGCCAGAAACCATCGAGTTTTTTGAGTTGTACGAGGCGCTGCGTCAAGGCAAGATGCCAAACAACAACCAGCTGTCCCAAGTGCTCGATCGTCTTTTGGACATTCGTGCCATCAACGAACGTCAGCACATGATGTCGCCCGACGGCCAAAAGCTGTTGGCAGACTTCCGCGCACTTATCCAGACGCTGCAGACGGCGCTCCACGTCAAAAACCGTGATCAGCTGTTCCAATCGCTCTACTATCACTTGCACAATCTGAATTTGCGGCCTTCCGACGCGCAACGGGGTAAGAATCTCCCACAATCATTAGTGGTGTTCTTATCGCTTCCATACAACTGTTTATGCTAAGTACTTGTTGATTTCTATTGCCTCAGAACGCTTCCAGACGAACAAGACAGGGCAACAGCAGTTCTCTAGTAAAGAGGAAGCCAAAAAAGGTAGATTCTCCATACAGTTTGTTTTATCAGCCATAAGATAACAGTGTGTGTGTTTGTGTTATTCTTTTGACATTTATGCGCATTATTAGGCGGCAACGCATTTATCAAGATCGGCAAGCTTATTGTGACTAACGGCCATTTCCGCGACCAGTTGACAGAACTCATTTCCATCGCCCAAGAAGTTTTTGGTGATGCCACAAACAAGCTTAGCGGTCAACTGCAAGATACTACGCAAAAACTACAAGAAGGCACGCAAAAGATGAATCAGAAAGCACAACAGCTGAACGAGAAGACCGAAGACTGGAATGCCAAGGTCCAAGACCAGTCCAATCGGGATCCAAACGAAATTGTTGACGAGGCCGGTGCACATATCAACAAGATGCGCAATGCTCAGTCCAAGCAGGGCACATCTGGCACAAACAATGCTACAGACGATGTCTATGATGATGCGGTGGAGCAACAGGACTCCACCATGACACAAGATGACGTTCGGGAAAAGCTCCAATCCCACAAGCAAGAGTGGAAGAGCCAAATGAACGATCAAGTGAGCCAAACCCGTAACAAGCTCCAGCAACAGCAGCAAAGTGCTAAGCAATATGCTCGCGACAAGTTCCCGCCCGAAAAAGTGAACGAGATTGTCGATCGTCTCAAGACGGTACTTGCTGAAGTGCAATCCAACCCCGACTATCAGGACTCCATTGGTACCATCTTCAATCTTTTTGAGACCTGGGGCCATCGTGTTGGCGGCGTCGCTCAGTCATCTGCAGGCATGATGTCTCAGACAGCCCAAGAGTACGGCGCGGACCACAACTTGTCGGCTGCCCAAGATGAAATCAAGGCTATCATCGAGGACTGGGCACAAGGACGGTCATTGGATCCATTGATCCATGGTGTTGACATCCTCATCAAGGACGTCAAGAGCGACCCCGACTTGCGCCAGTGTTATGATCAGTCGACTCAATATCTTCGACGCTTGTTGCAAGAGCCTAATTATGTCAACAATGACCAGTCGACCGAGGATGGCAAGTATCTCATCAACCGTATGCGTGAGTTGACACGCGATCGCCACCGCGACCATACAGACTTTTTAATCAACGAAGCTAAGGCCTATATGAGCTCTCTTGAGGACGATCCAATGGCCCGTGAATTGGAGATGCGCTTCAAGCAGATCCATAACGACTTGTGGCTCGATGAGTAAGTTGATATATTGTTTGTTTTCCATCATACGCTGTAAAGAAAAGCCTTTTTATACTAATCGCTCCTGTGTTGCAACTAGAAACGGTAACACTGCCTTCAAGCCTCAGCTTTTGACAGACATGCGCTTGACCTTGCTTCCTGTCGCTTTGGAGTTTGTCAAGTTTTTGCCAATCCCAAGGATCGAATACTCTGACAAGCAGATTGACTTGGCTCTCGAGAATATCGTTTTGCCTGGCGATACTTTGTTGCCTGGAAATGTCGAGATGAATGTACAGTATCGCACTACGCTTACCATATAAATCACCGCATGGTTCAACTTACTAAACTCAATAACTTTGCCACTTTCACTTTTAATAGATGGACAACTATGTTAGATTCAGTCCCCACACTAATGTGACAAACGCCAATCAACAGTCCTTGTATATCAAAATGTCAGACATCCGAACGACCGTCAAGGATGTAAGTTTCTCGATGTCTAAAAGTCATATAACTGGCGTATTACAAAGTACACTAACCGTTCAAAATGGGGTGTAGGTTATATGGTACTTTAAGCGCAAGGTTGGCTTCCCTAAGCTTTCGGACCGTGGTGTTGCTACTGTTGTCGTAAGTATATTGTCTAGCGAGACTGTCTTATTAACAATTCATGCTTATTGTTTTTGAAAAAAAAATATATGTTTGGCTACTTTTCTAGGTCGGTGGCAGAAAGGGTCTCTCGGCAACTGCCAAAATCATCAGTGATTCTAACGACCCGGTCCACACTTTCCGTGTCGCTCAATGCAAATGCTACATTGATCAGATCAAGGTCAAAATCAATGGCAGCCGTCACGAGTAAGTTTTCAGCTAGTGAGAATGAATGGAACTCGACTTTTTTTTAAAAAGTATCTACCTTTTTGCTGTTTCTCTTCTAGTATTCTCTACAAGACAGTCAAGCCATTGATGGTCGCGATTCTCAGACGCCAAATTGCAAAGGCTATTGAGGCCAAGATCATCGAAACAGTCGAACAAGCCGACGGCAAACTTACTAGCAAAATGACCCGACAGTACCAAGAATCGATGATGAAGAACTCATCTATGCAAACCCTTGCATCCAACTACCAACCGCAGCAGCAAGGCATCACAAAGGCTACCGCACCAGTTCCTGGTCAGCACACAGCCGCTACTACTGCAGCAACTGGACGGATGCCTATGGCACAGCAGGAAATGAAGCGCCCCGGTCTGTTTGTTGCGCTCTTGACCATCATGAACCGCTCGCTCAAATCACAGATGGTTTCAGGTGTTCAGAATCAACGAGAAAAGCATCGAAAGAAAAAGTTGGAGAAGGAAAAGAAGAAGCAAGTACAACAACTTCAACAAGAAAGGGAGTCGTCAGGCAATGATCTTCAGCAGCAACAAGGAGGTCAACAGACAGCCACTAGCAGCAACAACGTCCCTACTACAACCGGTGGCAATGTTAGTACAGTCCCTGTCATTGTCGGATCAGACGGTCAAACCTATATGCAGCAAGAAGGCAAGATGATTCCCGTCAATATTGTCGGCGGAGCCACGGGTGGTGCTCCAAATGCACCAACAACGACGCAAGGAACGATGAACAGCGGCAGCGGCTTTTTTGGCAACAAGAACATGCAGGACTACGTAACTGCTGGTAACCAGGACACCACCACCCAGCAATATCAGCCTGGCATGATGGCATCCAACACGACGGGTAGAGCTTAAAAACCAAGCTTAGGTGATGCTTTTTCTACCCATTTTTTCTCTACAAATAATTTTGCGGTACCATTTATAATGTATATAAATAATGAGTTTTGTCAGTATTTAGTATTAATAATAATAATAATAATAAAAGCCTCAGGTTTTTTTTGCAACTATATTCCTTGAAACACCCAATAACGCCATTGCAGTACTCTAAACAAAGTCTTGCAACAAAATTTACCTTGGCATGACAGCGTTTTTGATCTGATTATTAATCAAAGGGACGCTACCTTGATTAATAATCGACGAAAGGCGCGCGGAGTAAAAGTGGTATATAAGGGGTCATCCATCCATCGTCCGCCGAATAAAGAGCTTCTCTTCGTTACTTATATAATCATGTCACCCATCCTTCCTCCTCAGGCACAAAACGTCAAGACCCGTCCTGGTGCTCCTCGTGACGCCGAAGCCGTCAAAGATGTACAACTATTCCAACCCTCAACCATCAGGTCTGTGACCATCCCCAACCGTATTGTCGTTGCTCCCATGTGCATGTAAGTCATTACTTGATCCTTTCTACTTATCCATGGCAACACCTTGCCTCATAGCATAATCATGTTGGAAAAGCAAAAGTCTTAGAAACTGACTACTGCTTACCATTCTAGGTACTCTTGCGAAGATGGTTTCTTGAACGACTTTCATCTGGCCCACTATTTTTCGTTCGCTTTCAAGGGTGCCGGTCTAGTCATCATTGAAGCTACCGCTGTCGAGCCCCAGGGTCGTATTTCTCCTGAAGACTCTGGCTTGTGGAGTGACGACCACATTGCTCCTTTGAAGCGTGTGGCTGATATGATCAAGGCACAGGGAAGTGTTCCCGGTATTCAGATCGCCCACGCTGGTCGCAAGGCCTCCATGGGCTCGCCATTTGTTGGTTACCGCATTATTCCCGAGGAAGAAAAGGGCTGGTCCAAGGATGTCCGTGGTCCTTCGGAATTGCCATTCGATGAGAAGCATTGCCAGCCCCATGCCCTGACCAAAGAGGCCATTCAAGACCTGGTTCAAAAGTTTGCAAATACTGCAGTTCGTGCTGATAAGGCCGGAATTGAAGTTCTGGAAATCCACAGTGCTCACGGGTAAATATTCAAGTGTAACCTTATAGAATCAGATTGGATTACGTGATCATGAGTATGAAGATGTGGAGTTGCTGACAGCAAATTCTACCCTTTTTTCTTCATATAGCTATTTGTTGCACAACTTCTTGTCTGGTAACTCCAACAAGCGCACTGATGAGTATGGTGGCTCGCTCGAGAACCGTATGCGCTTCCCTCTTGAAGTAGTCAAGGCTGTTCGTGCTGCCTGGCCGGAACACAAGCCGTTGTGGCTCCGCTTTTCATCGACCGATTTTAAGGAAATCGATCATATGGCAGAGGACAAAGACGGCTGGGACATATACCAAGCTATTGAGTATGCCAAGAAGCTCAAGGAGATTGGTGTTGATGTGATCGACTGCTCTGCCGGTGCCAACATTTCTGGTGTTCGTTACCCTACTGGTCCTCACTTCCAAGTTCCTTTTGCTGAAGCCGTTCGTCGCGAGGCTGATATCCACACTGGAGCTGTCGGTCTCATCACCGAGCCTGTTGCAGCCGAAAAGGTTTTGCAGGAAGGAAAGGCCGATTACATCTTGCTTGCTCGTGAATTCTTGCGTGACAGCGGTTGGGCATTGCGTGCTGCTCGCGAGTTGAATGTTCCTGTCGAGTGGCCCAATCAGTACAAGCGCGCTGACAACGAGCGTTGGGTTGGCAAGAACGGCAAATAAACATCTTTCAACACACTCATGTAAATATAATCATTACAGCTACATCATACTTTTTTAAATAAATGGAAGTTCATCATGTTCTTTTTTATAAACCTACTGTTGTGCACACGTCACATATATATATAATATATAAAATGTTGAACAAGCAGACCAGCTGCATTTTCAAGCTTAATTTCTTAAGACCTCTACAGATTTAAGGGTATATGGTAACTTCGAGGTCAAACAGAACTACGTATGAATCCTTAAGGTCAGAAAGTAACCGTGTATTTGTGGGCCTTGCAACCATAGGTATTCTTGGCATCATCGTAGGCATAGCTGTAAGCATCGGGGCAACCAGCCTTGAACTTGTCGGCATATTCACTGCCTTTGCACTTCTTGGGATCGTTGTAGTTGCCAGTGCAGCAGTATTCGTCCGTGCCAAATGCAGCACAGGCACTCTGGCAAGCATCACTCATAATTTGGAGTTCCTTGGGACACGATGGAAGAGACGAACAGGTAGGAGCACCACAGTTGTAACCATCGCCGTCTTTGCCATCGGGTTCGATGCTCTTGGGAATAGTGAAACCGTCGACGAACGAGATATCGTAAAACTCACTGTCTTCGTAGCTTTTGAACAAAAATTCGGCAAGAAACACAGCCGAGCCATATTGATCACAGTTGGCTTCACCATCACGGCAGCACCAGAAACGACCAGCCCAGTTAGGATCAAGCTTGTAGTCATACGATGAATTAGTGGAGAGATCGCGAAATCCCTTGTCGCCACCTTCTCCGTTATTCAGCTTGTAAATGTGCAAGTCATTGCTGCAGCTGTTCTAGAGTGTAACAGTGACAGCACCTGATGAAGAAGTCGAATTGGAAGAAGATGAGAAGGAACCAGTGGGAGTAGCCAAGCTAGCGCTAGCGATAGCAAGGAGATAGATAGTCTTGATAATGCTCAACATTATTATAGGAAAACGGAAGTGTAGATAGATGATTGTGATGATGAATAGCAATACCCCTATGCGCGTTCTTCCCTTTATGTTATTTAACTAACTTAAGTTTTGTACACCTATGTAACTGGAAAACTGTATATAGCGAATCAAAGGTGGCAGCGGCACTGAAACTTGTGAGTAAGTCTTTTGCTATTCGTTTAAATCCATGGTCATTAGTTGCAACTGATGAGACATACAGTATTATGTAAAGCTCCCCGTTTTTGGGATTAGTTGTATGACTGATGTTGTAGTGTCCTGCAATTGGTTACATACTAAAGCGTTCCGCTATCATATGAGAAGTCCTCTTTATCGCTTGCTTTACCTAAATCAACAACTTGAAGAATACATGAAAGGCTATCACTCTCATTAGAAACTAAATTACAGGAAAATAGTGGGAGTGTCCTGTTAAAGGAGCTGATAACTGAGATAGCACGCATGATTGGTCTGGATCGTCAAAGTTCAAAGACCTTCTGAAACAAAAGAAATTTTCTTTCGAATAAATTTCTCAGTGTACTCAAATTCAACTCATTACGTTTGGTAATGAAGGAAACTCTGTCCGAGAAGAGTGGTGCCAGGGAGAGAAAGAAGCGCGGATACATGTGACTATTTTGCTCCGCGTTTCCTTTATGCTCAGTGCCAGTCTCCAGGAACTTGAGTTTTTTATGCGAAGTTAGAAGCGAGCCTTTTCGTATTACATGCACAGTATTGGTGATAAGTACAATATTAGGGTGTATCACTTATAGTCTGAAGTATAAAGTATGTAAGGTTAGAAGATAGAGCATTAACCCATTTATGTAGCTAGCAACGACATAGGAACACAACACGACATGAGCGCTGCATTACAGGCACCCAAAAGATTATCTCAAAAGCATAAAAATCTGACGCCTTCTTTTGACTGTTTCTACCACACAGTCAAAAAACGGGGCAGGCTTTATACATATAAACAAGCTATATGAGACATACACGATTTAATTTAGCGCCAGGAAAAAAAGAAGGACAACGACCATCACTTAGCTGCAGCTCTTTTACTTTTATATCAACTCGAGACCGATGAGTCATTTATTCCACCGCCAAAGCAGCTATAACGTGTTCCATATGCCAGCGCAATCAAATCGCTCTATGCCGTAAATCTTGATCCGTCAGCTGAAGAGTTTAAGAGAACAATTATGATAGCTTGCCCACCGACAACTAAAACCGAGAGCGGTCTCATGTTTGGTTCATGCTAATTTTATGTGCATGTATCATACAAGTTTTAAAAGGGCCTTAAACCGGCAAGATGGACCGCGGCTGTCAATGATCCAGTTGTTGCCAAGGAGTACCTTTTCTCAAATCGTGATTCTTTATCATACATATTGATGTTTCAGAATTAACACATGCAACTTTGATTATGTGGCCAATTCTCCCGGTAATGCAACACGTAGTTTTATAAGTTACATTCACAAAGAAACATTCACAAAGATTCATTTGAGCGACGAGTTTGCTGGCATGCTAATCAGCCGTTTCATTATTGATTCCCAACATTCTTTTCCTATCAGCGCAAGGTACGCTATCATACGTTGAACATCATCCCCAACAACTTCCTAACTTGTATCATACTCTTAGTTTTGCAGGCAATGTGATGAGCTCTTTACTATCATTGTATTAGATCGTCAACCCTGAATTTTATCGGTCCATGTCACCAGTAAGAAGTAGGCAGTTGGCTGAAGAACCGTTCAATGTAATCAATGCTACGGAAGGCACTGCAGATGTTTTATATGAATCGATGGAGCGCCCTGCTCTTGATGCAATCACATATGTAGTTTCTTGAAAGTAGCTTACAATATTCAGAATTATAAACTTTACCTTATGCATCCTTTCTTGATTAAAAGGAGGAAAATCATTTGGTTTTTGATATTGTCAACGGGTCTCAACTTCGACGCAATCAGCAGCACCCACAACATATGGGTCCGAAGATACAACAGTGTAGTCAGTGCAATGCAATCTACAAAATTTACCCTTTTATGGAGCAACGATTTCTCATTTGGATCCCAACACATAAACGTGTACATGATGATGATATGCGCGTCTTTACAGAAATGGTAAAATCTGTCTTTGATCGAAAGTGCAAACTGATTGATGAGCAGAAGGCTCACGGTATATAGCAGTGCTAGAAGATCCCGAGCGAGATCTTTAAACAATAAAACGTTCGAATGAGAACAAGAAGAAGGTCGAGGATGGTTTGATTGACGAGGAATGGCTTGTTTGTGAATTCCACATTTTCCTTCTTCGTGAAGCAATTATTCGTAAGGGCTATAGTAATTACATAGCACGTAAATTTTCCACATTCTTTGTCTTCAGAACGAGTGACATATTTGCTTCCATGTCCACTGGGTGTAATACTACCTCCTTGGCTCTCTCGTTTGCCATCTGTTTCCTTGTCATGTATCCGGTACAGTATATATATAGCTTCCCTGTTGATGATGGATGATAATGATGATGCAACGCTACTTAAATCTGTGCATAGGATTGGGAGATACTAATACTGCGTAGAAAGCAGTTTACTTAATTTTAATGCTTGATGAACTGGTTAAGATAAAGGAGCTATTTTTATGGAATGCTGGAGTCTGTGCTGTCTTTGCATGCTGATTTCTGGTTTACACCACGCAACGTACGCTCTGCACGATCATATTGGTTAGGCCATTTGACTTTTACGCCAAGAGCTTGTGCAGCCATCAAAACCCACGAACTATCACGCAAGAATTCTCGGCCAATGAAAACCAAATCCGCTTGGTTGTATTGCAAGACTTGCTCTGCATCGGTAGGCTCTGTGATGATACCTTTTGTAGGGAGATGTTGTCAATAATATTACCAGCATGAAGTGGATTAAAACAATCCTCCCCTACCCCTTCAGCTTCACATACCGACTGATGCTGTATTGATCCGTGCTTCTTTTTTGATAGTCTCAGCAAACTTGACTTGATAGAGCGGTCCTGCGTGATAGTCTATGTTGGGTAAATTTCCGCCGCTGGAACAGTCGACCAAATCCACCCCAATTTCCTTGAGTTTTTTAGCGTACATTGACGTCTGCCATACGTCCCAGCCTTCGGGATCATGTCCTAGTGGATCGGGGTTTCCGTAATCAGTGGCTGAAACACGTACGAACAAGGGCTTGTGGTCAGGCCAGACAGCACGCACGGCTTTGGCAACTTCGAGAGGGAACCTCATACGGTTTTCAAGGGAGCCACCATACTCGTCCGTCCTCCTGTTCGAATGACCTGACAAAAAGTTGTGTAGCAAATATCTATGCAACACATGAATGAGCACACACAATTTTTTTCAGGGGGGGTTGGTGGTTGTGAAGAGCCAAGTTGTAATTTACCCATGCGCGCTGTGGATCTCCAGAATTTCAATGCCTGCTTTATCGGCTCTGATAGCTGCATCCGCGAACTTCTGTGTAATCTCAGCTATTTGCTCAACCGTAAAGCCTTTCGGGCGAGGGTGTTCCTCGTTGAATCTAACACCTTCAGAAGGTCCTCGAACATCATCTGGCCACCCGTTTTCTTCTTTTGGAACGATGCGATAACCCTTCCACGGCGAGCCCATGTCTGCTTTACGACCTGCATGAGCGATCTGCATGGCCGGTGTACTCCCTTGCGACTTGATAAAGTCAGCGATACGTTTGACAGGCGCGATATGGTCATCGCTCCAGATGCCGGAATCATCCGGTGAAATACGACCTTGAGGCTCCACGGCTGTCGCTTCAATGATCACGAGTCCTGCGCCTCGCAGTGCAAAAGAGCCCAAGTGAACTAGGTGAAAGTCGTTGAGGAATCCATCTTCACAGCTATACATGCCTACACACATATGATGATCGGTGCCAGTCGATTCAATCTGTCAGCAAATGAATACGATATTGATGTTCTTGTTTTTTTGACCTTACACATAGGCGAGACACCGATTCGATTGTGCAATGTTACGGATCTGTATGTCGTTGGCTTGAATAAGAGCACGTTATGTTTGTCATCAGCAGCAGAGCCGGGAGGCACGTCGTTGTTCTGACCTTGTGGTGGCACACTCATAGTTTGATAAAAAAAAATGGAATAAACGTGCTATTTCGTCGTAACGGAAAGATACAAATCATGCAGCGGGGTTGCAAATGTTGTGTACTTTGAAGCCTCTAGCCATGGAATATTCCGTTGACACGGGTTTCAGCAGTCGAGATGTATGTCTATAGTTTCTGTTTACTCACTACCTTGGATAGTGATTTTTCAAAAGTAGTCGAAGCGATCGATTTATGATTTGTTATCTATTGCTACGAGATTGGTAGATTGTGTTTCACAAGCTTATTGAGTGACATATCATAATTTCTTATGTACAATAGATATCATAGACCTCTATGAGTTGTTTCTCCAACGCGAAAACCCTTGCATGCGCCAGCTTCGATACAGGTATGACAAGTGAATGAGTAATACTGTTATTATGTATGGGACAAAGTCGGAGAACTGTTACTGTTTATCGACTCGCATAAGGAGTTCGTAGCCCTGGTACTTGAGCAGTTGAGTCAAACGTATGTTCCCAAGGATAAGGATTGCGTAAAGATTAAATTGATTGAGCAACTTAGTCGGCAACAACAGCAATGACAGCAGCGATTCGGATACTGGTAGCAGAGGCAGTAACACTTCTATCATCTCTACTATATCTCAAATACAAAAAAAACAAAAACAAAAGTGAAGTCCAACTCTTGATGATTGTTTAAAAAGTTGTGTTGTGTGACTAAATCTACATGGTGGATGGTGCAATGGCTGACTGTAATACGGGATTTAGTGGCGTGGAGGACTGGATGCTAGTTATAACATAGTACGTACATGTATAAAGTAGGATCCAATGACAATGAGGAAAAGAATTTTGTGTAGTGCATAATGGGCTCGTATTATAGTTTATTAGCAGTTATTGAGGAGTAGTTTAATAGTAATGTTATCTACTTTTTTTTGTCCTTACAAGAGTCTGTCCTTATCCTCAGATGTTAAGCGAAGCGTTCTAGCCTTGCTTTTATAATCATCCCAAGGGAAATAAGCGCCACAGATACGGCGATGGCCTGTGAACGCACTGCGTCCATGGAGCACACGCCAGTTATCAAACAAAACGACACGACCTGGTGCTAATGGTTCCCACAATTCGTTCTCTGGCTTCTTGAGCAAATCGTTCCACATGAACAAAGCATCATAGAACGCTTCGAGCTGGTTAGAGCTCAAATGGTCCATGGTTGAACGATCGTCATTATTGTATCGCACCTGATAAATCTCACCATCGGGACCATGGTTGAGAATGGGATAAGCACGTGGAGTTGGTACGATTAAGACATCTTCGTCGCCGGCCGAGTGAGTAGGGACCAGAGCGGATGACAAGGTGCGGTAAGCCTCGGGAGATTTTTCTTTGAGCTGCTTGGCGACATTGAATCCATCGACAAACAAGGAATCACCACCTTCACCGTTGAACTCAAGCTTGTGGAACATTTGCATACCAGAAGGCTCGGTGAAATAGGTATTGTCTGTATGCGCGCCTAATGCTAGTGTAGTATAGGCCGTGTCGGCATGAGCCAGATCAGCCGTGAACGACCACATGCCCTTTGAATAATGCGTCTCGCGCAAGAAAGAGACGCGTCTTGCCAATGCCTCGGTTGCTTCCACGGTGGTCGGTACACCGTCCACAAAGCCGATACCATATACTTCGAGATTGTTCAACCATTGACGCAATCCGTCGTCGGACTCCATGACAGCGTCGTGCTGGACTATTGGCAAGGGGTCAAGCGACTGAGCGTCCCACAGAACCGGTTTCTTGCCTTGTAATGGCTCGTTCGTGCGCAGAACCGGGCTATACGAGTGCGTGTGGAGCCAGTCCCACGCGTATTTGGAACGGTGCCCGTCTGGCCAGGTCACCTCGAGTCCCTCCAATGTGCTGTCAACCGCCGCGGGTGAAATGTCGCGCGGAATAGAGAACGTGTCTACCAGTCGCTGTCGAGTTGTGGCATGGTAGCATTGCTCGCAGTGGCAATGGTCACGCAGCCAGAAATGATGGAATACCGACGTCTTGCGCGCATTCCAGTCTAAAAAGACCTGCTTGTCGTTGGCAATACCGGCACGCTGTGGAACGTTGCCCGAACCAGCGAGCTGTTTACGTGCGTTGGGTTTATGTAGGCGAGCAGCTGTGGTGGAGAAGCAGCGTCTGCTCGTCTGAAGAATGAAAAGGCGGTTTATAAGCATATAGGGGTCAAGCGTATGCGTAGGGGTAAACAATGAAGAAGTACGAAGTCTAGGAATATAAAGAAAAAGTGTGGGGTTAAAGAAGTAGAAAAAAAAAGTCTCAGCGAGAGAAAAAATCGGATGATGACCAGTGGAAAAACAAAGCGCTTGCCGTTTTAGTCAGATGCACCTGATGAAAGCTTCCTGTTGCGGCTTAAATGCCTTGTGTCTTAAAAAAAGAACAAGTGACAGCTTTCACAAGGTGGGGTATGTAGTAAGAGGTACAGGAGCGGATGGAACAGTACCTCTTCTGTGTTACCGTCTCGCTTTCTTCATTGCAAGTTCGTATATCGCATCGAGTGCGGTATTCATGGTTCGGTAGTGTCAAGTGCCTGCTGCTACGCAATAACAAGCTCCGTCGCCGTACGTGTTCGCATTCGCAAGTCACGCTCTCTGATTGGCTGAATTTTTTCAGGCAAAAGAGCTAGGCTAGATGAGGAGCCACAGAGAGAGAGCAAAGACACCAGTTGTTTGTCCTTTTTAGTCGTTCCCTTCCTCTCTCAACAAAATCATGTCCTACTACGGTGATCGTGATCGCGACCGGAGCCGTCGTCCCTCGCGCAGACTCTATGTTGGTAAGTTAGATCTCAAACAGATCCAAAAGCTGCATTTATAGATTGACTCACGTATACTTGCTCTGTCCTTCCACTGTTGACTTTAGGAAATCTGAATCGCTATGTTCGAGAGCGTGATGTTGAGCGTCTCTTTGCCAAGCTTGGCAGAATCAATGATCTGGCTTTGATGGTAATTAGTGTGGGGACATGAGAAAGAGAAAGAGAAAGAGAAAGAGAAACTGTTTGCTCTCGTATAGTATATCTCATATCAGTCACCTTTCTATATTATGATATGATATGATATACAATTGTTACAGTCAAACTTTGCATTTATCGAATACGATGTAAGTTTCTCAAGAAAATTTGCGTATAAGTCTTGCGTGTGTGTCGTCGCCCTTTGTCATCTTGTATGATATTGACTTGTGTATGGTTCTGTAGGATGAACGGGGTTCGTTGCATTCTCTTTGTTAGATGGCGTATGGTGTTATAATGTTGATGTTTTTGGGTGATTTGATATGTGGCGGGGTGGACACAGCGCTTCGCTTTTCTCTTTTGCTTTCGGTGTCTTGCGCGTTTGTTTTAAGAATGAAGAAGAGAAAGCCTCTTATCGATGTTGCTGCCGCTTTGCTTCGCCTAAAGACACATACGGGTTTTGATTTGAGTGACACGATCCGATAACACAAAAAATACTCTATACGTTGTTTGCATGCAGACGCCGAAGACGCTGTTAGGAACCTCCATGGCACGCGTTTGGAAGGTGACCGCATTATCGTAAGTTTGTTTGCTTTCTCCATTGATAAAAACGTGCCGTAACTAACGACGTGCTCGTGTGTGTGTGTGTGTGTGTGTAGGTCGAATTTGCCAAAAATAAGCCACGTAGCTCACGAGGATTTGATCGCGATCGCCCCCGTCGCGGTGACCGATTTGCCGAACGTTGTTACAACTGCGGTGAAGTTGGTATGTCCTTGCCTATCGTCATCGATCGTTCATAGCTATTGTTTGCTATGCTGTTGCTTGGGAGCTGATTTTCTGATTTTCCTTGTTCGTCCTTTTTTTTTTTTCTAATAGGGCACATGTAAGTTGTTCTCGCTGCTCATTCTTATAGCTATATATTTAATGTAGTTGTTGGGAAAGAATCAGAGCATCGAACAGGGTCTGAATAGTATGCTGCGTTTACTAACACCATGTTTGTTTATGCGACTTTTGCATTGTACTAGCTCGAGAGAATGGTAAGTTTGTATGCGGGATCACAAAATGGAAGAGAACTGTGGAGTTCAGAGAGAAAAGTCTTGATTAACATCCGTTCTTTGTACTGTTCATAGCTCTTTGCCTAAAGGAAGGTGAGTTGAGCATCTTTTATTAATGTCATTATTAATACTATTTCCCTTGACAAGTTATATTAATTTCCTACTGCTCTTGCTATCTACTAGTGGTGAACGCGCCATGAGATTTGAAGAAAACCGCTGCTTTGAATGTGGTCAGCCAGGTCATATGGCCCGTGATTGCCCGTAAGTGTAGAATATGTAAGGGGAACGAAAGCTGCTATGGAATTTTTGTTTAATATGTCCCTTCTTTTCTTTTTCCCTACCCCTCAGTGACCGTGGCGGCAATGCTGCCAGCAGCGGAGGAAGAAGAGGACGTTCTCGTTCCCCTCGTTCGCGCAGTCCTGCCCGACACTCGAGAAGATACTCTGGTGAACGCGAAGACCGTAGCCGCTATGGCCCGGATGAAGATCGATATGATGACAATTTTAGATAATTTAGTTGCTCAACGATCAGTATCTTTTCTCTCACAAAAAAAAAAAAGAGTCTGTTGTTGTCACTCACTCATCAGCTTTAACTTTTGTGTTTATACTCTCACCCACTCTCCTGCGCATGCCATATCTTCTTTTTTTTTTTTTATAAAAAAAAGGATTCAACAAGAAAAACAAACCCCATCTTCTATGCTGTAATGATACTTTTACTGGATTTGCAGTAGTTTGCTGTCCCAACAGATGATAGTGCAATGCATCCTCTATTCTGTAAAAGGAGTATATGCTGCTACATGTTAGCGGAGCCATGCATATCCTGTACGTGTGTTGATTTCGAGCGAGTACTCAGAACTTCTCTTTTGACAAGGTCTTTCAGCCTGTGACCAAGATGGACGCCTTGCGAAATGATAAACAAAATTCATATTTGACATCTCATCCATAATCATGATTTTTGAGGACAAAACTAATCCTAGCCAATTTTTTTACATGGATATATGCTTTACTACAGCTGCTGATGAACTCGATTTGGAGAATAAAAACCTTAAGCCCTGTCTGTACCTTTCATTTGAAAGATACTGTACCATCATCAAGACGCAAGCAGAAAAAAGCAACCCGAATATGGACGCGTGCGCACACCAATACTACGACAGGCGCCGTCGACAACCAGACATGGTTTTATGCCTTAAATTAGGTTGAGACAAAATAAAGGCATGACGGCACACTTGCTCCGTTCTTATCATCATCAACCTTCTAAAGGAGAAGTTTGTGCCCGGTTGTCTCTGGATTTATAATTTGCATAAGCTTAGCATCTCTCTCATCTGCATAATAAACGCGTTGGATTCATTAATATATTGTATATATCGCTTCTCTTGATATAAATCAACCGTGCACCAAAGAAAGGGAAAGGGGGGGTGGGAACATTTACTATGGATGACTTTCGTCTTTGCTTCAAGGTGCGCTATCATCCTTTATGACATAATGGTACGGGCTATCGAGTCGGACCAAACAAAAAAAAAGGTTGTGTGATTCCGACAAGCTTTCTTTTATGCCGCTCAAACTACTTTGGGTACCTGCGCTTGCCCTTCTTTTCGTCTACTTGTACACTACTACCACTACCACAACTATTACAGCTCATTCAACCACCTCCTCTGTTGAGACATTTCCAATGACGAATTCACAGTTCCAACTCATTCTTCGTCAAGGCATCACTGGTGGATTCGCGGGCCCTACTGTCCGGTACGTCGTTGATAGAGAAGCCAAGAAGATAAAGAAGCCCAAGGAAAGGAGTGTGTGGGAACGTAATCTTTAAAGATCTGAGTTGTTTTTTTTTTCCACTCGATGGCGTGTCAATGCAGTAAAGTGATTGAAATCAAAGGCGACAGCAGCTCCGGAGCAACGCTTCTCCATGCCAACCTGCAACCTGGCACCAAAAACGACTATGTGACTCAATCGGGCGTTGTGCCCACGTAAGCCCTAACCTCCCCAGAACAACGAAGCATGTTTCCCTCGGGGAACCCACCCCTTCTCTTTCCTTACTCCACCTTTCTCCCGAAGAGGAGAGAGAAGGTATCTTTAATCTTCTTGAATGTGATCCACGGCACTAATACATACATGCATATGATTACAACAGTGAGAATATATCGCTCTTATTGTCAACTGTAAAAGAAGAACTTCAGAGCTTGCCTACGGAGGATCCAGTTGGAAGCGAAGATATCTATGGGTTAGACACGTCGATCCTGTTCTTTGCAGACGGCTTTCAATGGGGCAACGGTATGTAAACGTGAGAAGAAAAGTTCCCGTCTCTTTCTCTTTCTCTCCTAATGCTTCATAATTGATGCCACGGGTTTCTTTTTTCTAACCATTGTATATGCTATTTATGGGGCTGAAGGTGGACGGGAAGGATGCACGGGTGGAACTTCCACGCAGCAGACAACTCCAGAGCAAAGAAAGACATTTGCGGCACTGGTTGATTTAATCAGTGCATTCGGTGTTCAGTACGCTACAACTGCAGAGTAACAACAACATTTAATAGCTCTAAAAAATAAAGAAACAAGCTGTCGATTCTTTTAAGCATCGCTACTAGCTACTAGTGGATGGAACAGTGCCCAGTAGCCTCATTTCTGACAGTAATCAGAGCGATTTCTTGCTGTGACAGTATCTCTTTCTATCTCCTTCAGAGGCAACCTAGCGTGAGTGTGTCGCGAGGTTGTAAACCATGGCCCACACACGCACACGTTCACATACATCGCTTCCCCCTATTCTACTTTAGCTCGAAAGTCTTTTTTTCTTACTCGGTATCCTCTTTCTTCGTTCCCCTTATTTCTCCAGTTCTTTTGCTTTCTCCTCAATCTCACACACATATACACACACACGTACTCAATCTAAATACATAACACATTTCGTTTTGCCTCACAATGATGAATGGCGACAGTGAAATTGCTGGGCGAATTGCGGCTGCTCGAAGAGAAGCCGAGGCGCTCAAAGAGCGTATCAAGCAGCGCAAGGAAGCTTTGGGAGACACTACGTGTACGCTATTTCTTATTGTCTTGTGTTGTCTCGAAGAAGTATTTACAGTGCGCAACAATGAAAATTAAAAAAGATATATGCCTACAAATCAATTAGTGCAAGAAATGGCCAAAGAAGTCGAAGCACTGCCGCGTATCGTCATGAAAGCACGTAGAACGTTAAAGGGCCATCTGGCAAAAATCTATTCGATGCACTGGGCAACAGATAAGCGACACTTGGTCTCGGCTTCGCAGGACGGCAAATTGATTGTATGGGACGCCTACTCGACCAACAAGGTCCACGCAATTCCTCTGCGATCGAGCTGGGTCATGACCTGCGCATTTGCTCCTTCGGGCAACTTTGTTGCTTGCGGTGGTTTGGACAACATTTGCTCGATTTATAATCTTCGAACTCGCGACGGACCTGTTCGGCCGGCCCGAGAATTGTCTGCGCACACAGGTTATTTGAGCTGCTGCCGCTTTATCAACGACCGCCAGATCTTGACAGCGTCGGGCGATATGACGTGTATGTTGTGGGATATCGATGCCGGTGTCAAGACCGAAGAGTTTTCAGATCATGCTGGCGATGTGATGAGGTATGTTCTCCTCCAAAATACAATGTGGCTCATCTTTGTGTAGTGTGGGGCGAACTACATGTGGGTTTCTGTCAATAGCAGTAGTAGCAGTAGTAGTAATAAGCTCATTACAATTCTTCTTTTGGACAAAACAATATGTAATTAGCTTGTCGCTCGGACCCAGTCCAAATGTTTTCATAACAGGAGCTTGTGACACGACATCCAAGGTGTGGGATATTCGAACGAAACGCTGTGTGCAGACGTTTGTAGGACATGAATCTGACGTCAATGCTGTTCAATTCTTCCCCAACGGCGATGCATTCGCTACTGGATCCGACGACGCCAGCTGTCGGTTGTTTGATTTGCGCGCCGACACGGAACTTTGCACCTATTCGCATGAATCCATTCTCTGTGGTATCACATCCATCGGCTTTTCAGTGTCTGGCCGTCTCTTATTTGGCGGCTATGATGATTATAACTGCAATGTGTGGGATACGCTCAAGGGTGAACGCGTGGGTGTACTGTCTGCACATGAGAACCGGGTGTCGTGCTTGGGCGTTGCCACCGATGGCATGGCGCTCTGCACTGGCAGTTGGGACTCCACGCTGAAGGTAAATGTTGCAGTACTATGTAGTATGATGGTGATGGTGGTGGTAATTAGCATGCTTAACTTACATTCTTTGTTGTTGTTGTTGCTTCACGGATCCATTCTCCCTAACGGAAAATGATTATTTATTACCAGGTTTGGGCGTAACTTCACAGTGTTTGTCATTGCGTATCATCCGGCTTCCTCAACCGATGTTTGAGGCTCATCTTGCTTATGAAAACAGCTTAATGAGCCTATTCTGTATTTTTTTTGCTCCCTTTTAGTTTCTTTGGCTGTGGCCATTTCCATTTATTATCATCATTCCTCATCCTTACATAATATAATCTCTTTCTGATGCTTTCGCCAGTTCCTTTTTCATTATTCATCGTTTTCCATCCTTTTCTTTACGTACACCGCACAGCATATATTCTTTTCATTGGTCACTCTCTATACGTTTTGAGGTCAAAAAGTAAACTTTCCCTTTTAGTCCAGTTTTAAGCTCAAAGAAGAACAATGGTTCTCCTGCCTGATTGTTTGCGTGTGCCAACAACAAAACGAACCTTAGTTAAGTAATGAGGGGATCATTTGGAACCTGCAGAAAAACGGATTGTATGCCTGATCTTGTTGCCGGTCCCCAACTACAATGCATAGATACTATATGTGTGCCATACACAGAGCATATAGCACGCACACGCCCTAGATGGTGTAATAATACATACTGTGGCCTCTTCTTTCACACCACGTAACACGTGCAGCTAGCAGTTGATTGTTCGGTTCCAACCGGCCATCACCAGCATTATCATTGTTTTTTAATTCCAAGTCCATCAGTCAGTACGAGCAGGTCCGATAGAAGATGGTCACTGGATAATGAGTTAATGCCGTGCTGCAGCACACCTGACTTGTATGAAGGGACTTTGTTCCCTATCTTAGTTGAGAGGGGTGTTGGAGGCAGAGCGCGTGCAAAATCTTCAGGGTGAAATCTAACGAGGGGGTGGGGAGACAAGGGAAAGAAGGGGTGGGGTAGAGGGAATATAGGTAGTGGGTGTCTGATCTGAAGGCTGTTGATTTGTGGAGCACAGCAGGCTCCGCGCATGAAAGATTCGAGTATCTCTGCTGTAAATTGTCCATCATACGCTTTTCGCAGCAGCTGAAAGATTCTGGAACCCTGTAGTATATAAAAGCAAACTCGGCGATAATTGTCTTTTCCACTAACTCTTTCTCTCCTCTTTCTCATTCTTTTGTTCCGTTCTCCCAACCTTCCTCATAACAACACAGACTTAACGATGATGATGTTAGCCAGCCGAGCACCACAATTCGCCACCGAAATATATCCTCATTCATCACCGAGCACAAACCTTGCTGCCGACGATTTTTACCATACCTTACAATCGATTCTTGATGAAGAAGAAGAAGAAGACGAGTTTGACGACGAGATCAACCTATCCATTCATAACCGTAACAGATGCAGTAATAAACACAGTAATACCAGTAACAACAGCAGCAGTAACCATTCAGTGACCAGATCCCTCCATGATGCCATCGCTACTACGATCGCCTGTCGAATCGATAAATCTCCGGTGTGGCACAATCGAGGGGTCAAATGTACTGCGTCCATCATCAACGCTGTCGATACCTCCTATGGTGACTCCTGGATTAAGGGATCTGCAAGCATTGCCGCAACCAGAAATTTGCGGTCGGTAGCTGCTAGCAGTAGTAGCAGCACTAGCAGCACTAGCAGTAGTAGTAGCAATAGTGCCTCGGCGACTCGAAGGAGATCGAGCATCCAACTCTCTACCATCACCGAAGAAGAAGAATGAACAACTTACTGCTTTTTTTCTCTTCTGTAATTTTTTCTTTGTTTTGAAAATAAAATTGTTTTAATAACCTTTTTTTTTATTTTTGATATGATTCTTTTTCATCCAAACCGGCAAAACGCACACATAAAATGACATATTAGATCTTGCCAGTGATAAATGGATGGGCTAGGGCTTCCTTGGGTGTCATGCGCTTATCCGGGCTTAACATCAAACACTTGTCCAGAAAATCAATAAACGCCAAAAGGAGCCGACCTTCTTCTTCCGTCACGCCGGCCGAGGAGGCGGCCATAATCCGACCCTTGATGTCACGGGTGGGCTTGACAAGCGTCATTTTCTTGACGAATTCCTGTTCCGAATGTACGTGTATTATATATATGCTCCAATTAGTATTCTCTCCTTTCTTGCTTTTTGTTTAAATACATATATTGGTGCAAGTAAAAGCAGTTTTTACCTTGTTTGACAGTCGGTCAATCTCGACAGAGATAAAGTTATTATCTTCGTCAAAGTGCTGCGATCCGAATTGGCCTTTGCGAACCAACTTGTTCGAAAATCGACCCTTGACCTCCATAATGTGTTTCAGCATTTGATTATTGCTTCTACCAGGGAACAAAATCTTTCCAGTGAACATCTCGTAGAGGGTACATGCTGCAGACCAAACGTCGATTGCATAGTCATACGATAATCCCATGACTAAGATATTACATGTTAAAAATGTGATGGAATGAGTACATGTTTCTTCTTCTTCGTGTGAATCGTTTATCGTGCATGAACGTGAGATACGATTTGGATGACGATGACTTACTGATTTCAGGGGCACGATAGAAACGCGATACCAGGTAGGGAGTTATTTCATTGTCGCTGGCATCAGATGCCGAACCCAGATCGCATAGCTTGAGTATATTCTTCGACTCCGATACTAGAACGTTGTCAGGTTTGATATCGGCATGCAGAATGTTGCAGCGCTTCAACAAAGATAGACTCAAGAACAGCTGCTGAGCATAAACTCTCACCGCCTTTATACTGATACCGACGTCTTTGCCATACTTTTTCAGTACATCGCGTAGATTCATACTAAAGAATAAAAGAAAAGGTTACTTCCCCGCCGATCCTAACATGTAGGTTGTACGTGGTCCACTTCCTCTCCTCTGACTTGGTTTTAATAGATACCTGAGACTTTCGAACACCAAACAAAGATGGTTACGATACTCAAAGTGGCGCAAGAGCCTAATAACATGCTTCTTATTCTCGGGATCCGTTTCCATCAGCTTTTTCAGAAATCCGAGTTCCTTGATCCCTGCTTTGTACCTGTTGATTAAAAAAGAAAAAATTAGGCACTTGCACCATCCTTGTTTACAGCCGCTTGTAAAAAAGGATTTTACTTACATGGTCTCGTTGTTGCGGATGATCTTAATCGCCACTTCTTCGTTCGTCTGCAGATCCTTGGCTTTAACTACAGCACTAAACACGCCGCGACCCAAATTGGACATTGTCTGATAACGGTTATCTAACACTTCGCCAATACGCACATCTGCAAGATTATCCAAAAAGACATTAATAAATCGTACCATTTAGATATTGCGATATCTACAGCGAAAACCCGAGCAATCGTAAGATAAACACTTACTGTAATACCCTTCTGAATCATCCCAGTTATCTAATAAGCTTGGATTGTTGTTGATAGGCACGTTCGCAGCCGTGTTTACAAGTAATGCCTTAGGATCATGAATATCCTCCGTCGAAAACATGTCGAAATCGTCTGCAAACATGTCAATTTCTTTCTTGGGTTGCTGCTGCTGACCGTTCTCTAATTTTTCCGTGTAGTCTGTGGCAGCCATATCTGCTTGACTTGTAACACCCTCAGTGACAGACTCTTGATGATCTTTGCTTTTCAACAACTCCTCCTTGTCGCTAGTCACTTGATCACCAGCACCTTGATGACGATGAGACAGTCGACGACCATCATCTGCAATGCGGTCTTTTGAAGGATCATAATCGGCTGCAGACACAGCATTGGGTGAGTCACTCATAGTAGTATTCCCATCTTGACTCATGGATGATACATCATTCTTCTTATCGCTAGATGACTCGGCAGCCATTCCTACCGTAGATTCCCCATTGTTGCTGCTTTTTGTGAGCTCCACTGATGGTATCTCGCCTATATAGAACATGGTGTTTTTTTACAGTGAGCATTTTTAATGAGTGTTGTTAATGCATTCCCGCACCATCCCTTTTAGACACACTATCAATGGTTATATGCACAAAACGACTCTTACCTTGATCAGGCGTACTGGGGGTTGAAGTGCTTGCTTTGCTGCTAGTACTTGCTTTGTGACGCTCCAAGATCATCCGACGTCGTTTACGCCGCTCTTCAATAAGTCGCTGTTCTTCAAGCTCCTTTTCATGTTCATCTTTGATCTCGAAATCAACTGCTTGGTTATTCTCTTCTATATCTTTCTCATCCTTGGATTCTGACGGCAGGGTTGTACCCTTTTCTGGACTTTTTTGCCTGGTAAAAATACCATCGCAAAAATAACATATTAGTAATAATTACCAAGACCATGAATGACAAAATAAACCAATAATAACTATAAATGACTTACCGCTTTCTATCATTTTGGCTACTCGATGCAGTAGTAGCAGGCTTTGCAGCTTCATCACGCTTGTCCTGTACTGGTCGTTCACCTGCATGACGTGATCTTGAAGAGCTGGAATCACGTCCACCGTCATCGTGTGATGGTCTGCTCCGGCTATGCGATGACGGTCTCGGACTACGGCTATCTTGTCTTCTTCTCTCATCACGAGAGTATCTATCCGAGTATCTGTCGCGCTCATACCGCAATCGCTTATCGCGCGAGCTTGAATGGTTTGAAGATCGATGATAATCCTCTGGCGAAAAGCTCCTTCGGTAATCGCGGTCGCGCTCATGCCTTGATCGGGAACGATGTCTGGGATCAGAACGATACCTGGAGTCAGAACGATATCTTGAATCCGAGGGAGGCCTAGAATCAGGACGGTGTTTGGATTCAGATCGTCGTCTACTGGATGATGACGACGACAGTGGTGAGGTATGATCACGACTGCTCGATCGTCGTCTTGTGCGGCGTGCTAAGCGTTCATATTCTTCAAATGGGTCATCGTCGCCTGGAACCTCGCCTGGACGAGTTCTTTTACGAGGCGTTGGCGAACGGCTCCGTTTGTCGCTGGTGCTCCCTTCTTCGCCGTTAACAGAAAGGGCGTTCACTATAGAGAGCAATCAATAAAAAACCAACAGCATCATTGTCAATAAACTGAATGACAGAAATGTGTCCATATCGAAAATACTTACAGCCGCTTTTTCCCTTCAAAGAAATCTCGTCCGATTTGGAGTAACTGTTCGTTTTATTATCCTTGTTTTCCTTTACAATTTGAACATCCTCAATGTTGTCTTTCACGGAAGAAGAACCACTAGATGCAGGCTCGACCGTAGAACTTGACGACTTGGTTGTGGATGCAGCTTGCGACTCGTCATTTATTTCGCCTTCTTCGACATCAGAAAGTCGATCAGTCGTTGGTTTGCTAGAATCAAATGACATGGAAAAAAAAGCAAAGCAAAAAAGAGTTATGCGATGAGAAACAGTTGAATGACTTCCGGGACTGTATGGGAATGTGTTATATAAATGCGTTTTAAAAAAACCTCTTTTGATTTCGAAAAAAAAGGGTTGGGGTTTTTTGAGTGGTTTTTGTGTGTGATGTGGACGCAAAAAGCGAGTTTAAAGAAGTCAATCAAGCACTAGTTTTGGCCGGTCGACTGCGGACATTTATATACTACATAGACATCGCAAATTGAAACATAGACATCGATATTCGAAATGCTCACAATACTGTTGACCATGCTGTAAGATAACTGAACGTATTGTATGCTGTTACTAATAGAGAGCTAATGGTAAAGGAGATATAGTGGATATTTATTATAAATTATATTTACAGCAATATAAAGAACAAAGTATGTAAATCTATTATTTATTTTAGGGCTTGTATACGAAATACAGATCTTCCTTGTCGGTGAGATCCAGCTCTTCACGGTTCTTTGGTGGAGGAGGAATACTGCCTTCTTGTAAAAGCTGCGCTCTGCGCTTGTTCTCTCTGATGTATGCCCAGCGGATGTAGCCGAACAGTAAAATGCACAAGAAATCCGCGACAGCGTAACCAGCGTTGCCTGGGATATAGCGAGGTCCAGTTGACTCATCCATCATCAATGGACCGATAAAATTACCAATACTATAGTTTGGTCTGAAGTTTTAATATATAGACTCTCGTAAAAAAAGTTCTTGAAAGTATGCTTACCAGTAGGCCACCAAGTTGGCTGATGTGTAAAAGATTTTTTTGGTATAACCCGAAACATTGTTGGAAATGGAAGCTTGCATGAGGGTGTAAAGTGGTGTTGTAGCCGAAATCAGCAGGCCAGCCAGTTGGGCGGGTCCTGGTGGGATAGCAGCGAGCAAAATGACGGCTACCATGGAAATTGCAGAGAATATCATGCCAACATATGCAAGTTCGTCGAACCGGCGACTAAAAAAGGAGCTACCAACCAGTAGTACGATCGTAGCGGCGCCGTGCGGGATACCCATCAGAATTGTGTTTAATTGCTGCAATATATGAATTAGGATAGGGCACCTTATTAGATTAGAAACCAAGGCTCTGAACTTATAAGTAATACGAGAATGTAAACATGGAACGCAGCCTTACCGAGAAACCCATCTGTTGAGTAATTTGCTGGCTAAACAGTGTAACTGCACCATTCTGCAAGTTGAGGAAAAGCGACATCAAGAAGTAGCAGTATAAACGAGGTTCGCGTAAGGCTTCATAAATATGTTCTTTTTTGATATCCTTGTTTTGCACAGATGCGTTGTCTTTGGTGCGAGCATCGACAATCTTTTCTTCTTCAGGAGTAAGGAAAAACCAGCGCGACTTGGGTTTGTCAGCCAAAAAGAAAAAGTATAGTACTCCAGCAACAACGGTGAGACAGCCCCAGATGATGAATTGCCATTTCCAGGAGCTCATTCCCTTGAGACCGTGCATGTAAGCTACACCATAGGCGACGAGACCTCCAAATGCTCCGCACAAGGCATTGCACATGAACATAAAAGAGTACCAGACAATTTGCTCAGATCGACGATACATTGTGGCAATGAGCAGGAACATACTAACATAATACATAGCAATTTTATATATAAGGGCATGATGAGTATCTTGTTGTGTATGTTGCGAAAAGATAAGGTAAAGCAAAAGAAAAGAATGAGTTACTCACGCTGGATATGTAGTACCCCTGTTAGTATTGGAAAAAAACAGGAAGTAGTAAGATAGAATTCAACGATCGATTAGCAATAGCCAGCAAGAAGAGATTTATTTTCTTGTGTATATAATCAACTTACTCAAAGAATCCCAACAGGAAACGCAATCCTGCCAGCTGTGCAAAATTATGCGCCAAAGCAGTGAGAGCAAGAGAAATGCCCCAAACAACAAAAATGGTACCAAGGTATTTGGAGATCGGTAGCCGCTGTAGACAATACTGGTTTGGGATCTGCACAACTAAATAACCCACATAGAACACACTACCAAGCCAAGCAAACTGGTTATGAGAGATGCCTTTTGATTATAATAGAAGTTAACAGCCAAAACAATTTAGTATAATGTACGTATGAGTATGCAGAAAAGATATAGAGAATATGTAAGGGGAATGGACAAAGTGCTTTGTTTTACCTGTATCTTCATAGATGCCCATGATGCCAGCATAACCAAGTGTCGATTTATCCATGAACTACAGTAAGTGATAATAAAGAAACGCTTATAAATTTAGTGCTCAAACCATAGTACTAACAGAAATGTACATCTATATATTCAAATCGTGTCAAGTGCGCACCTGGATAAACAAGGCAAGACCGACGAGAGGCATGAAGATTCTATTGATTTTGCGCACGAGTTTGACTTCTTCTGGGGATTTCACGAATGTAGCTTCATTCTGCACAGTTCCTTTTTCGAGTGAAGACGCTATGCTTGTTGATTCGACTTTTTCTGTAAACGAGTAAGTTTCTGCTGCTGCTGTCTTTTCGCTGAGTGATTGAGACATTTCTGGCTTATGAGATTTACTAGACGGTGGTATTTATAAATGTGTATGAGAGGTAGCAGCAGAGGAGACGGTATAATAGTAAGTGTAGGATTTCTCTGCTTCAATGTTTGATCTAATGACAAGCAGTTGAACGATCCAGCCTTTATATACAGGCTCACACTCAGCAGCTTCATATGAGAATGGTGTGTAAGCCATGGTCACGAGAAAGCTGAAAAAGATATCGTTTATCTCTCACGATGGCGGACGCTGGGAAAGCATGTTCTCAACTATCTTATACCGATTGGGAGGTTGTATGCCCTCATTTTTATTGATAAGGGGTGGGATTTTATCTAATGCAAGAGAAGGAATTTCCTTTTCCTTCTGATTCGCGTGTTCTATCTTTCTTTCCCAGTAGAGATTGTAGACAAATCAAAGTTTGATATGCCTTTTCCCGTTACATGAATTGTATACAGTAATCATACACATCGTTATCTTTCTTTTTGGGTGCTGTCAAATATACACACCCCTTGCATTAAGTGGCAGCCAAAGTGTAGTACTCGGTTACCATAAGGTGATATACGCTTCAAAATGAAGAAAAGCCAGCAGGAAAAGAAAAAGACTCCACTCGGTTTGTCGCTGTTATCTAGTTTTTCACTCTTATGTACTGTGTCGCCTTTGTACATCGTCACTTGGCGCACTTTTCCTATTCTCTTTTGGTTATTGCTATAAAGTATACGTATTTTTTATAGGTATGTTTAGAGTTTTACACGGTGGAAGGGGACTTATCTCCACCGTGTTCGGTCGCAAAAAAAAACTTCTTGTATCCAAGCTTAATCTTTTTAGATATGCTGGCAGTGACTTTTAAACTCGTGGGTACATAGCCAGAGAGGAAAGGTTCACACACCTCGTAAGAAAGATCGCGTTAGAGAACAATAGAGTGGCAGTATAAGTAAAAGCATAATAAACATAATGAAGGCAGGGTTTCAAGCAAGGAATACTCCGTTGGCTGTCAAGAAGCTGCGTTTGAATGACCATCAAACTGATGAAAATCATCATGCCTTCGTTCATGAAGGAAAAAGCACTTTATTGGACAGCTAAAGAAAAGCGGACCATTTCTTAGTGTATAATAACATGCAAAACAATGCGGAATTCGATATTCGCCGTATCTCTTTCAGATGTTATTCTACATATCAGCGATCCACTATTATATGACTATCATCAGTCGACAAACTATCTTTTGCTGTTCGACTTGGTTGCATTTTTCCGTGAGGTACAAGATTACGCTAGCGAATTCTGCTTACAAGAGTTCATATCCAGTAAGCCAGTTAATTGGTGTAATCGAAGATCAAAAGAAGATGTTCTTTCGGGAAAAATCGCATTTTCGAGAGTTTTCCGATCAGCGTTGAGCGATGCACTCTGTCCGTCGATTTTATGGCACAGCAAACAACGATGAACCACCCCACCCCCATTTCAATGGAAATAGATGATATACATTCCGTCGTCACTTTATTTTAGGTGAGAGCTCAATCATGAGGAAACGATGATACTTGAACATGGACACCTTTAAATGTGAGTTCCTCGACTATAGTCTGGCAAAAAGGATGAGAAAAGCAAGTTTTCCATTACTGTACTTATCGTTCATACAATGCTAATTACATGCTGGATGCAGCAGCAGTTTTTCTTAACACATACCGATCCTCGGAAGACACACAATGAACCACTGGACACATTACGCAGAAGAGTGGTACCACATCTGCTTTTTTTTGGTGGGGGGGGGTTTAATTCTTCAAGATAAGGGTACACCATAGACTATACTATACAACACCCCCAAACGTAGTATAATCTCAGCATTTAAGACAGTTATATCTCTAATATCTTTTCGTGTTAAAAGATAAAGGTGTTATACGATGTTCTAACTTAATTTCTCGACAGACTTTCAGCATGATACAACACCGTATCATAAAGCGATGTCTTATAATTGTTCATGGAGAACAACCAACAGTACCGTGACTTCAAAATACAGATGAATTACACTTGTGATATGTCGTCTCTGGGAAAAAAGGCTCTTCATAAGAGGAAAAGTGATTGGTAGATGGATGAATGCAGTTGCGTCTGGCCTCTAACTATATTTCGTTACGTAATAATAAACATCGCCTATGCTAAGTCTTTATTTGTTGCCTCAATTTTTTACTCACCATTTACTTAATTTTATAGCCATGTCCATGGGCTTCAACCTTTGCTTGATCACTGAACATGGCTGACATTTGATACATACATGGTAGATGACAGAAACACACTATAAGTCATGTATACAGGGTTTATATGAGTATGGAATTATAAAAAAGACGAGATTAGTTTTTCTTGCTGTTGGTGGTGGATGGAGTCCGTGTATAAGCGTTACTTTCCGAGAGAAGAGAAAAATAAGCGAAAGAATGTACAGCCAGACCCTCGTTAATTTCAGAGCATAGTTTCCCAGATTTCGTGTGGAAACACTGAGGGCTGAAATAAAGATAACTAACGGATGTGAAATAGATACGGGTTGACTCTACGTGTCAAAATGATATGGTTACTTTTCATCGAAATGTTACAGTACAGGCGTGTATGGGCTACATGAGACACTCTTATTGAAAACTTTGTACCTTCTTGATGATAATAAATTCATTTGGAGAAAGGACTACTGCCGTTTAACGGCCTAATCAACCACATTTTGTTATCTCCCTGAGCTCACATTTTTCCGGCCATACTGAACAGGAACAATATCATAATGCTCTTCGTCCTAAATCTTTTTTTACATTGATTTTTCAGCTTGTAGTATATCATTTCTTTTATGAATTTCTGACATTGACATGTGCATGCCGTCATGTTTACTTCTTAGCCTCTGTTCCCCCAGAAAATTGTCTGCTTTCTAACCGGGGGGCTGTATGGGTATCTCCATCATCATGTCTCGTACAGGCTTATACATATCTCCCTCTAATCAAATTTTCGCTGTAAAGCATTATCCAATTTAAGGCCGTTATTTGAAATTATTTAATCGATTGTTGATTGTATGAACACGCAGACCAGCTGCTATATTTTAATACAGTATCATAATTTTTGTTAAGTAGTAGAGCTGATGGAAATAATATGATGAATAATGGGTATGTTATACTACACTAAAGTCTGTTTCGTAAATAGGTAGAATAAAAATTAAGGGCAGAAGGTAACAGTGTACTCGTTGGCCTTACAACCATAAGTGCTCTTGGCATCGTCGTACGCATAGCTGTAAGCATCAGGACAACCAGCCTTGAAAACATCCGCGTATTTACTAGCCTTGCACTTCTTGGGATCGTTGTAGTCGCCAGTGCAGCAGTATTCATCAGTACCAAAAGCAGCACAGGCACTCTTGCAGGCACCATTTTCGGCCTGAAGGTCCTTAGGGCACGAAGGTAAAGACGAACAGGTAGGAGCACCGCAGTCGTAACCATCACCAGACTTTCCATTGGGCTTAATGCTCATGGGGATGTTGAAACCGTCGACAAATGAGATATCGTAAAAGTCACTACCTTCGTAGCCCTTGAACAAGAATTCGGCAAGAGAAACAGCAGAGCCATATTGGTCGCAGTTGGATTCACCATCACGGCAGCCCCAGAAACGACCAGCCCAGTTGGAGTCGATCTTGAAATCGTAGGAAGAACCAGCAGAAACATCTTGAGATTCCTTGGCACCACCACCGTTGGTAAGCTTGTATATGTGCAAATTTTTGCTGCAGCTGTTCTTGATGGTAACGGTGACATCGCCGCTAGAGGAAGATGCAGGAGCAGCCAAGGTAGCACCAGCGAGAGCAAGGAGGGACACGGTCTTGATGATGTTCAGCATTATCGTAGTTGGTGAGCAGAATATGAAAAATATGTGATAGTAATAGTGAAGGAGAATGTAGAAGTTGTCTCTTTTATACCTTCTAACTTTGCCCACAACCGCCCGTTGTTCCGTCGGAGGCACGTCAACGGTGCCTGATAAAGGTACAGATTGCCTATTGTGTGATGCTGCTCTTCCTTGAAGTCAGTGAAACATGCATGGTTTCATAGCCATAAGTTCTAGATATCCAATTTTTTTTTGCTGGTGAACTGTTTACAATAATCAAACGTACAAGAGGTAGAAGTAGCAACGTCACTGTCATTCAACACGATTGATGCAAGAAAACGCGGATAAGAGCATTAAGTTTACGTCAATGCAGCACTATACTCCTCTATGGCTAAGCCGGATATAACTAGCTCCTCGTTCTGTTTTCCGCTTGAGGTCTAGACAGTTCCCAACAAGAGGCGGCGACCAGAAGTCTCAAAACTGTTTCACTGTTTCTTAAAGATAATCTTCATACGGTGTATCTGCGTGTCTATCGGTAGAGTCCAGGTCGATCACTGAGAGTGACCCGCGCCTCCAAGGAGCCAGTCACGTCGTCTGGAAATAAGGAGTTATTTTGAAACAAACAGATATATGTTTGAAGAAGACGGGATCGTTTCTTTTAAAACTGATCTACCAGTTCGTTGACAAGCAATGTACTGTCTGCTTTGAGACAAAAATGGCAACGTAGATCATCACTTATCTGTCGTGTTAGACAAACAAAGTTATTATGGGTTACTCAGCGCAATTCGTCACACGGCTTCCCCGCTTACATATCGCGACGCTGTAGTAAAGGAAGCTGCCATCCCATATCTTCCCAGAAATAAACAGAAAATTGTCCATAAAAGGATAATAAAGGACCAGGAGCAGCAGCGCCGGTTCTCAGTGTTTCTGCTGGGATTTGATCGGTAATATATATATCAATTGGAAGATCAGCTTGCACACCCACATGGTGTACCTGTGTACTGCGAGCTAAACATATATCTCGGGTTGTCAACAGCGTAAAATAATAGCTTGCATAAGATGTTGTGTGCGGTGTGTCAAAAATGCATGATCACATGAGTATGCAACTGGAAGAGAGCAGTAACTCGCAATTGAAACTCATTGAAGAGACCGATAGCTGATGTTAGATACATACTCTTACTAAATTATGCAGTTGGCAGAAGTTGAGAACAGAATAAAGGGTACATTTTATGTAATAGCATGTAAGATAGATATACAGGAAAGAGAGAGAAAATGGTTGAAAGTGGGAGTGTTGCATAGTGCGTGTGTGTATGTGTGTGGGAAGAGGATAGGCCTCGGTCGTAGCGTGCGTAGTAATGTTATGTTGATTTCTCTACTTCGACGAGGATTTACTAGGGGCAGGCGACGGAGAGCGAGAACGGCGACCATATCTTTCAATAAGTGAGAGACGATTGAATTTTTTATCCACAGCACGTGTCTGTTGCTCTTCATCACTACTCGAGGATTCGCTTGTGTTGCTGCCTCCCAATCGCTTCAATCCAAATCTACCCTTCTTGCCCTTATACTTTTTGATTTTGTCATCGGGACGAACGACAGCAACTGGCACAGGCGAGTGTTGGAGACAGTACTTGGAGACGCTTCCCAAGAGCATGCCCTTGAATTCGGACAAACCACGTGTGCCAACAATTAAAAGCGAGGGCTGATACATCGAAATCTGCGGTTATTATTACAGACAAAGAAAGATTAGTCCTTGTTGTCGCATTTGAATGACTTCTTTTCCCTCTTTCCATTCCAAACTTAAGGCCACCGTTCTTCAAACCTACCATGTGCTGGATGGTCTCTTGGACTTTGCCAATGACAAACTCGATAATAACACTGATCTATAATTATCATTAACGTAACGTGAGAATTCGCTCAACAAAAGAAGTAACAAGATATCCAATGATATGCAAGTTACGTATGATACCTTTTTATCAGGGCCACTGTTAGTCATGATCTTTTCCATCACTTTATGAGCGTTTTCCCTCGACTGCTGCTCCTCATGTTGTAGGAGTGCTTGCAAGTTCGATCTTTTATCTGATTGGGAGCAGAAAGACAAAGAGAAGTTTCAGCATATGCACTCTTTCTCTTTATGAGCTTCTTAACAAATCCTTTTAGCCTTTTCCTTAACCGAGAAATAGGTTGAAAGCTGTTATTACCGTTCATATCCACCGTCACTACACGTAATACAATGATTTCATCGCCGTCATCCATGACTTCCTATATAATTAGAAGAAGCCCGCACCGTTATGAGTATTTTTCCAATCTGCAACGCTAAAGTACAATTTCTCGGGAACAAACGTTACATTGCTCGCCCAAGTCAAAGCGTATTCACTGTAGTTGGCGAGGTCGGTGGCAACCATGAATGTACGAGTTCGGCGTGTCCGCTTATGGCCGGGCGTCTTGCCTCGTAAAGTAAACGAGTAATCCGGCAAGTCCTTATCGGTCATTGTGTCAAACGACACACCTCGGACATACTTTTCGGATTTAACTTCTGGAGTAGTGGCCATATATGTATGTGTCAATAAGAAGGTGGTAGTAGAAGAAACCGAGAGAGGAAGGGGAATAAGCAGAACCAAGAAAAAAATACGAACAGACTCTGCGCAATGCAAAAAGACTGGGTCTGATTCTCCGGTCTATTAACCAGAGTTGGGAACAAAGACCCACGCGATGTCTCTTTTTGTTTGAAATCATGCATCCATCCAATCATATTACTTGTGTGCTTGAGATTACCTATTTCATGCTGCTGCTGCTGCTGCTTATGTAGCTTTGTACAGTACCTCCAAGGAGATATGTTAGTGTAGCACTGATGCTGCTAGGTGCAGCTGCCATAGTGGATGGCTACAAACAAGGTAAAAACCAGCGTAATATGACGCAAATGTATTAGCCACGCCATGTTATTATGATGGACAAAATTACAACGCATTTTTAAATTCTTTTCAAGCGGATATTTGTTGTCTTCTTTTCTTTTCTTTTTCTCTTCTTCTCAAAAAAACCCCCTTTTAACGCATGCCAGAAACTCGTTTCCAACGGTGGTTACGATCATCTACTTCGCGTTTATCCACACACCATCATCATCAGCAACATCAAAGTCAACAGCAGTGGCAGCAACAACAGCATCCAAGACGGAATATATTTGGGGATATTAACTCGTTAACCAAATGGTTAATGTTTCTGCAAAGCTTTTTCCAGCAAGTGTGTATAACTTATTCGTTTAAAAAGAGATGTACGTCACGTTTTTCAATGTGTAGGTGTTGACTTTTAATATACGATATGATAGATCACTGCTTATCACTGTCTATACAAGTCCATAAGAGATATCGGTAGCGGTAAGACAATTCCTTCCATGGGGATTTGATGGTGCCAAGGTTTTGTGATGCCCTAGTAACAAATATGCATAATTTAGATCGAGGGGAAAACGCTTCAAATTCTGAAAACATTTTCCACATACTAGTCTGCTCTGTGATTTTAGTTTCATTAATAGTTGATGTAGTTGCAGTAACTTCGGTAAAGATATTTAGCTTCCTTTTTACTCTTATCTAAGCAACAATGTGCGTCACTCACTAACATATCATTTGTTACTAGAACAAGCTTCCAGTTGCAGATGCACGTCATTGGCCAGTTGGCATTTACTTTTTTGTTCTATCGTTTCTTGATCAACTCCTCAAAGCGATGAATATATTTATTTACGGCGCAAGGCTTCAAAAAGAGTGCGGCGACCGGATTCTAGGTCCACATCTGGGTGGTAATATTCCGTCAGATCATTTTATATATGCGTTTTGCAACATGAGGCGAGAAGTTACACAGATATGGGGCATACTCGGATTTTTCGTTCAGTTCCTGATGTGTGTAAGTGCTGGTTAATTATAAAACTTGTTGAAAACATGTAATTTGAATATAACGTCGTCTTTTTTTACATTTTCTTTCCAGATTATGTATACAACAACCGCCAGCTTTTATGCAGCACACCGGGTTTCGTTGCTCACTCGACAACAGCAAGAGCAACAACAACAACATCAACAACAGCAGCAGCACCATCCAAACGATAATATACCCTTATATACTGTTCCTGATTCTCTTGTAGAAAGTAGAGGTCAGCCGCCACCACCAGCATCATCATCATCACCTAGTGCAAACACACCAAATGTCGCAGCTCCACCCTATTCGAATGTGGATGAGCTACGGAATTTACCATAGACTGTTAATGATAAGATAGTCTTGTTAAAAAAACAAAAGAGATTGTTCCGTATGGTACTTTTCAATTGTAAAATTATTTTCCTTTTTATACATGTATTAACATTACCGCCTTCGATCACGTCGGTCTCTTGGAGAGCCGGATCTTGATCGACGTCTATCTCTACCACTACTATTACGATGATGATCTCTGCTGTCACGGTAACCCCTGTCATGGTATCTTGACCGATCTAACGAAGATCTGTGTCGGTCATCAGATCGTCGATCTGATCGACCATCTCGATATCTGTCATCGCCTCTACCTCGATCCTTGTCATCATTCTCCCGACGATGACGGCTATCATCATCACGGTCTTGTTTCTTTCTGCGGTCATGTTCAAAAACCAAGTCATAATCGTCACCACGATTCCGTCCTTCACCTTCACGATAACGCGTTTTCTTTTCCAATTTTTCAAATCCACCTAGCGCTTCGCCGTTGCCTCGGAAACGAGACGATAACCAATCTTTATGTAACTTGGATACCGATTGAGAAAAATCCACGTGAATACGACGATCATCAATCAGCACAGACTGCATTTTAAAGTAGGCCTAATTGATTGTCACATATATAAGCGTCAGTCTCTTGCAAACTTATACCCTACCGCTTATACCTGCCAAATGCTTTTCTCTCCACGAAATACATCCGTTATTTCCCTTTTAGCAGTTAATAAGCTCTTACCTCTTCTGCGTCGTCCTTGTTCTCATATTCAATAAATGCATATGAGAGCGAATCACCAGTCTGGCGATCGCGAATGATTTCACAGCTAGAGATCCGACCAAACCGTGAAAAAATCAACTCGAGGTCCTCGTCTCGTGTCACTGGGTTCAACTTGCATACAAAAAGCACATTCTCTGGCGGCTTGACTTCTGCAAACGGTAGATCGCCCACCATTTCCAACGTCAATGCCTGTGCCTTTGCCTCACGTGCCAGCCGCCGCTTTTCAATCTCTTCCGGATCGCCTTGTTCTTCAATATCCTCGTCTTCACCAATGCGCATATTCTCCAGCTGTTCTTTGGTCGGTACCGGCGATGCATCCGGTACTTGCAACCCATCTGGATCCGGGAACGGGTCATCGAGAACAACTGTGTGTCGTATACGGATATCACGGAACGGTCGACCTTGTTGATCACAATAAGCTTCGTTCATTTTGTCCAGCGTGTCGAACCCTTCGGCCACTTCGCCAAATACGGTATATTTGCCATCCAAGTAATCGAGATTGTCGCCCAACGTAATGAAGAATTGGCTTCCACTGACACCTCCGCTTTCAATGGATGCATCCTGTGCCACGGCCATGGACACAGTGCCACGCGACTTATGTTTTAGTTTTGGATTGATCTCTGCAGGGAAATATTTTTGTTGGCCGAGGATTCCGTATACCGATTCGCTTTGATCGCCCTTGCCAGTTGGATCGCCTGTTTGTGCCATAAAGTCTTTTTGTACATTATGAAAGGGCGAGAAGTTGTAGTACTTGATCTTGCACAGTTTGAGAAAATTGAGTGTGGTTTTGGGACATTCTTCTGTATACAGATCAATGACAATATCGCCTAGCGAGGTTTCTAGTAACACAGACTGATGATGGTTGTAGTTGTGGTAGTAGGTAGTAGTCAGATCTTTATTAGTTATCAAGTCCAAATAGTCATGTTTATTTTAATTAAAAGCAGGGTGAGATCTGTTTCTTTACATACCATTTCGCAGGACGGCTGGAGCTGAACTGGGTAAACGACAGCAACCAGTATATGGGGATATATCAAAGTGAATCTGGCATCAATTACACGTCACACAAAGTAAAAATGGCGTTGGGAACGGATAGCATCCTTGAAGGCTATTGTGTGGCCCAAAAGCGTGAGAGGAATTAGAAAGGACATTGGCAGCCATCACAATAATGTAAAAAGAGCTAGAGACAAGCTTAGCGTCAAAGTAGCTGCAGTTACGCCTTTTGCTTGTATGAAATAAGCTTGATTTTTTGAATGGAAAAGAAATACTGCTATTTTAAATATAGCATTCAAGCCGGGCGTTCCTGACTGACAATCCTCGTCGCATGATCCGAGTGCCCCGCTGCTTTTTAATCAAGCCGGCCGGGGTCGACCTGACTAAACAGCTTTTTTCTTTCTCACACCAAAAGCACCACCACTTACGCATACCAAGAAAAGGGTTTCTGCATACAAGACACAGAACATTCCCTTTTTTATTGCATAGCTGACAACAACAACAACAAAAACCACCCTTTCGTCATCATATACAAGGGCACTTACCCTTATCGATCACTGTCACAACTACTACACACCGCCATGACAACCCAGCCCTCCAAGAAACGAAGCTTGTCGCCCTCGCTCGTGGAATCTAGTTCTACTGCTGCTGTTGCTGCTGCTCAGCCTCCAAGTCCAAAACGAGCGCGCGCAAACAACAATGACAACAATGACTTACTGACAGAATTGACACAAGTTTTGGCCGAGATCAAGTCAACACCGTCGTCAGGTGAAATCAGTGCCGAACTGCTCGAAACATTCAAGTTACTCATGTTGCAAATCGAGCGATTATCGGCGGATGAAACAAACACAGAGGCTGTACAAATGAAACATGAAAGTGAAAGGTGTTTGGAATCTTGGTTCGATGACCTGCTTGCACGTTGTGAAGCAGACGGTGAACTGGACCTCGAAACACTCGAAGAACAGCTGGCTACTGCCGGTTATGATGATGATGATGATGATGGCGAGGATGATATGGAGGCTGCATTGAGCTTAGCTCTTGCTTTGGAGGAGGAAGAGGCAGAAGAGGAAGAGGCACATGGAGTAGAAGAACACAAGCGACAAGAACATCAACAGTGTGGTGATGATGAAGAGGAAGAGGTGGTAGTGGTGGATGAAGGGGCTGAAGAAGGACGTAGTCCAGCTATTCAACAAGTCATTGCCTAGAAAAAGAAGGCTTAAGGCTCTTTCTTTCTTTCATCTTTCTGTCATGCACGATCCCGCTCTTTCCTTCTCCCATTCAGTCTATATCCACGCGCAAAACCACCCACCCTTTTGTCCTTATGCTTCGCCTCCTCCTATGTACATAGTATGACCAAATCACCAACATTATCACAAACAACGATATACAGAATTATGCCCTCTTATCATCGTGCTCGACGCGCAATAAACAACACCGTAACGCCTGGTAAACCCGCCCCCTAAATCGGCAAGGAAAAGGACGATACAACGATCAATACATGCGACAAATGGGAGAGGAATGGGGGTATAAAAGTTTCGTTGGGTTACGCCCTACTGAAAGGAATTATCGGCTTGGCTTACAGAAAGACAAACCAAGTAACCAGGATGGTACGTATTGTCTGACACGTATTCAACAACTTTATACATAAAACCTTTTTCAGTTTAATTTGTTCTTCAGTGTTCTTTAGGACGGAGTACATGCATATGTGGCGGGTAATTATGGCTCCGTTTACACAAATGCTGTTAAAACGTCTTAATCGGCGAAAGTGGCAAGAAACATATGGGTACAGCATCCATATGTAAGGAAACGGTGAGGGAGACACCCACTTCGGCAATTCCTGGATAGTTAAGCGCTGAATGACAACATCTCCTGTCTCAACCCTTGATGACTTCCGCCACGCAGGATGCCATGGACGCGGATAAATGACGCGAGATATAAGCGAAGGATACATATGCACTGATGTTGTTACACTAACTTCGAGGGCGAAAAAAAAGCTGAGGTAATGGTACGCATGCATTATTGTCAGTTTTTGTACTGACATGCGCAGCTGGTGGTAAAATATAAGAGGTTCAGCTGTGGCTAGTTTCGGATCCTATTACTGCTAACTCAAAACAGTTCAGAAAAGAGGTTCGATCGCAAGAGGACTCGGCAATCGGGCTGACGGCAAAATCCGTGGAGCACAGAGTTTAGAAGTTCAGCTCAGCCCATATGTCATGTATGAGAGTGTGACAGTTGAAGCCACTTAATTTATTCTCGTATACAGGATTTTTCCTCAACTTCGCGCTGTGTTCTTTGGCGTGTGATGCACTTTTTATTAGGCGCTTAGTTTTTTCCAATGGCGGCTGAAACTTTCGGTGTGGCGCCAAGCACTTCATGATTTGCCCTCTAAATATTATGGCGCCCATTGTTTTTTATTAGGTGGTTGACAACCCACTTTTTATATAATAGAATACTGCACTATGAAAGTTCAGGGAAGCAACAAAAGTATCTTAATGGCATTAACTTATTAAAAAGCATCGCTGACTTTCTTTACCAATAAACCTGTCAAGAAATCACCTTTTTATATAAGCAGCCGCTTTTTGTTAACAAAAGTGAAGCAAAAGTAATTGTATCCTTTTTTTATCTGTCTCTGATGAGCATTATGCGCCCAAGCTTTGAGGGTATGAAAACTAAGAAATGGATATCGAAGAATTAGAGTTACTATATGCCAGCGAAGACGATATTGAAGAGAGCTGTAAGCTAGAAGTTGATGAAATTATGGAAGAAACCATTGAACCAGAGGATCCATATCGTATCATGAATACTGAGTTTGATGTAGGAAAAGACAGTGTATGCTTAGTTATCAGTGACAAAATAACCGAATACAGTAATTCAGAAAAGGTAAAAGTATCATATATATGTTAAAAATACATTTTAAAAAGTATTTGATTAACAGTATATAAAATATCGACATATGTTTCAACATGAAGTTTATGAAATAGGAATCGATGTAGCCGATATTCCTCAGCGACAAAAAGCTAAATTATTTCAAACACTAGCAAAACGAAACACGTAGATGGCCTCGTAGTAACAAACCCAAAAAAGCAGTAGTAAAATCAAGAGGTATGTGTTGTTAGATGATTAAATTATCAGCTCATAATAGTGCCGTTTAGGTTACTTAGAAGCCATACTTTATATGTCCAAAAAGCGATATACAGACCTGCAGACCATTGAACTTATTGGTCTCATACAAAATGTAGCTTTAAATGCTGCTCAAGCTTCTCGTCGCATGCTTTGAGTTCCAGAAAGGACTATCGACGAAGCAGGATATGATTACATTAGCGAAGAACAACTGGTCAGTCAAAAAATAGCCTACTTCCAAAGAAGTGGTTTTCAACAACCGAGGTGTGAACATTTCAGTATTGGGTGTCATTGCAGCGAAAGGGATTGTAAATATTTCGCTGAAAAAGCTTTAAGCAGTTTCTACATCAAAGAAGCGGAAACTGCAAGATGGCGAAGAACGTTTGGTCAATGAAGTTGGGTCACGAGCACCGCATTTTGTCAATTGACAAATCATGAAAACCCTTATATGTTTGGACGAGCGTTTATATGATAATGGATAATGCCAGCATTCATTATAGTAGTATTACCAAGGACGTCGTGGAAAGTTGTGGGTTCCGTATACTATATCTACATCGATACTCAGCAGTGTTGAACCCGATATGATAGAAGAATTTTGGCCAAAACTAAAGGCTTGTGTCAAGCGAGAGATTTTAACTACAAGTAGTCCTTTCAACCATCTCGAACTATCCAGTCAACATACAGTACCTAGTTACTGCAGCATACTGTCGAGGATGGAGACGACATGTAAAGTCTTATTTTCAACGTTAAACCCAGCGCCAAATTGAAAAAAGAAGCCGCCTAAAATGAGGAAAAATCCTGTTTAAGGATATCCATTACCCAAACATAATAAACTGAGTTGTTATCATCGTACTCTTACAGAGAGGTGGTACAAGTGGGTTACACACATGGCACGCAAAATGACAGTAGATAAAAAGTGTATTGACACAACAAAAGAAGAAGTTATTAAATAATATACTATATACGACGGGGAGAGAGGAAAGTAACCTCGTATGTATAAACGCATAATGTATATGCATGTACGTATCGTGCGCTGATATGGAGGAGAATGTGCTGGGTTAGGCTGAGAGGAGAAAGGGAGACATGTGGGTAATAACAACGTGGCGGAGAGAGAGGGTTGACTCAAAAGCTTTCGAGGGTCATTTGCTTTGCAACATCGGTATTCTCGACCATGATGATGAATTCGTCAAAGCTGAGCTTGCCGTCCATGTCCTTGTCTGCCTCCATAATCGTCTTGTCCACAATTTGCTGCAGCTGGTTATCCTTGAGATTGCTGCCAACCATCATCTTGAGCACCAAGAACAACTCTCCGTTTGAAATGTATCCGTCTCGATCCATGTCGTACACCTTGAACGCAACTATTGTTTTTGTGAAGAGATAGACGTATGGGCCGCGGTATCGTAATTTAGAGATACGCGCGAAATGAAAGGGGCGAAACGATCTAATAAAGGAAGAATAATACATTACACTCAAGTTTTTCGCGCTTTTGACCTCGTGCACTAAAGGCACTCAATCCCTTGATAAACTCGTGGAAATCAACGTCGCCGCCTCCGTCTTCGTCAAAGATGGCAATCATACGAGACGCCAGAGGATTGTTTGCGATCTGTGGAATAGACAAGAATTCATCCTTGTCGATCGAGCCCGAGTTGTCTTTGTCGAGCTTCATGAAGCGTTTGTACAGACGCTGTATCTCCTCGGCGGAAACTATGCAAGGGCCCGGTTATGCAGGGTTTACAAATAAGAAAGTTTATAACACGTATATAGCAATAGCAGCAGTAGCAACAACAAAAAGAGTGAAGAGAGAACAGATCACGTACAGTTGGTCGAATTGACCATGTCTTCGAGATGTGATTCTGCTTGTCCCATGATGATCGATCCGGAAAAGGTTTGTAACAAAAGGAAAAAAACACTGGAAAATAAAAAAGGCAGACCGCCACTCTTTTTTACGTGTGGTTTAGTTCTCTCGTTCTGCTGCCATGACGTAACCATAGAAACAGGAAACCCACGTTTTCGGATATGTTTTTTTTGGCTTCACAGTGCTTTTATTTAATTTTTAAAGGTAGACGAAAAGAGAGAGAAATGACAATGCAAATGAACTTAAACTTTTTTAATGATGGAAAAGACGCAAAGAGGTATGGGCGAGGACCATGTTGTTGGCATCAGCAGCGGCAATGACGGCTTCATCTTGGACGGAGCCAGAGGCGGCGGCAACATACTTGACACCGGAGCGGTGGGCGCGGTAGATATTGTCCGAGAAGGGGAAGAAAGCGTCGGAAGAGACAACGGTGTCATTCAGCTGAGCCATCCATTCCTTGCGCTCTTGGGCAGTAAGAGGCTCGGGCACAGTCTCGAAGCTGGCCTCCCATTGAGCGCGTTCCTCACCCTCGCCAACCTGGTCAATGACGTAGAGATCGATAGCGTTCGACTTGTCGGCACGCTTGCAACCCTTCTTAAAATTGAAGCCCAAGACCTTGGGGTGATGGCGCAGCCACCAGTTGTCAGCCTTGTCACCAGCAAGACGCGTGCAGTGAATTCGGGATTGCTGACCAGCACCGAGACCAATGACCATACCGTTCTTGGCATAGCAGACCGAGTTGGACTGGGTGTACTTGAGTGCGATCGTGGCAACAATCAAGTCACGCAAGGCAGACTCGGGCAAGTCCTTGTTCTTGCTGACCACGTTGTTGAACAGCGAAGCATCGATCTTGATGTTGTTGCGCTTCTGCTCCATGTACAGACCATACACCTGGCGGACTTCCTGCTCCTCGGGCTCGTACGAGGGGTCCATCTTCAAGACAACGTACTTGCCACCCTTCTTGGCCTTGAGGATCTCAAGAGCCTCGGGCTCGTAGTCGGGAGCAATAACACCATCCGAGACTTCACGCGAGATGATCTTGGCAGTGGCAACATCAACCTTGTCGGACAAGGCAATGAAGTCACCGAACGACGACATGCGGTCGGCACCACGAGCACGGGCGTAGGCAGTGGCAAGAGGGGTAAGAGGGACCTTGAGGTCATCGACCTGGTAGACCTTCTTTTCGACATCCGAGAGAGGCACGCCAATGGCAGCACCAGCGGGAGAAACGTGCTTGAACGAAGCAGCAGCAGGTGTGTTGGTGGCTTCCTTGAGCTCCTTGACAAGAGCCCACGAGTTCAAGGCATCCAAAAAGTTAATGTAGCCAGGCGAGCCGGAGAGAGGGGTCACAGGAAGCTTGCCTTCCTTGACGTAGATCTGGGCGGGCTTCTGGTGGGGGTTGGCACCGTAACGCAGAGGCAGCATGGCAGTGTTCTGAGCGTACTCCTTGCGGAAATAGTTGGAGATGGCATCGTCATAGTCAGCAGTGTGGTGGAAGGCCTTCAAGGCGAGCATGTTGCGGGTCTCTTGGGTGACATCGCCACCCTTCAACTCCTCAATGACCTTGCTGTAGTCGGAGGGGTCCGAGACGATTGAGACACGGGCGTGGTTCTTAGCAGCAGCACGGAGCAAAGTGACACCACCTAAAGAAGACACAGGTACACGAAGTTTTAAGTGGTCGTAGTAACCCCAATTTATTGTCAACCCCTTGACAGCAATGACATGTTCCTATGGGGATAACAGAACTTCTTTGATGTGAATGCTACCCCCCCCCTATTGTACTTACCAATATCAATTTCCTCGACGGCCTGGGGGACGGTCACATCAGGCTTAGCGACGGTCTCCTTGAAGGGATAAAGGTTGCAGACGACAATGTCGATCTTCTCGATTGATTGTTCGGCCAGGTCCTTGTCATCACTTTCGATGTTGCGGGCCAAGATACCTTACAAACAGCGCCGCAAACAAGTCAGCATACATACACACACCTCCAAACCCCCACAAATTTGCTTCTTTACTTACCGCCGTGAACAGCAGGGTGAAGGGTCTTGACACGACCGCCCAACATCTCGGGGGCCTTGGTGATATCCGAAACGTCACTTTTTGGAAATTGCATAAATATCCCACAAAAACATGTTTGCGATACCAACGTCCTCTTGTTCCAAAAACAATGGCCTATTTACCCGATAGGAATACCGGCATTGCGGATAAGCTTGGCTGTGCCTCCAGAGCCGAGCAAACGGACGTTTTGAGCGTGCAAATCCTTGGCAAAGTCGACCAAACCGGTCTTGTCATACACGGACAAAATAGCTATTTTATATAAGCATACAGTAATAGAAGAAGCACAAGTTAGTCTTTCATTGGAATGTCCAAAGGAGAGTGTTATGTCTTTTTTTATTTACGCACCAATTTTCTGCGACATTGTCAAAAAGTTAATTTCGTTTTCTCTGGCGGAAAAGTGCGGTGGGAGAAGAGAGCTACTCGAGAACGCGAGCTCCACTGCCGATCATGATTCATTTCCACGAAACTTTGGAAAAAATGTGACTGCTGATCTTGTTTTTAGGTACTTGATAGATCCTACCAATAGGGCGGACCTCCCAATGACATTGATGATGCATGCATGGCAGTGATGCTGTGTAGTAGCGGTAGTAATAGTTTATTTACAAGTAATGATGCAGATATAGTGTGTGTGTGTGTGTGTATGTGTGTGTGCGTACAGTAATTCAGGTACATAATTTATACAATTTGAGGTCTTTTTTAACCCTATTATTCCATATCCACATCCTCGTCGTCCTCGTTATCCTTGTTCTTCTGTTCCAGCAACGCTTTCTCGACTAAACCTTCGTCGTCATACACAAGTACACCTTGCTTCCATGTGCCATACTTGAGCCCAATTTCTTTGTTACGACGATACTCTCGTGCAATATCGTCTGCATTGCCCTTCCATCCCTTGTACATCTGTAAGTTCTGTCGACCGATCAGGCGAATACACTTGATACGCAAATCGTTGGTCGACTATAATGTTATATATAGGGAGAAAAAGAAGCATGTCAGCACTCAAGATCACTTACACCGACGCGTGAATATGTGTTAAGCAATCGATGACTCACCCATTTTGGAAGTGATTCCTTTGATATATCACCAAAGCTACCGATGCCATGCTTTTCAATACCCTTGATAAGCAGTTCCTTTTCGACTTCTGTCCACTTTCGTGCCTCCTCTTTGACACCCTTGGGTGGGCGAAAGTAGCTACAAAAAATATCAATTATTAGCAATACCAAACAAAACGAGAGGGCAAGTATGTTAAAAAGTAGAAAACTTACTCTTGATTGAGGGTTCCATCAGCATAAATCATGTTTTTGGTAATTTCAAATTCGGGTCGAATGCAAAACTTGAGTCTCATTTTCTTGATCCATTCTTGCTTTTCACGTTCTTTCTCTGAAGCAGGAGTCGGAGCGCGTCGTGTTGGTAGTTGTTCAGAAGTTGCTGTTGCTGTTGCTGTAGTTGTCGAATCATCTACCATGGCATTCTTGGTAATGTCGAGTGAATCGACAGTGGCTTCTTCCATTTTGATGTCTTCAGTCATTATTCAGATCTTTTTTTTTCTGTCCGTGTAGGGTGTTATGCGTATTTGATAGCTTATGGCGCGGTGGAGAATTCAAAGGAGACACGAAGCGCGTGCACGACGACCAAAAAACTATATTCAAGTGAACGCGTCGCGCGTGACTGACCAGCTTGAATATCACGTTTCGGTGTTTGAATTAAAGTTGACAACCTCTATGATACCTACCAGATAGACAGTGTGTAATAGACCAGCTGTTTCAGAGAAACGGTGACTTTTCGTAGTACGCGATGCAATAATACACACGTCCTTGAGTTTGTTTTTAACAATCCTACACATCCTATCGAACACCCTAATGTTAGTTACCAAGCACTCACTCGACTTTGCCGTACTTTCAGGAACGACAATCGTTATATTACGTATCGAACCACATGGGGCCTTCAGAGCGACTTTTTGTGAATCTAATAACCCAATTCTTCGGTACATTCAGCTTGAATCGTATCACTTCCCACTATTCCCTTATATCCGACATATTAGAGAACGCGGTACAAACACTTGGTGACTCTAACCTTGGGATCAAACATTCAATATGATCCACTCTGTCTCTTTCTCTACCTTTTTTTGATAAAAAAAGCAAGCCAAAAAGTCATGTACAATTCCAAGTTTGCCCCTTGTTCCAGAAAAAACTTGTTCGTTTATTGCATAAATGGGACAAAAACCGCCGTTTAGCACATGTAATCGAGGGCAATCAAATCCTCAAAGGTAGGCTTGTACCTTTGCAAGAATGCTTGATGGGCGGCGTGCTCAGCATAGATGGGAAGGTCCTATTGCACGACAGTCAATACAGTCATTGCGTTATGTTCATGTGTCAAAAGATTAGATGGGTGCTAGTATTATTACCTCCTTCTTCTCGAGTTCAACGACCCAACCTAGAAAGTAGTATATGGTGAGTCTTACATGATTTCTTTCATATGTACGTACATGGGCCTTCCCCTGCTGTACTCTAACTTCAACAACCACTTACCCCATTCGTAACCCTGACTACGTTCAGTGAAAGTCTTGCCAGCAGTGCACGACAAGATGTTGGGAATCTGGTCCTTGAGCTTCAACACTTCGTCACAAGCTTGTTGACGCGTTGCCTCACTGATTTCAGGCTTGAACTTGGCAATGACTTTATAAAAAAAAAGTTGAAAATGTCACTGAAGAATCAAATAGTATACTGCTGTAGCTGAATGGAGTTTCTTACTTACCAATGTGAACTAACTTCATGATGGTGTCTAGACAAAAGAAAAGAGAAGACGCGGGTTTCAAGTCCAGCAAACATTATATACTGTGTAACTTCGATGATGATGGTGACGAGCAATCGGATCTTTGCGAGAAAAAGAAAGTTTATTACATACTCAAAAGTAAAGTTTATGCATTTGAAACAGACTTAATAGAAACTGGTCTGAGTTTTCTATTAACCCTTCATGATGATGCAGTGGGTATGGAAAATATCCCTCACGGCCTAAAAAAGAAGCTGAGCCATGTAGAGCGAATACGAGCCATAGATACTTTAAACAAATTGGTAGAAAAGAGGACAGCAATTGCTTCTTACCGTCAGTACGACAGATTTGAAAAAACGTCAATGAGTCCTAGGTCCATGCTCGACAACCTCTGTGTAAGCATTCTGTAAAAGGGGTCAAACTCCCAATATGAAAACTGGGCGATAATAGAGTCTACATACGTCAAACGATTATGGATTACTTCCTGTTTCACAACTTTGTATATACAGATGGGATGATAGATATGGTGTGTAAGTTTCCATTCTACAAACTCGGAATCCGTCATGTAAAGGACACCGCAAACTTACTTACTTACTCTAGGCGATGATGATCTGCTTCATACAGTACCCGCTTGCTAAGCTGATATTCTCGGTTCTGCCGAAATCTAATCGGCATGCAAAATATTTACAGAATTTGCTGGAAGGGTATGTATGATGGCTGTAGAGTTGGGGTTATCGCTATGACCGATTTTGCCAATTATGCCTAGTAACTTAAGTTTATACATGTACCAATCTACCGATTAGGTGTGGCACAGGTGAACAGATTTTATTTTTATAAAAAAACAAGCTGATCCTTTGGTGATGTGATCGGTTTAGCGAGCGATTGCTGTATCTTCGTCATTTCGTTTGGCTTGAAACTGAACTTTTGGTAGGGCTGATCAGTTTGTTGATCAATCTTTCCAGCAGCAATTAAGGCGAAAATGTGTACTATTAAATAGAATGAGCAGCGGACAACACCCTAACAATAATGATCTTACCAGCAGCACTAACAGTAACTATATCATGACATCAGCAGGCTGTTCTTTGATGTCTTCATGATGTATAAGCAAACCGAATTCATAGAGCTTTCGTATTATTGTATACAAGCCATTTAGCCCTAGCTGAACAATTGACAGCCCACCGCGAGATTCTACATGATACTAATAAAATAGACTATGCGCCGATACTTTTTCTCATTTTCTCATAATCAACAGACCTAACGTTGTTTTGTACAAATTCTAAGTTCTTGAGCTAGTTCGATGTCCAGATTATGAGCTGATATACTCGTTCAGCTAAGCCTTTGCTGTCAATCCCAGTTTGGTTATGTCTTTGAAATACTTGTGGAGCACTACCCGACGACCTCAATTCATAATTACCCTTTTTATGAGATACCCGTATACTGCATACTCTAAGCTTTCTGCAACACATTTTGAGATAATCTATCAAGATGGTTTTACAGCTAACGTAACCTGATCGTTACTAATAATCAATCTTTGCGACAAACCTATCCTGGGCTACTTATCAGTGCTTGTATTTTTTTGAATGGCATTGGCACCGCTGCACCATTGATATCCATATCAGAGATTTAGTATCGCCGTTTTTGCTCATACAAGGGTAGTAGGTTTCTAGATATGCGCGACTATAATATAATGTCGGGGTTGACCATCATTGTCTCAAGTACTGTTTTTTACTTGTAATGGGGTCATCCAAACGCAAAGATCGCCGCAATAAGGTACCCACAGCCCACTTGAGTCCTCAAACGAGCTCATTGTAACTTAAATCGACACGTTTGTAAACGAAGCATTTTCATTAAAAACCCCAAGCAGCAACAAGGTGATCCTTCTTCAAAGCCGTTTCTACAGGCGCCAGTCATTCTTGAACGGCGCGATCGGGCCGAATCCAGTGAATCGACAACAACAACAGCAGCAGCAGCAGCAGCACCGCCACAACAGCAACGGCAAGCACGCCATGTAGCAACTGCAACGACTGTACGTCAAGTAGAGATCGACAACACGATTCGATTGGCACCCAAGCCTAGCAGTGCTCCAGTTCCAAGTACACCCGGAGTAGTTGCTGGTACTGTGCTTCCAGGTGCAGCAACAGCGACAACACAGTCAGAGACTGCCAAGGCGACAGGAACAGTGCCGTTCTTTGGAAAGCAAACTAAACTTCCTTCAGAGGTTGCACACAAGGTATGGTTAGCAGTAATAATTACAGAGCGTCTACTTTTTTTATTCCTTCTATCCGTTGGGAAGGTAGAAAAAAATTTAAAGGTAGACGACATGAATGCTCATGGTGGTTTTCTTTTTTTTCATCTAGCTCCTAGGGGAAGCTCCCGGACATTTTGTAGTTGGCGTCGTTGGTCAACAAGGCGTTGGAAAATCCACGGTCTTGTCATGGTTTATGGAGGACTCATCAAATGTACATGAAATACAAAGATTTATTACGAGAGAGGGATTTAATTAATGGGTTACTGACAAAATAAAACTTATCTAGACGTTTCCTGCCGAAACTCCTGAAGCAGTGGCGTACAACCGACATCAGACTTCTGGAATTGATATTTTGGTATCTCCTGAGCATACAGTGCTGCTAGATACTGAGGTAATATTGTCAACAGGAGGTGGGGGTAACCAAAATATGATATGATGGTATTTGGCTGACTCGATGATGATAAATAGCCATTGTTAAGCGCGTCAATACTTGATGAAACATTACGAACTGGTTCAACCGAAGGTTTACACCCAGAAGTTTGGCTTGAAGTTGAGGTAGAATTTTGCATCGACAAACTAAACTTCTTACTTTATGTCTATGTGTACTCATCTGGATGATGGGTTTTTTCAGTCACTTTATAATTTAGTGTTTATGCTATCCGTATGCAATGTTGTCATTGTAGTTTCTGAGGGGACCGAGATCGACACGGCCATAATCAAACTGCTAAGAAGAGCCGAAATGATGAAGTTCAATATCCCGGATTTTCCATTGATCCCTCCGGCCAACTTTGGTCAGACGCAGGTGGATACAAGTTATTACGCCGACATTGGTAAAGTATAAGCCTAGTGCTTACCCGTGTAAAAGCTGCGTATACAAACAAGGTGGATTCAGCTACTGACCACTATCATAGTGTTTGCATGCAACAAATGCCGAGATTGGGAATTCCAGTGGCGAAAATATGAGGATATGCAACTGATCCTTCATGAAACATTTTCGGATTCCAAACTCAAAACTTCAGGTAACGATCATATTCTTTGATATCTCTCACCAAAGCAAGCAAGAAATGATCACTGACACAATCCTTTTGGTTTCTCGACAATTAAAAAGGACTTGTTTCATTGGGAAAGGTGCTACCAGCTTTTGAAGGAGTCGGGAATACAGAGAACCTGTTCTTCTTACCTTATTCCCCAGATGATGCAGTACCGAAGAAAGAACATGATATATGGAACGTTTACGATCGATCGACGTCTGGAATCGAATCATTTGATACATTGATGCAGGCGCTACGTGAGCAGGTGGTTGCTGCACCTCGACGACAAGGCAAGAAGGGACAGGTGTCTGAAAAAGAATGGTAAGTCCTTGACAACCACTATTATATTGAAAATATAATTAATCTTTCCTTTACCAAGGTATCGTAATGCGATTAAAATACACGAGCTTATCCGAAAGTCTGAATATATCGCCGAGTTTATCAAAACCGCTATGAAAATGGTGCAGAAATGAGCCTTCTCTTTCCACTAGGTGCGACTTTTCTGGCTCACTGCTGAGCACAAATAATTTGGTGTTCTGTAAAAATCGTCTGGTGGTGAGAGCAAGTTATATATATGACGATTGACGGGCTTTCTTGTGAAATATTAAGAGGAAGGAGAACAATGTGTGTAGTGCGTATATGTGATCAACGAAGATAAGGCGGGCGGCGGCGCTGGCTGGCAAGTTGACGAGGCAAATTCCAAGTTGATAAACACTCTTTTTTTAACGGATCTTCACTTTTTCAGAAAGAAGCTCACAAGATACCAACACCAAGTGTATACACCATTGTGTGTGGCTTTTGTTTGCTAATCACTAGATTGGAAGATCTCGCAGTTTAAAGACTTTGTATATTAATGGGAAGCAGAATAAAAATCGCCGATGCACAACTTTACCATCATCCTTCAACGTTTAGGAAAAGCCGGTCATGAAGTACCAAGTAATGTAACGTGCACCGTGAAATTATTTGTGGTGGCGCTGAAAAACAAACAAAAAAGGGTAAAAGCATACATCGTTTCCAGAAACATTCTGCATATACCCTGTGTAACACTTTGCGCTAATCCCTTTAGATATTTTCACGCCACGAACAAAGAATCCCTTCCCACGGTCACCTACAAAGAAAAAAAAAGATTGCTCCATTACAAACTTCTTCATGGCAAACCGATTAACGTGAATCCAATGAGCATAATGCCGACGTTTCATAGAAATTGTGGCAGCGAGAAAAGGCAGAGGTCTCTTTTTTTAAATTATAACAGCCTGTTTAGGTGTTGAATATTTGGTGTTTCGGTATCTTTATTATTAAAATCTTTAAAAGTTAGCTGAAAAATCCAAAAAAGGAAACTCTCATCCATGTAAATTCACAGACAGAAAAAGAGAAAGTAAATACTTACGCAAAAGCATTCCCCAAATTCATGGGGGACCTCGGCCGCACTTTTTACCCGTGGGCGCGGGGAAATTGAAAATGAAGCAGGACTTACGCCCGGAGGCTGCCTGAGTAAAAAAACAGCCGTTCGCGTGAAACGATGCAACATCCGAAGATGGGTCGAGACAGAGGCTACTAGGAACTGCGAGAAAAAAGCAAAGGGGGAGGAGAAGGGGATAAACTATATTAGAAACGCAATAGACGCTTTTAATGACTTCCTGGGTCAGAGCAAGGGGAGGAGGGAGGGGGGTATAAAATATGTAAAGAACGCAAAGAAGAAGATGAGGCTTTTAAGGACTTCCTCAGGTCCAAGTCAAAGCAAAAACCACACGCCACCGTCCAGATGGATGGATAGATCTTGACCACTGCCGATGGACTACTTGACAGGTCGGCTTCTAGGAGCGGGATGACAGTGGAGCATCAATCTTGACCAGCTTGGAGGTGTCTGTGCACTAGCGCCATTCCGAGAAACGAAAGAGATGAACAGTTATGGGAAACTGTCAAACCACCATCACAAGATTCTATCGTGCTATACTTACCTATACTTCTACGATGAGACACAGGAGAACCGAACACCCAGCCAGTGTAGAGCAGAGAATCACAGCCAAGACAGAAACACTTCTTCTAGCTGGAAAAAGAAAAGATCATTAGAGGGCTGCACCCACTGTGCTATCTTTATTCTTGACACGGCATTACCATCCTTCTCCATCCCAAGCTGACTTACATTTGTTTTGTCGTTTTACAGCAAAGTTATAGACAGAGAGAGATGGGGTCTAAGCCAATCTTAAGTTCAAACAGATCACCGCAGAGCCATCCTCTATTAGCAAAAAGAAAACATCTATGAGCAGCTGCATACACTTTTTGACATGTCACGGCAGACATCTTCCTGGTTTTCAAACACGCAAAGACAAACACAAGCACAGCGATACTTACTATTATGACATCCTTGGCTTGGAGGAAGAGAGCCTTGAGTTAGAGAGAGGAAAAGCAAGAAGGGGATGACCAATTCTGAAAAAAGAATAAGAGAAACTTTTTTGAGAGACTGCCATATTGCATACGTCATGGTCAGGAGCCCTTTCCCGTCACGCTGCTGTACACACTGCACACCTTTGACGCGTCATCCCCAACACCCATGTCATCCTACTCACCTACCAATGTTCGAGTCCCCTACTATCTGTTACTTGTCCGCAGGACACAGTTAACCCAACCAGCATAAAGCGAAACCTGAAGTAGAATGAAAAGAAGAAAGATCATGAGCAGGCTGTTCTTAATATGCAACTATTCCTGACACGTCATGGCATCAGCACCTCCAACAGACACTCGACTTCTCTCCAACTCATCCTCACATTTCATTCCCTACCGTACTTACAGTTGTTGCTTATGTTTAAGGGTGGGATGCAAACAACAAACCGAACCAACCATTTAAAAAAGTCAGAATCCTATAGTAGTAGCAGAGAAGAAAGGAGGATAACATTAGCGACTGTATGCTGTACACACACTTCTTTAGACACGTCGAAGTTCATATCTTCTTTCGTATATCACATCCACATGCAAAACCTCAAAGTACACTTCACACTTTCCATATTGTACTGTACTTACTCTTGCATTTGTGCTTTGAGTGGAGAAGGACCAGGTTAAGACGAAAGAAAGTCTGTGTCAAAAAAGAAAGAAAGTGAGATAAACGGATCTTAAAGAAATCACTGTATACTCACAACCGGTTGCATACACTCTTCTCACTCACCACCATAAACATACACTCTCCGATCCTCTAATCCGTTCCAATGACACTCACCTTGAATAGCTTTGGTTTAGAAAAGTTGACGAAGAGGAAGAAGAGTGGCATGATTGCTGCGGATGCGCGGTTACATAGTAGAATGAACACATATGCTACGCGGCATTTGAGCCAGTTCATTCTATCCAATCAGATTGCTCTCTCATGGTTATGACGCGCCGAGGTGTGTGGCTCCTCCAGGTCAGAAACTTTGCTTTACAGTGAATGTATGTCATTGTGAGTAGACGGGTATCGCATTGAGGAAAGACTCAAAGGATAACCGTCATTAACACGATATGAAGCTCACTTCAAATCCTTCATCATCTGAGAAGCGTCATCGCTACAAACACGCTGAATACAAGTTTCAACGTATTCACTACACTATGTATACAGGAGTATCCAAGATCTCATGAGACATGACGATCCCGCACTTGCCGATGTTCCATTTGATAAGAAATCATGGTCTTTGGTGTTGCCTTTCGCCAGGTATACAACATTGTATCCTCTCTTCTACTTTGCATCCTTTTACTATCGAGCGGTAGTACTTACATCAAAGTATCTGCATCAAACCTGTTGATAGGTCCTTCCTATGATATCATACCAAATGCATCGCGCTCGCAAATCGTACAGTAGTATCTAAATCGTTCATCAATTTGGCCCAGTGTCACCGTCCACCGCCTTGAAACCAACATGCGCGTCCAACAACCTGCCAACACCAATGACACAAACGAGCATGGCCAGTTTATGCAGTATTTACTTTGCATCGGTGATGGTGCTGAGCTGTAGGTGCCAACCACTGATGACAGAGTCCGGCTACCAGATCGGATGCTCATGCCACATTACAACACGTACGAGCTTATAGAAGCCATTTACGGCGACCTGAACGCATCACACGTGGATCGCGATTACCTCATCAGTCGCTCTATCTTGACTCCAAAGAATGTCTATGTTACAGCAATTGATAATTTGGTACTCGACCATTTCCCAGGCACTGTTCACGAATTCCAGAGCGCAGATACCGTGGATGATCCTGAAGAGCAAATAACGTACCCACCAGAGCTGCTCAATTCCATGAATCCATCCGACCTCCCTCCGCATTTGCTAAAACTCAAAGTCGGTTGCCCAGTCATGCTTTTGAGAAACTTGCACACCCAAAGTGGTCTCTGCAATGGGACACGGCTGATTGTACGCTCTTTCCAGCGATATGTATTTGAAGCTGAAATAGCCACTGGATCTCATGCCGGCAACATTGTCTTAATCCCTCGCATAACTCTCACACCTTCACAAACACGTTCCCCCATTCTATTTAAACGCACACAATTCCCTGTTCGCCTGGCATTTGCAATGACCATCAATAAGGCACAGGGTCAAACTTTTAACACTGTTGGCCTCTACTTACCTGAAGCTCCTTTCACGCATGGTCTACTCTATGTAGCCATGTCACGCGTCCGCACCCCATCATCTATTAGAATCATGTTAGATCCCGAGAACTCAAGTATCGCGTGTCAGCAAGGCCAAAACACCCGAAATGCTGTTTTCCATGAAGTCCTTCTCTAATTCTCTTTATCTTTTATCCTCTTTTTTATCTTCTATTCTCTTTATTATCTTCTATTCTCTTTATTATCACCTATTCTCTTTTTTTCACGCCTATTCTCTTTTTATCAATATCACTACATCATCTTTGTCAACGCTTCTTTTCGCATTGCATTTTAAACTGGAGATAGTTAAGTATCCAACTTTGACGACTTTCTATGATAGGCTACTTCTCACTGCACAATGATCTTGCTTTTGATTTTGAAAACAGACAATAAGCATCTAATACCAAAACATTGATCCAACCTCGCTCGACAGGGGGGTTTGGGGGGCTTGCCCCCCACTTGGAGGTCAAGGGGGGAACCCCCTTGCGACGCGTTTCCGTTGAATGACACGGAGCGAAGCGGAGGGGCTCATTCATCCGAGCGAAGCGAGGAAGGACCGCTAGTCTATACTATTAAAATCTTAAAAAGTTAGCTGAAAAATCCAAAAAAGGAAGGTGGCTCTACAGCGGTGCTTTAGTTTCTATCTGTGTAAAATTGAGCGGTCATTCAGGATCTGGGATCCACGATAAATGAAAAAGAGTCTCATTACGCATCAAATATTTGTATAAACCATAAGAGAGGCAATGGATTCTATGGATGAAGCAATGACCGAATTATATCTTTGCTGTAGATCATATTTATTTACTACCATTCACTGTCATACTATTTATGATTTAGTAGTAGTAGTAGTGGCTGATTGGGTTCAGGGTGTTGATGCTGACACCTATAGCATACAAAAAAGGAAGTTGTCATCGTGCTGTTCACGCGTCCTGAATCTGTCTTTACGCGCTTTTGAGTAATCCCTGCACTTCTTTTTTGCTTACCTACAACCAGTCATTTTCAACTTATATACTTCAAATGAGCATTCGAATCTGTGCTTCATGCCATCAGACTGGGCACTCGAGTAGAAGACACCGAGATTGCTTACTGAATCCGGCTCGCTTAGCTGCGCGTGAGCAGAATGAAATTCAATTCCTGTTTGAGCACCATCAAAGAGTCGATCCAAATGTTGAAGAAAATCAAATAGCCAGTCCGAGCGTTGAAAATCCTGTCTCCGAGATTAATCAAGATCAAAGTGTTAATCCGAGCGATGAGATTGTAAGCGATAATTTTCGAATA